GGGGGGGGTGGTGTGGTGTTTGTTTTTTTTGTTTTGGTGTGGGGGTTCTAATGGGTCTGTGGGTGGGGTTTTTTTTTTTTTTTTTTTTTTTTTTTTTTTTTTTTTTTTTTTTTTCTTTCAATGTCTCGCTTTGTCAAGTGCATTTGTGGCGATTACTCGACAGCGTGAGGGAGTGGCATCATAGATAGATCCAAGTCAACACCGAAGCAATTGGAAGCACCGACCAATTCCACGAGCAATTGGCATTTGTAAAGGCTCCCGGGTTGGCCGTGGACCGTGGGCAACGATGGGTTATCAGGAAACCCACTGCGACATCATTCTGGATCGGGTTATGCGCTCCGCTATCCATTCGGACCAGCGCGGCCTGGGAAACCTGTTGTACAGATTCGTATGGTGGAGCCGGTTCTCCAAGCCTCCTCGCGCGGAGGTAGATGGGGCGGGTCCGTGTTTCCGTTGGAGAAAGTCAGAGGCCGAGTTTCGGCAGAAGCGCGGACATAGTTCGGCTGGGGTTCCGTGGGAGCCTGTGCTTCTTGAGCCCCAATACCTAGACCAATAGACCAATAGACCAATAGACCAATGGACTGGAAGTTGGAGATGTGCTATCTGTAACATGGAGTAGCATTAGGGGTAGTTGTTTCCTATATCTCGACTGTCCTGAAGTTACCCCGCATTATGTAAGCTCTACCCCTCCGTGCGGGGAACTTTGTATAGTACTTACTCTTAGTTAGGGGAATCTATGGAAGGCACACTGCAATAGTATAGAGGTTTGATCTTGGTGTTTGAACAGAATTTGGTCATGTAATTTAGGTACATCAGGTCGATTAAAGAGGCAGTGTACACATTGTAGACCATGTACTCCATAGGAAATGCCTCGTTCATAGTACCTCTCATACATAGTCTAATAGGTGAACAAGAAGGTACCATTTACAATCCAATCTACTAAAATGTACTACTCGTACTTCCATGCCCAAGTGGTCCTCGCAAGTACGAGTATTCGTATACTATGTTAGGATATCCCCCAATATTATTTCCCCTCGTTCGTGCGGAGAGGGAAGACTGACTTCCGAGTGGGTAAGGTACTACGGAGTGCTGTACCCGTAGCTATTGTTTCCACCTTAGAGGGGCTGGATTACAACTATATAATTACCCTCATCAACCGGTTTCATTCTCCTTCTCATCCTCTCTCATCTCATCTACTCTCCTCACTACTTCTCTTCACATTCCAGTAAGTCTATACTTCCCCTCGCATATCAAGTTCATGATTTCATGCACCCTGCTCCACTCTCCCCGCGTTGTCTCTCCAACGCCGTTTTGGGACAATGAATTCATCGACTCAACCCTATATAACACCCAGCTAACCGCTCCTCTAGCATTCCACTTTCCAATTCTCTCTTGAATAACACACATCCTTCACAATGGTATTTACTCGTTCCCTTTGCCGTCAATTAGGACGCCCCCTCCTCTCGCGCCCCTTCGCGGCCAAGCCCTTTGCGCGGGCTGCCCCGTGGACCGCATTCTCCGGAGTTCGTACGCTAACCGCAACTGCCAACCATCAGGTCAAAGTTCTTCTCGTCCTTTACGATGTAAGTGAACCCGTGAACCCTCCGATGGTACCTGATAGACAGGACGCTAACCCGATTGATAGGGTGGTGAGCACTCCAAGCAGCAGCCTCAGCTGCTCGGTACCACTGAGAACGAGCTCGGTATCCGCAAGTGGCTCGAGGACCAGGGCCACACCCTGGTGACCACCTCCGACAAGGAGGGTGAGAACTCCAAGTTCGACCAGGAGCTGGTCGATGCCGAAGTTATCATCACCACTCCCTTCCACCCCGGTTACCTGACCGCTGAGCGTCTGGCCAAGGCCAAGAACCTCAAGCTCGCCGTCACTGCCGGTATTGGTTCCGACCACGTCGACCTGAACGCTGCCAACACCACTAACGGCGGTATCACCGTCGCCGAGGTCACTGGCTCCAACGTCGTCTCCGTCGCTGAGCACGTCGTCATGACCATCCTCCTCCTCGTCCGCAACTTTGTCCCCGCCCACGAGCAGATCAAGCGCGGTGACTGGGACGTTGCCGCCGTCGCTAAGAACGAGTACGACCTCGAGGGTAAGGTCGTTGGTACCGTCGCTGTCGGCCGTATCGGTGAGCGTGTCCTCCGTCGCCTCAAGGCCTTCGACTGCAAGGAGCTCCTCTACTTCGACTACCAGCCCCTCTCTGCCGAGACCGAGAAGGAGATTGGCTGCCGTCGCGTCGAGAACCTCGAGGAGATGCTCGCCCAGTGTGACGTGGTCACCATTAACTGCCCCCTCCACGAGAAGACCCGTGGTCTCTTCAACAAGGACCTCATCTCCAAGATGAAGCCCGGTGCTTGGCTCGTCAACACCGCCCGTGGTGCCATCGTCGTCAAGGAGGATGTCGCCGAGGCCCTCAAGTCTGGCCACCTCCGTGGATACGGTGGTGATGTCTGGTTCCCCCAACCCGCCCCCAAGGACCACCCTCTCCGCTACGCCGAGCACCCCTGGGGTGGTGGCAACGGCATGGTCCCCCACATGTCCGGTACCTCCATCGATGCGCAGATCCGCTACGCCACTGGTACCAAGAACATTCTGGACAGCTACTTCTCCGGTCGTCACGACTACCGCCCTGAGGACCTGATTGTCTACAAGGGTGACTACGCCACCAAGTCTTACGGCCAGCGCAAGTAAAAAGGAAATGCCTTTGATTTTAAATTTCTGAGATGTTCATAAGTCCACATGGGCGATGCTCAAGCATCTATCACGATACCAATGAATAATTTACTTCTAAGTTCACCTTTGATTCTTTGATTCTGCAGAGTACATGAGTATATTAGTAGTAGTGCCAGAGGTATTTTAAGTATTTTGACCCCTCAAATTACGGGATGATCGGCGGAGCTCTGTCGATCGCAGAGTTCGGTGGAGTACTACGAAAACAGGTTTAGACATCAAATTGCATGAGATTCATGAGATTTAAGATTTAAAGACAGATTCAATTCTATATAAGTACAGTCAATTCTAGCAACATACAATATATATGCAAAACTTTAGAAAGAAATGTGAAGCACTCCTTGAATATCAACCCATGTTTATCCATATGCTATATATACAAATCGCCAACGCCTCCATGCAAATAGTCAATGCAATGGCTAATGCAATGGTCAAGAATGTCCTTCACTATCACTATCATCCATAAACCCCTCCTCCAGCTCCCTACCCAGTCGCTCCGCTCCCACATCCTGTCTCCGCTCCAACGCGCCCCGTCGAACAGAATCCATATCCATACCGACTAACGCCTCCCCCTCCTGCTCGTCAATGCTGATATTGTCATTGTCAGGCATATCTGCACCGCGTCGCCATGTCGACCGCAGAACCAGATCCATCACTGTATCAGCTATGCGATCGCGCAGGGAGAGCGTGTGCGCGGAGATACTGTGTAATGGCAGGTATTGGGAGTAGCGCTGGTGGTAGCGGCGGAAGAAGGGGATTATGACACATGATGCGAGGATGTAGAGGGAGAGTGCGATCGCAGCTGGAATGAGAATTGTCTAGACGCGATTAGTTTGCGATGGGACTGTCTCCGGGCTGTAGCCACCTTTGCAAATACTCCTGATGAGCCCATTGTGGATCTGCGACCTCGCGTCGATTGGAGTTGATATATTCCTCCAGATCGCAAAGACCAGAGTCAGGGAGCACGGAGTATGTCGGTGATACTCCCCGACTGGTCATGTGACACCACGTGATCGGCCTGGCAACCCCCTAACAGTGAATGATCAATAGATGAGGGCGCTCGGGCTTTCGATTCTGTCAGTTTATTTTAATCTTTTCTCTCTTTTCTCCCTTTTTTTTTTGGGTGTTCGCGGGGTTAGTGATCTTCGCCCAAAATAAGCCCGTGACTTTCGCGTGCTAAACGAGCCAGCTGCCCCCCCTTCCATACCTGGTCATCATCCCGATCTATGCGATTGACACCCGGGGGATTCATGAGAGCAGCCCCTATGCTGCGCTATTCTGTCGCCCAAAATGCCCGCACAAGCCGACAAAGCAAGGCAACCGTCGACGGGAAAGTCATTCTTCGGACGCAAGTTGCACAAGGACAAGCAGGTGGAGGATCGATATGAGAACTATGGAGGGTCCTATGATAGCCTGGCTCCGCCGGGGAGTTCAGCCGGGTCACGCTCATCTCGCTATTCAAAACGATCGTCGATTCAATCTGTGGATCTATCTCACGACCTGGACCCCGGCAGTTTTGCGCCAACTGCGGGCGTGATCACTTCCATCCCCTTCGATAGCCTGTCCGCCGAGAGGACCCCGATTCCAATCGAGAATATGCCCCGCCCAGACTCGTCCCGCCATGAACCCTCTCCCAACCATCTGGGCAAGACGGGGGCGGATTATCACCAGTATCCCACGTGGACTTCAACATCCCCGAATGGCTCTGTCCCGTCGGGCCCTCGTCCGCCCCCACACGGGATGACCACCATGACTAGCAGTACCTCCGGTGACCGAGGGGCCAGATATCAGCAATGGGGTCGACCTGGCAGTTCTGCTGCAAATGGACAACATCACCCCTCCTCGATCGATTCATCAGCCAATTCCCGCACTTCCCTCGACCAAACAAGCCTATACTCCTCCGTTTCCTCCAACCCCCGCGGTTCCAACTACTTTTCCTCCGATGGCTCCTCCCATGGCTCATCCCGTACCCTCACCACCTCGCATTCGGGAGATCGCAATATGATCTCAAGTTCCAGTTCTGGCCGCCTTTCCAATGCAGGATCGACACATCAGATTTCAGCTCCCATTCCTGCAGCTGTACCCCGACCACCGGACAATTATCTCACTCGCCCAAGAGATGACCGTATGGTGGATCAACTATTCCTGGAGTTGATGCAGAAGCGAGGATGGCAAAATCTTCCAGAACAAGCTAAGCGGCAAATGTTGTCATACCCTGCATCAAAGAAATGGACATTGGTACATCAGGATCGTCTCACAGAGTTGCAGGGAGAGCAAAAGAGACGACAGAATGCCCGCCAAACACATGGCCATGATGGGATGTCTGGCTTGCTTGAGCGTGCTGATGAAGAGGGCAGTCCAGAGTGGTATGTCAAGAAGGTCATGGACGACACTATCACCTCGAAACAACTTGCCAGTCTAAGTGTCAGTCTGCGGACACAGCCTATCAGGTATGTAGAATTATTCTCCTACTAAGATCCATCGCGCTAATTTCTTATCTAGCTGGGTGAAAGCCTTTGTGGAAGCCCAAGGACAAGTCGCTTTGACCAATGTCCTGATGAAGATTAACCGCAGGAAGGTATCGGGTCCAGTCCCAGCTCCACCAACCGGTGACAAGGATCTAGACCGCGAATATGATATCGCCAAATGTTTGAAAGGTCTCATGAACAACAAATATGGTGCCGACGATGCCCTGGAGCATCAGAATGTGCTCGTGGCACTCGTCAGCTCGCTCTCATCTCCACGTCTCAACACCCGTAAGCTCGTCAGTGAAGTAATCACCTTCCTGTGCCACTGGGGGGAGGGACAGGGACACCAGAAGGTGCTGCAGTCTATGGATAAGGTCAAGAATGATCACAACGAGACCGGTCGATTCGATGCCTGGATGCGCATTGTCGAAGTCACCATCGATGGCCGTGGAAAGATGGGTAGTCTGGTCGGTGCCAGTGAAGAGTACCGCAGCGGTGGTATCGGCATGGAGAACCTGTTGATGGAATACGCCGTTTCGACCATGATTCTGATCAACATGCTGGTGGATGGCGCAGAGACGGATCTCCAGCTCCGATGCCACATCCGCGCTCAGTTTACATCATGTGGAATCAAGCGGCTGTTGACTAAGATGGAGGGCTTCCAGTACGAGGTCATCGACAAGCAGATCGAGCGATTCCGTGAGAATGAGGGCATTGACTACGAGGATCTCCTGCAGCGCGAGGGCAGCAGTATGAAGGATAGCATCGAGGGTGAAGTGAAGGATATGAGTGATCCTTTGCAAATCGTCGATGCTATTTCCTCCAAGATTAATGGTAGTCGCTCTCATGACTACTTCCTTTCGGCCATGCAGCACATGCTGCTCATCCGGGAGAATTCCGGCGAGGAAGGCCTGCGGATGTTTCAACTTGTCGACGCCATGCTGAGCTACGTGGCCATGGATCGGCGATTGCCAGATCTTGATCTCCGACAAGGATTGACTTTCACCGTGCAGAGCCTGTTGGATCGGTTGCACACCGATGCCGAGGCGAGGCGGGTGTACGATGAGTCTGTGGAAGCTCGACAGATCGCTGAGGCGGCTCTTGCCGAGCGTGATGAGGCGCGCGCGCAGATCGAACTCGGTGCCGAGGGCCTGGTTCTGAAATTACAGAAACAAATCGAGGAACAAACCGGTATCATCGAGTTGCAGCACCGACAAAATGAATCCTTCAAGGCAGAGGTTGTTGAAGTGCAAAGATTACGCGCTCAGGAGTTGCAGCGTAATGAACTGGAAACCAGAGAACTGTACCTGATGCTTCGTGATGCTCAAGATATCGCCGCTTCAAATGCCCGCAAAGCTGCTAACCCCGAAGCAGTGGAGGCCGATCCCTCTCATATGCCTGGTATCATGGATCGTGAGCGTTTGATGGAACGCTTGGAGCGCCAGCTCGAGCGTACAAAGACACAATTCAAGCTTGAGGGCAAGGTTTGGGGCCAGCATGGGCCTTCAGATCGCCTTCGTGAATTGCGTGAAGAGATGGATGGAGAAGGAGGGCATGACGATTTTGAGTCTGCTCACAGGAATTTGGATGCTGGTTCATTGGGCTCTGTGTACCGGAAGCGCAGCCATATTCCTGAGATAGATGATGATATCCTCGACGATGATGAGCAGACGCCTGTGGATGGTAGCGGTGGACCGATGTATGAGAAGCCTCGCATTGTGGAAATGCACCGTCCTCGATTAAATGCCACCCAGGCGTCCGGTCTACTTGGTGAAATCGCTTCCAAGGTTCCTAAGTTTGATGCAGAGGACCCTGATGCTGTTGTCTCTGATACTACTGCTCAGGATCAAAATGCTGCCAAGGTGATTCCGCCGCCCCCTCCTCCACCTCCAGGCGGCGTGGCTGCTCTTCCACCACCACCTCCACCCGGCGGTGTAGCCCTTCCCCCGCCTCCCCCTCCTGGGGGTGCCGTTGCTCTCCCTCCACCTCCGCCTCCTGGTGGAAAGGTTGGGCTACCTCCTCCGCCACCGCCCGGGGGAGCAGCTCTACCGCCCCCGCCTCCGCCAGGAGGTGCAAAGGGTGTTCCCGGACTGCCGCCTCCTCCCCCGCCAGGCGGAAAGGTTGGGATGCCCCCTCCCCCTCCCCCGCCAGGTGGAAAATTTGGGATGCCTCCTCCCCCTCCGCCACCAGGTGGAATGGTTGGGATGCCCCCTCCCCCTCCCCCAGGTGGCAAAGGAATGGTGCCGCCCCCTCCTCCACCGCCCAATGCTGCTATGGGCTCTGGTTGGCGACCAGCCTACATGGTTGGAGAGATTGCGCCCACCACGCTTGGCATGCCTTCCATTCGACCTAAGAAGAAGCTCAAGGCTCTTCATTGGGACAAGGTTGATACCCCTCAAGTGACAGTCTGGGCTGCTCACGCCCCAACAGCAGAGCAGAAAGAAGAGAAATACACCGATCTTGCTAAGAAGGGTGTATTGGACGAAGTCGAGCGATTGTTCATGGCCAAGGAAACCAAGATCTTCGGAGCCAGTACTGCCGCGAAGAAGCGTTCAGCGAAGAAGCAGATCATTTCAAATGATCTGTCGAAGAATTTCCAGATTGCATTGTCTAAATTCTCCCAATACCCCGCGGAGGAGGTCACTCGCATGATCATCCAATGTGACTCCCAAATCCTTGATAACATGGTGGTCATGGATTTCCTGCAGAGAGACGAGATGTGCACTATACCCGAAAATGTCGCCAAGTTGATGGCACCGTACAGCATGGATTGGACGGGGCCTGGTGCTTCGACCTCCGATCGTGAACAAGATCCCAGTGAAATCACTCGCGAGGATCAGATTTTCCTATACACTGCCTTCGAGCTCAACCACTACTGGAAGGCAAGAAACCGAGCGCTCGCCCTCACTCGTTCTTACGAACCAGAGTATGAGCACTTGTCTTCGAAACTCCAGGAGGTTGCAAGGGTCAGCGAGTCCCTGCGGGACTCTGTGTCTCTGATGAATGTGCTGGGTCTTATCCTTGATATTGGTAACTTCATGAATGATGCCAACAAGCAAGCCCAGGGCTTCAAGCTCAGCTCCCTTGCCCGTCTGGGTATGGTCAAGGATGACAAGAACGAAACCACGTTTGCCGACCTGGTCGAGCGTATTGTCCGAAACCAGTACCCGGAATGGGAAGGCTTCCTCGATGAAATCAGTGGTGTTATTGGCTTGCAAAAGGTCAATGTCGACCAGCTTCGCTCTGACGCCACCAAGTATATTAGCAATATCAAGAATGTTCAGGCTAGTCTGGATGCCGGAAACCTCAGTGATACCAAGAGATTCCATCCCCAGGATCGGGTCAACCCAGTTGTCCAGCGGTCCATGAAGGATGCCCGAAGAAAGGCCGAGCAGCTGCAACTCTACCTCGACCAGATGGTCAAGGCATACGACGATATCATGGTCTTCTACGGTGAAGATAATGTGGATGAGAATGCCCGTCGTGACTTCTTTGCCAAGCTCAGCGCTTTCCTCGTCGAATGGAAGAAATCTCGCGAGAAGAACACCTCCCTCGAAGAATCTCGCAGACGCACGGAAGCCTCCCTGGCCCGCAAGCGTATCAATGCCAACCTGGCCAACAACACAACCACCCCTGATAGTACCCTCTCTCCCGCCTCCAGCGGCGCCATGGACTCCCTTCTCGAGAAGCTCCGTGCAGCAGCACCCCAAGCCAAAGACCAACGGGATCGTCGTCGTCGCGCCCGTCTGAAGGAACGCCACAATGTCCGCATTACCTCAGGCTCCAAGCCCCCAGAAGACGAGGAAGAAGAGAAACCCGAGGAAGACGAGCACGGTCTTCTGAGTCCCCCGGCCGCCGACGACGAAGAGAAACCCGAGACTCAAATCTCCGAAGGCGAAGACGTTGCCGATCGCGCCGCCAGCATGCTCCTCAACTTACAAAGTAATTCCGAAGCAGGCGGCGAGCGACAACGTCGGCGCCGCGAAAGCGCCGACGAAGAACGTCGTAATCGTCGCATGAGACGTCGGAACCCCACTGGAAGCAAAGACAGTGCTGATGGTGGTCTTCCCCCTGTCCCTGAGCCTGCCTCGCCCACTCACTCTGACGAACAACTCCCCAGTCCCGGTGAATCGAGTCCTCCATCGATCGTGGTCTCTAAAGATGGACATACTTCGGATTAATGACCGATTTTAATCTAATGTTTGATCCTACAAGACGATTGTATAATACCCCTTCCATTCCTTGCCCATTTCCTTGTCTCTGCTGGTGTCCAGCTTACCGTCTGTACATACATCTCTTTACCTTCGTCATGGAAATGTGTCATGACTGGAGGATGAATTGCATTTGAGCCTGATCATTAATTTAGTTTCATAGAATGTAGGTGTCGGTGTATAGAGAGAAGTTGAAGTTGTCCCAGACAGGAAGTCTATAAAACCTCTACTTCTCCCTTTCTCTTCATTCTTCCCTCTCTCTTCTCTCAACAAATCTTAATTTGGCTGGGCTTATGCCATCGAGGTCACAGACATTTGACCTCAGATCCTTGGCCAAAGGGTCTGAGTGCTGGTCAAGATCAAACCCCAGTTTCGTGCGAGTCGGCAAGCAGGTGAGGTAGGGAGATATCCTGAACCCTCAATCTGATCCTGTGCAGCAATGAACTACATATGGGTAGTTAAGATCAGATCTCTTGTTTGTCGTTTGCTATATCCCAGATAAAAGTACTCTCACTGAAGTATTGCCTACTTACTTCTTTTTCAACCTTCAACCTACATACATACACATCAACGATCACTCATCATGCCAACTCCTTCCAAGCCAACCTCTTCCACCAACCCACAAAGCCAGATTCAAACCGGCCTCCCAGTATACGAATGCTGGTTCTGCATCTCTGAATGGGAAGGTTTCAGCGCCCTCCTCGCCCACCTCGAAACCGGCAAATGCGTGATGCCCAATAAGATCCGGTCCCTGGCCTTTGAAAGTCCCGAGTATGGCTTCTATGGTCATCGCCTCACTGATGAAAAGGCCTTCTTCTGCTTCCAGTGTAAATCCAACTTCTCGCAGATCTCGGATCTTTATCGTCATGCTGAGCACTCTGCTAGGTGCTCCTACCTTCTGAGTGAGAAGCATTGTCTGGGTTGTTTGCGGGACTTTTACATTGAGTACTATGATTGTCCTGGTACAAATAGTATGGGATACTAGCTCTGGGATGGGATGGGCTGGGGGTGGGTGAGAATGGGGAGCCTTTGAAAGTGCGACTGTGGTTTGAGGTTTGAAGTTTGAGGTTTGACAGAAGGGGGCAGTGAGGGCAGTTGTTTATTCAGGAGAGTCTAATGAGAATCCATGATCCAGGCTTGGTTCCTTAGCCTGATATGGTCTCTGACTTGGTACTTAAGTAGTGATTGTGCTTAGGAGGCTATGCTTGTACTATGCCCTCAATATCCTAGGCTTCAAGGGTTGGCGTCATGCTTATGATCTATGACCCTCAGGGTCTGATAATCTTGAAAGTGTGCACCAAGGTGTAGGTGAGGATATATAGTATATCAATGGATATTTGCCAGGGTTGTTACGAAGTAGCCTCCAGGGCTGCTACACCGGAGTATATCTGGTAGAGTGTAGGTGTATACTTAAGTAGTTTGAAACAATGACAATGAAAGGGAAGATAGACCCGTGGACAAAGAATGAATCAAAGGAGATCCCCTTGAAGAAGCCAAACAAGCCAAGGATATGCAGGGATACAGCTATTCATAGTGTCTTGCTCGGTGATTATCCTTCTACAGTTCAAAGTTATACTTCGGACAACGCCACCCGAATACTTAGTATTCACTCCTTAGTACTCCTTACTTTTCTTTCAAAGCCCTTCTCCTGAGCAAAAGCCGAGTGGAAGGTTTTAGTTTCAACTACAGTAAGACTCCAAAGCAATTCCAATTTCCTTCGAGAAGAAATCCCCCTATTCTTAGAATCTGACGGTCGACGTATAAATGGGCCAATCGGATGACTCAGAAGAACATTATGTACCCCGGTTTGACAAGGAAATTCAGCCAATGGCAATTAAGATTTTCTTAGTCGACCAGGGTTGACCTGATGAACGAACCGTGGATGACGAAGTATGTTTCAACCTCAAACTGCCCTTCTTCTAAAGTTCTATATCGGGAGAGCTGAACTGATTACTGGATTCCCTTGAATATATACCACTCTCGACCACTTCTAAAGTTTAGGCCACTTGGAATAGATGAGTTTCGGCAGGGCTGAAACATTCCAAATCCAGCCCAGGTTCTATCCAGGAACAAGCGACCTGACTCAGATCGGGCAGGTTAGACAAAGCTGGTCTTTTGGGTAATCCTCACCGGCCTTGTTTGAGCCGCTTTGTTGGCTTTGGTCATGAGCCTATCTTGGGTGCCTGGATGAGACGGGATCCAAGGCAGACGGCTTGGGGATATTAGAATATAAAACAGTTGCCCAGGTGGTTCGTTGGATCTGTTATACATTGTTCTATCTATTCATACAATTGCATCCTTCATCTCACTGCTTGTATATTTCGAAGCTTTTGAACGGCCTGCCCTATCTGCAATGACTTTCATCATGGGTCGAGGAGGATACAACGCCCCTGTCAACTGTGCCAGCTCTGAAGCTGTTTGCGCCAGCCAGGGCTAGACTGGCCCAGCAATGCGAGACACCAACCTCAGCGCCACAATCGCCAGATGACAATCCTCGGGAACGTATAGCCGAACAGTGTGATAATGGTCATACTGTACATCACCTTTCATTTACCGACGCAAAACCTGCAATTGTCAGCTTTGAATTAGACAGAGTGAAGTGAGACTCACTTCTCAAACACCACACCCAGAACATCTTCGACATCCCCACTCTCGCCCTTGCCAGTGATCTTGGCCAGCATGTCTGCCGCAAAACGAAGATGCTCTGCTGCAGTGACAATATCGACTTCGTCGGCATCGCCGTGAAGTCCCGACACAGAACTAGCTGGAGATACAGCTTGGGACAGGAAATCGTCCAGGTGGTCGAGACATTTTTGTAAATTAGAACTTTGACGATGTGTAACACCAAGAGAATCCTCCCAATAGGAGATATCATACTGCTCACTGCCGTCACCATCCATGCTGAGTGGCGAAGCAATTTCCTCAAATGTCGTCATAAGACCCCGTAAGAAAGCTTGTAGATTTCCAGGGTCCGCGGAGCTCAGGGTTGGGTCACCGTGCTGCGCCTGCTCGCAAGATATGGCGAATACCCGGCCCTGAGGGACTGACGGGAAGATACCTCGGATGAGATCAGACAGGGGTAGGGGTACGTCTCCGTCAAGGGTAGCGTGCAGCTTGTCACACTTGTTGATTGCCACAACAAGACATTTGCCTGCCTCAACGCAATCATTGACTGCGTCGATGACCTCTGGCTCAACAAAGAGCTGGGCGCCTGTGGCAGTGTCTTCTAATGAAACAACAACAATCACGACGTCAGATTCCAAGGCTCTGGCCCTGGCTCGCCTTATTCCTTCCTTCTCAACAGCTCCAATGACAACCTCCCCACCTGCATCGGCACGGATTCCTGCCATGTCTCCCAGCTTACAGAACCACCCCCCAATATCAACGCCCACATCAACGATATCTCTCGTGGTTCCCTGTTCAGTGCTCACAATGGCAGCTTCCTTCCCCACAACCCGATTAAGCAAGGAGCTTTTACCGGCATTAGGTGCTCCTAGCAAGGCAACCCGAATTCCATTACGGAGTAACTCGCCGCGCGAAGCATTCCCAATATGGAATCCAATCTGCGTTTTCAGAGCTTGAACCTGAACCGCAACAGAAGAGACTAGCTCTTCAGTGGATTCGTCGAAATGCTGGTCTTCTGAAAAATCAATCAAGGCTTCCAGCTCGCCTCGCGCATACAGCAAGCCCTGGCGCCATGTCTCATATCTGCGCACCAAGGCATCACTGGATCCGCGCACTGCCAGGCGTCGCTGCTGCTCTGTGTCTGCGGATAGAGTATCGCCCAATGCTTCTATCTGCGGGAGACTGAGGCGGTCATTCATGAATGCTCGGCGGGTGAACTCGCCTGGTTCGGCATAACGGACTGAGATTTCAGATGTGTTTGTCGATGCAATAGCGGAAAGCACGGCTTTTGTTATGGCTGGGCCACCATGAATATGCAATTCTAGAATGTCTTCGCCTGTAACAGTGCGCGGGGATGGGAAGTAAAGAACAAGAGCGCCGGCGTCAAGGACTGTACTGGGAGTTGGAGGTTTCTTCGGGTCGTAGAGAGTGCGAAGTGCGGCATATCGGGGTTTGGGTAGAGTTGTGTTTGGGCAAAGGCTTTTGTATATCTGGGAGACTTAGCATTGTAGCGGGATGGCGGGCTTTTGGAGGCGCATACTGGGACACAGGCTGGCCCTGATATGCGCACAACTGCAATTGCGGCACGCCCAGGCGCTGTAGAAAGGGCATATATTGTGGAATCGCCATCTAGCATGAATTGTGCCGGGCATGTTGACGAGAAACTCCGAACATGGCCGGGGTTCCTCCGCGCCGATTCGGAGAAAAGATCATGACGTCGGCTTTGGACATTCAGCAGCAATAGTTTTGGTGGGCCAGTTAGCCATAATCTATGAGCGGACGGTTTTACCCGACACAACAGTCGAGATGCTCGCATGCGCATAGATCAAACCAAGCTCAAGTTTGGTGAAGGACAAGAGTTGATGTTGATCAGATAAAGCGCATCTGCACGTGATGATACAGATAAGATAGCGATAACCGATTTGCGCCTCAGGCCAACACGGTCATCGACCTGCGAGTATATGTACGAAGTAGAAGTTATAAAAGTCACCCGGAGTGATGGAATCTATCAATTAAATGTCTAAGTCTTCTTTTTATACAGATCATCCGAGTCACAAATTGCGGGTAAAAGCTGAACATAAAACAAAAGCTCGGGTATCACGTCAAACGCCAACTTTTGACCACGGCACAATAATCGGCACCACTTAAGCACCAATGGCGTTCTTAACCCACTTCTCAAGACCACCCTTGGCGATGATCTCCTGCACATTGGGAGGAAGTTCACCAACCTTGTGGGTCCACTTGGGGCCGTTAGGACCCTCCTGGACCTCGATGCGGCTGCGACGAACATCCCAGGTGAGGGTCCAGCCAGTGCGGATGGTCAAAGCCTTATCACCGTTGCTGTAGGTCTCACGCAGACGGCTGATAAGACGGGGGACCTCCAGACCCATCAACGCGTTGTTGATACTGTTGCGGGAGAAGATGTTACCGAAGCTACCGGAGACAACCAGAGGGATCTTCTTAGCAAGGATGGCAGTGGCAGCCTGCTCACGGGAGCTACCACAGCCGAAATTGTAGCCAGAGACAAGGATATCGCCTTCCTTGGCGATCTTGGCAAATTCGCCGTCGTAGTTCTCCATGACGACCTGCGCCATTGTCTCTTCCGACACGTTGTCTTGGTATGTGTATTTTCCGGGGTAGATACCGTCGGTGTTGACGTTGTCGGCATCACAGAAAACGATCTCACCGGAGACGCTCTCGGGGAAGCCGGGGTAGAGCTCGGTCAGAGCATCATCAGAGGCAGGTTCTTCGACCTCAGCGACACCCTCGGGGGCAAAGCGCTTCTCGCCATCGGCCACGAGGTCATCCATCTCGCCAAGGAGCTTCTCAAGAGCCTCCTCGGTAGTGAGCATACGATCCTCCTCGCGGATACCATCGCCCTCGCCAAACTTGACACCATCCCAGCCTTCGGGGGTCTTGTACCATCCGGGTCCACTGAGCTTTCCACTCAGGGCACTGGCAGCCACGACCTCGGGGCTACCAAGGTAAGCAAGAGCGTCCTTGGATCCCATGCGGCCCTTGAAGTTACGGTTGGAGGCACTGATTCCAACCTCGCCGGGCTCGAGCAGACCGGTGCCGAGACCGATACAGGGACCACATCCAGCAGGGAGAGTAGTGGCACCTGCATCAAGCAGGACCTGCCAGTCACCGGCCTCCTCGGCAGCACGCTGCTCGGGAATAGAAGCGGCGGCAATATAGAACTCAACGCCGTCGGCAATCTTGGCAACTTGGCCTCCGTTCTTCTCAGTGGCTTCCCTGAAGACCTGCGCAGCAGCGCAGATGTCAGAGGCACGGGAGTTGGTGCAAGACACGAGATAAGCCTTGTTGACCTTGATATCGGCAGCTTCCAACTCACTCAGAGGAGTGGCCACCTTGACCGAGTTAGGGCCAGAAACGTAGGGAGTCAAAGAGGCAAGGTCAATGTACAGCTCTTTGGCGTACTTGGCTCCCTTGTCGGCTTTCAAGGGGTTCGCGAAGAGCTCCTCAATAGCAGCGTGGGTGAAGTTCTGGCTAGCCAGGGTCTTGTAGGTGCCATCACCCTCACCCAATCCCATGGCTCCGAGGGTAGCCTTGGCGGTCATCCAAGACTTCAACACATCATCCATGGGGAAGAGGCCAGACAGCGCACCCCATTCGGTGGTCATGTTGGCGATTGTCAAACGGTAATCGATAGGCAGGCTGCGCATGGTCTCCTCGGAACCAGTGAACTCGATGGCGTGGTTGAGGACATCATCCTTTCCAAAAATTCCACAAAGGGCGACGATCAGGTCCTTTCCGGTCACACCAGTAGGCAGAACACCAGTCAAAGTAACCTTGGCAACAGGGGGGATTGCCCACCAGGTCTTCTTGGTTGCCCTAGTCCAGTTAGCACAAGATATTTGTTCACGGTTCGACGGCGACATACCAAACAGAAGATGCATCAGTGCGAACAATGGGTGTACCCTATGCCTGTTAAGAAAAGAAATTTATACCATAAGTTCCAGAAAGACTTACCAATGCTCCAATACCACCGTAGTGATTGGAGTGACTGTCACTGGCCACGCAGAGCGTTCCAGGCCAAGCATGACCTTCCTCCACCATCAACTGATGTCCAATTCCTCGTCCAGCGCCGTAGAACTCGACTCCGTGCAGCTTGGCAAAGTCCTCAATCTGCTGGTACTTCTGCAAGTTCTTTTCGGTCTTGTTCTGCACGTCATGATCGAGGGTCATAATGACCTGGTTGGGGTCCTTAATCTCGGACGCTCCGATGGACATGAACTTCAATGCCACGGGCCATGAGTTGTCGTGGGTCATGCAGCGGTGGGGGGCAATGGTGACATAGTCGCCCGATTGCACAAACTTTCCTTCGGGCAGGCCGACGGAGTATTTCTGGACAATCTTTTCGGTCAAGGTCTGGGGAACCACTTTGGCAGATTGCATGGACGAGAAGACGGCGGCGGCGGCTGGGTCCTCCAATTGGGAGTGGAAGGCCGGTGAGTTGGCCTGCTGGTAGCCCAGCTTAGAGGAGGTAAAGGTGCGACGCTGGAGGGCTGTGGGTACGGGGCCCCTGGTCGAAGTAAAGGCGAGGCGTCGCAGGGTACTGGGGACAGGGCCGCGCAGCAAGCGCCGGCCCAGGGTGGCCGAAGGCAATAATCGGGACTGCATATGTCGTTAGTCGTCTGCCATTGGAATTGAGGGCACTTCCACATACCGTCATTTTCCGTGATCAGGGCTTGAAGTCCAAGAAGTTGAGTCGAGTCACCGCAGAGAAATAGTCGGCAAATAAGCGGCCTGCTATTCAGGGCCCGTTTTACTCAGCTGCATTCCTATTGGCTGTTCGGCACGGGGAGAGGCAAACAGTGCAAACACCCCGGCAGATCGCGTCATCTGTCACATGACTCGGATCAAATCCGCCGATGTCGGATCTTCTCTTCTTTCTGTTCTTTGGTCTTTGGTCTTTGGTGTCTGTATACTTCGACTTCTTCTACATATAGCCTGTTCTCATAGAAACACTGCTATTTGATACTCCCATATTACATGGCAAACCACATTGAGGATTTGCTATCTTTTGATCTTTCACTTTGCACTGACCCCAGTCGCATCATAGACTATTTGACCCCACCATCCCACTACAGTATACATTAGACTGCAATTTTGAAGACTGCCATGGATATAAACATGCCAATTGATCCTTGAGGCCTTCAGGCATTGAGCATCTTAATTACCATGATCTATGCCAATATCCAGACCCTTAACAGGGCCACTTCCAGTGACTCATACCCCACTGTACTTAGTATATAAAGCAGAGGCCACCGAGGATAAAAAAAAACTCATAGTCTAAACATCCACAAATTAAACGAGATACATCAATTGGTTTATTCAAATCGATACTATCCGATTGACTGTTTGACCGATTGACGGTGATCTACTTGGAGGGGATATTTTATACTCTTCCCGCAAGGTCCACTTCTACATCTTTTTCTCTCCACCAACATCATGCCCTCAAGACAAGAAGTATCCTACTTTGGAGCTGGCCCCGCGCCCCTCCCCACCTCCGTCGTGGAAGCCGGCGCAAAGGCATTCGTCAACTTCAACGACTGCGGTCTCGGTCTCGGCGAGATCTCCCACCGTTCACCAACAGCCACCAAGATCCTCGAAGACGCCAAGGCCAATCTCTCTGCCCTCCTCGATATCCCGGATAACTATGAGATCCTGTTCATGCAGGGTGGTGGCAGTGGTGGGTTCAGTGCGGTCGTGCAGAACCTCGTCTCCGTCTGGATCGAACGTCGTCGCCGCCGCGCAGAGGCCGATGTGAAGCAGGCCCAGCCCGATGCGGACCAGGCGCAGATCGACGAACTGGTGTTCCAGCGACTGCAGAAGGAGGTGGACGAGGAATTGAAGCTGGATTACCTCGTGACAGGCTCTTGGTCGCTCAAGGCTTCCCAGGAAGCCAGCAAACTCGTTGGTTCCAAGTATGTGAATGTGGCGTTGGATGCCCGCAAAGCCAATGGGGGCAAGTTTGGCAAGATCCCTGCGGAGGAATCTTGGTCTTTGACTCCTACCAAGAAGGAAGGTGGCAAGGGCTCTGCGTTTGTCTACTTCTGTGACAATGAGACCGTTGACGGTGTCGAGTTCCAACAATTGCCCAAGTCATTGGAGCCCCAGGGCCAGGACCCCGAGGATGAGCGTCTTGTCATTGCCGACTTGAGCTCCAACTTCATCAGCCGTAAGGTTGATGTCAGCAAATATGCTGTTCTTTTCGTGCGTTACTTCAATCTATGCATACCCCCAAGACCAGACTAACCAGTTTGCATGCAGGGTGGTGCCCAGAAGAACATCGGTGTCACTGGAATCACTATCGCCATTGTCCGCAAGGACCTCCTCCCCCCTCAGACTGCCACCCCTCCCCCGGCCCTCCTCCACCGATTGAACATCGGTGGTCTCCCCGGACCCGTGGTGTTCGACTATGCGACCATCGCCAAGAACAACTCCCTCTACAACACCCTCCCCATCTTCAACCTTTGGATTGCCGGCCAAGTGATGGCCGATCTGGTGGCTGAGTTCGGCGCCCAAAAGGTCAGCGGCCAGGAAGCGATTGCCAACAAGAAGGCGCAGCTTATCTACGGAGCTCTGGACAAGTACCCGCAAGTGTACCAGGTTGTTCCCGATGTCAGCGTCCGCAGCCGCATGAACATCTGTTTCCGCGTCCTCGGTGGAGACGACGTCAAGGAGAAAGAGTTCATTGCCGGCGCGGAGAAGCGTCTTCTTCAGGGTCTCAAGGGTCACCGCAGTGTTGGTGGTATGCGCGCTAGCAACTACAACGCCGTTCCTTTGGAGAACGTGCAGAAGTTGGTGGCTTACCTTGAGGACTTCGCTGCAGCTCTGTAGATCTGGCAGAGCGATATCAACCTGAACAGGACAGAAATGGGATAACGACAAAGAGCACAGGAGAGCTGCCATTGTATTTTCAACATAAAAGCTACCGTAAGAGCTAGTACTCCATATGAATTATAGATTTTTTTTTTCCTTTCCTTAAAAGTGTCTAATTATCTATGTTATTGGCAGACATTACACTCTAGAGCTTCCATACCCCCCAATCTTTGAGATCAAGCTCCCTGATAATTCCATTCAAGGGTCCCTGAAGCTCTTGTCCCTGAGCCCATAGCTTAGGCCCCGCCATGTAGCTGATGAATCCTTCAGGCCCCGAGACCAGGATCAGCTTGCTCTTGCGGTCACTGGACGAATCGATCGAGGCACGAACGGCCTCTTTCCCAATGAATGTATTTTCCTCATCCAAGTAGTAATCCACGGTGACCTGCCCCGGATACTGTGATTTCAATGCCTCCAATTCCCGTACAATCAGAGACTGGTCCTCTTCTCTGACCGGTACGATCTCCCGAGCCTCCTTCTTGCCACCAAACCAGCCCGAAAGCCATCCCTGCGTCGGTGGAGGCTTCAATGAATCACTCTGACCACCTGCACAATCATCCTTTAACCGATTGGCCCACAAAATATGAATCTTGCTCCTTCCACCCCGACTCAACAGAGAATATCCAGCTTGGAGCGCAGGCGCAATGCCCGTGCCACCCGCAATAAACAAAACCTCCTCCGTCTCCTTCGGAATAGCACACTCAATCTTCGGTCCTCGCATCTCAACATCCGCGCCCACCTCGATCGTGTGCAGATACCGCGACACCTCGCCGAATGGATCCTTCCGGATGAAGAAGCGCAAGCAACCCTCGTTTTCGTCTTCGACTGTCAGTCCCGTTGCGGCGGTCGTGGGTAACGGGGTATAATCGCGTCCAATTTGGAGTTGCGGTTGTTTGAACATCACACTCCACACGCCAGTGGCCCAGGCTTCTTCGTAGACATCGTAGTTCGATTCGCTGAATCGGCGCGGCCGAAGCGTGAAGAGACTGCTTGTAGCTGAGACAGGCTCGCGAGATACCAGGCTGTATTTGGTGAAGGTTTCTGGGTTCAGGGTGGCGGAGTCATTGCTTTGGCGGACATAAATGCCTGCAGCTGTTGCGGTTGCGCCGACGACGAGGAAGCCCAGCCAGCGGGACTTTGATTTGGAGGGCGGAGATGGAGTAGGAGAATGAGCAGAGGCAGAAGCAGAAGTAGAGGTAGAGGTAGCAGTAGAAGCCCAGCGAAAGCGGGCAGCTCTCGTTAGGCGGTGCATGTTGGAGAAAAGAAAGGCGGGGAGAATGCGAAGGGGGTCAAAGCCAAGACTTGGATCGCCCCTTGGCGTTTTCCTTTTCTTCTTTCTTTTTACTCTTTCGAGTTCAGTTGCGCAGAGTATCTTGCGAGTATCTTGCAGAATACTCTGAAGCTAACTAAGATCACTGGCTTAAGGCAAATGGAGATCCTCCATTGACACAATACACAACATGTCCAGACCGGGCCACGCACGAGACTCATTGGAACTCGCATCTCTCGCCTCGTCATCGCCAGGTTCAGCAGGATCTTCTCGCTCTTCTTCTCCCGGAATCTCCTCCTCGCGAAAGCTCTCTCTCGAAGACCAAGACCCTCTCGCCGAGTCGCATACCGAGCTAGAATCAGGCAGAGGGCCCCGATCCTACTCGATTTCCTCGGCCTTTGACTTTGGACGCACTCTCTTCCCACTCTCACAAACACAGGGTGGCTATGCGCCCCTCGGTACCCCGTCCGCCGACAGACCAGCCGATGGATCATTAGAACGGAACAAAACCCTGACCTACCTGAATGGGTTGTCGCTGATTGTCGGGCTGATTATTGGATCTGGAATCTTCTCATCGCCGAGTCAGGTAAATGCCAATGCAGGGTCGCCAGGTGCCGCTTTGATCGTCTGGGCTGTGGCGGGTCTGTTGGCCTGGACGGGAGCGGCGAGCTATGCAGAGCTGGGAGGAGCTATTCCTCTGAATGGTGGTTCGCAGATATATCTCTCCAAGATCTTTGGAGAGCTTCCGGGCTTCCTGTTCACCTGGTGTGCAGTATTGGTTTTGAAACCAGGTTCCGCGGCCATCATCTCGATTATCTTCGGTGAATACATCGTTCGAGCCTTTGTCGGTGCTGATGTCGGCGACGTCAGCCCATGGATCAACAAGGCGGTTGCCTTTGGAGGACTTCTAACAGTGACCTTGCTCAATTGCATCTCTACCAAGTTCGCCACTCGAATTGGCGATCTGTTCATGTTCTTCAAATTTGTGGCTCTCCTCGGTGTAACTGTTATTGGTATCATTGTTGCTGTGACAGGTCTTTCATCTACGGGCGATGCCAACGAAGAATGGAAAACGCATGGCTGGTTCGAAGGCACCAACACCGAGATCTCTGATTTCGCAGTGGCCTTGTATGCCGGTCTCTGGGCATTTGACGGCTGGGACAATGTAAGTGGAGGCACACAGCTGTGGGATATACTTCAAACTCACATTCTCTAGACCAACTATGTGACGGGTGAATTCAAGAACCCGAACCGCGACCTGCCACGGGTCATTCATACAGCAATGCCCCTGGTCATTTTGTCCTATTTGCTTGCCAACGTCTCCTACTTCCTGGTACTGCCCCATTCCACCATCGAAGCCAGCAATACTGTGGCTGTTCAATTTGGTGCAAAGGTTTTTGGTACCGTTGGGGCTCTCATCCTTGCCCTTGTTGTAGGAGCCAGTTGTTTTGGAGCACTGAACGCAACCACCTTCACCAGCGGCCGTCTGGTGTACGCCGCGGGCAAGGAGGGCTACCTACCCGGAATCTTCGGGCGCATTGGACTCTCTGCCCAAACAGGGCCACCAGCGGGTAGTCGACTGCGCCGACGGTCCTGGGCTCGTCGGTCTCTCTCCCGAGTCTTCGGTGATGAATCCCGACTTGGTCTCACCCCCATCTATGCGATGGCCTTCAACGGTGCTTTGACCATCATCTACATCGCTGTCGGGGAGTTCGGCACCCTCGTCACCTTCTACGGTGTTGCCGGATACACCTTCTACTTCCTCACCGTGCTGGGCCTGATTGTCCTGCGCATCCGTGAACCGCAACTCGAACGGCCTTACCGCACATGGATCACCACTCCCATTATCTTCTGCTGCGTCAGCCTCTTCCTTCTCAGTCGGGCTGTCATCTCAGAGCCCCTGCAGACCCTTATTGTGGTGGCTTTCATCATCACTGGTGTTCCTGTCTATTACTGGCGAATTCATCAGCGTGATGGCCGTATCGATCTTCCTAACTGGAAATTCTGGAAACGATCCGGTTGAGCGGTTCTGCTGGTTTTTCTGCATATATACCTGTGTATGGTACTCCGTACAGATGATTGTATTTGTGAGACTCTTGCGCCTGTCTCAGGCGATGATTTTATGACCATGGCTCCGACGGGGATGGCTTGCCTCGCCAGGTCATTTTCTTTCTTGTTTTATTATTCCAAAGCTCCATAGATTACGTGCTATGGCGCGCATATATAATACTTTCTACAGAAACAATCTTCACTTGGAGAAGTGTGGCAATGGCACACCTCAAGCCCTGCAATTTACGCCAAGACACAGTACTGGACCCTTGTCGCTTTACTCGCCTATGCACATTCTATATTCTATAAAACAATCAGTTTGGCTGTATACTGCCATATCCAAATCCTCCAAATTTACTGACTTGGCTATAGAATCCGTTCAAACCCCCAGGCCATCCCAGATATCCGCATGCAAAAGCACTGCAGGCTCGATATTCGGGCTAGTGGATTCTGCAAAGAAAATAGGCTCGAAACAAGAGTCAGATGGATGGTAAATGCGCGTCGAGATCACGGTTCTCTCATTGACGAATACCTCCAACACACTCGAGTCGAAGAATGCGTGGACTTCCAGGTTCTCTTCAGTCTTTCCGGTCTCACCCTCGAAAGTGAATAGTGTGTGTGGTGCCGTTTCATAGCCCTGGTTGATTTCGGTGTTTTCGATCTTTGGTCGGTGGATGGTGAATGTCTCGCTGTGTGGATGCCAGGAAAGAGTAGTGCAACTTTGACCGTCTACATCACGGTTAGTATATGGTCTGATTCAGGTGGAAACGATATCATACCGGCAGTGTGAGGGATTCTGATGCCAACTCGAGAACAGGATTGACCAACAGAGAACTCCGCCTCGATTTCCCATCGAGATGTCATGGAGGCACCTATCTGATCCTTAGGTGCAGACAGGATCTCGCGATCTCGGTGGTGTCTTTGAGCCTTCTTTCGGAGATGCTGAAGTCGGCTGTCTGGGCTAATCATCATGGTCTGCACGGTGAACACATGGGCATCAGGAATGGCCTCGATCGAGGTAATTGCGCTCAAAGGCGAGTGACGCGCTCTGATGACATGGTTCAATGTCATCAATCCTACTACGCGAGGAAGTGAAATCAATCCGCTGAATCCTTGTCGATGACGAAGAGAATCTGACAAATCCTCTTCTGTGATCCAGCCATAGACGATCTGCTGTGCGGTTTGCGTATCGTAGAAGGAATTGGCGGCATAGAAACAGCCATGATCGAATATACCAGAGAATGCATAGGAGGTCAGCGCATCTGTCGATGTTTCTGCCAACTTGACAGATACCCAGAGTTGTCCTCGGACTTCTCGTCTCCGACGAGCTTCTTGATCGCCATCGCCAAAGTCGCCCGTGCTGTCCAAGGGTAAGCACCCCTCAGCTCCCATGATGACAAAATCCCGAGATGCGGTTTCGCTCTTGAGAGTCATGAGGTTGGCTACTTCCCAGTTCACTCCAAGATCTCCAGACCAGCGGGAGGGCCGCAGATTGAGTCCTGTGTCGAGCAGTGGACCAATGAATTCCCATTCGCGGAGATCATTGGGATTCACCTTATACACGAAGACAGTGGGGGATCTTTTGGCGATACCTCCTGAGATGAATCCATAGAGGGCTGATGGATCGGCATCAGGCCCCTCGGCCCAAGTCGTGATACACGGGTCCCTCCAGCCGGTGACATCCAGGTGGGAAGGGGGGCCTGCGATGATTGGATTGCAGGCTTGACGCTCCCAGTTCCTGCCTCCGTCCCGGGAGACGGCTAGACTGAGTGATTCACTGCCATACGTGTATGGAAGGGTGTGGTGGATTGGGAGATGTTTGACGGATGTGTACAAGATTGTCAGGGCGCCGGGGACACCGGCAACATCAGTTGCTCTGAGGCATCCGGTAAAGACACCACGACAGTCGTATTCAGATTCCGGGGCTAAAATGGGGTCCAAATATGGGGTCCACGATACTAAATCTGGGGAAGTGGCGTGGCCCCAGGAAATATTTCCCCAGTCGTTTCCGTGGGGATTCCATTGGAAGCATAGATGGTATAATCCTGTTGCAGGGTCGTATCCCAGACCACACGGATCATTTAGCCATCCTGGGGCTGTGAGATGAAAAGATGGTCTCCACTGCGAGGCATTTGGGGGTAAATTCTTTTCGTCGGTCAATGTCTCTTGGCTTTGACGTGGAGAGACGGATTTCTGTAAGGGTTTGAGGATGGGAACTTCTAATTCTGAGGCCATCTCGGAATGTCACGGAAATATACTCCGTCTTTGCTGAAAATGTCAGATGAGAGAGCCCCTGGTCTCTGAATACTATCTCGGTCCTCAGATTACAGTCTGACTGCCGGGTCCATCGCGGGAGTTGGTCGGGGGCATATGCAGTCTAGCGGAAGATTGTCGGCGAAACCAAATGCACCGTAGTCGATCTGGGGTAGTGGAGTACAGGAACTGAGCTGCACTGTCTCTGTTTCAGTGGACTTGGACCCTTGATGCAGTTGACTGATGCCGTTGACTGGGAAATCTCGGAGAAACTCGATCAGTCAATTAAATCCGGGATTCAAAGTTCTGGATGCGACGTTCCTCCCTGAACATGGACATAAAAGCATGAGTAGGGTTCGTGTTGGCACTGCGCTCACTCTGTTCCTGCATTGGCTTTCTTCTTTCACGATGGACAAGTTGGAGGTCCAGCATGTCGACTTTCCACATTCCCGCCATTCGCAGATCAATGCCCGCTTGATCTTCACTTGCGTGGTATTCGGCGCAGCCTCTTTTCTCTTTGGATTTGACGACAAAATCATTTCCCCTGTTGCTGCATTACCGGCGTTTGTGAGTCAATCTGCCTGGTAAAAGAATAAGTCATGCTGATGAGAACAGGTGGAGAAGTTCCAAGGACCCAATCCCTCAGGGAAGTATGTCCTCACAGCGCGCAATCAGAATCTCGTCTTCTCGCTGCCTCTGGTGGGCTCGGTCTTTGGGGGGCTGTTGGCCTCGCCGATGAACTATCACTTGGGGCGCAAATGGCCGCTCATCATAGCTTATATCGTCTCCGTGGGAGGTGGCTTGCTGCAAGTCTTTGCCCCGAATTTAGGGGCTTTCATTGGAGGTCGTTCAATTAATGCTGTTGCATTGGGTATTGTCAATGCGACTGCCCCGTTGTATATTGCCGAGGTAAGAAGCATAGAGTCTTTTGTGTGTGAAGACAACCTGATTTCAATAGGTGGTTCCTGCATCGATTCGAGGCAGATCAGTCAGTTCAACCAACATCTTGAATCTCACAGCTGGAGTCGTGGGCACAGTAGTTGTCTTTCGATCAGAAAAGATCCCAGGAATCCTATCCTACCAGATCCCACTCGCAGTGCAATGTGCTCTGCCCGTCATTCTATTCTTCTTAACAATTCCTCTTCCAGAAAGCCCACAATGGCTGGTGGGAAAAGAAGAAATGGAACGAGCACGCGATAGTCTGCGCAAACTGCGCGGGTTCAGTGACGAAGAAGTCGACGATGAGCTTCGTCTGATGAAGCGGAATGAAGAGAGCGAGCGCGAGCTCCATGCAAACACCCAATTCTGGCACATATTCCAGCGCCAACATATCAAGCGCACTATCACGGCGGGATCTTTCTTCTCTCTCAATCAGATCTCCGGTGTGATTCTCTCAACTACCTATACCACTGTCTTCCTGACCGAAATCGGGGTGGCCAACGCTTTCACCTTGACGATCATTGCCTCCTGTTGCACTTTAGCCGGGACTATCGCGGCCCCCTTCGTTATCGACCGAGCTGGGCGACGACCAACGGCCTTCGTCGGCATGGGGATCCTCTTCGCTGTCGACGTGGCCGCCGGTAGTCTGGCATTTCACAGAACCAAGAACACCACCATGGCCATTGCCGCGCTGTCCTTCGTATTCAACTTCTTCTGGGCTTCCTCCTTTTTCTCGCTGTCGAACCTCATGCCCTCCGAAATGGCCACTCCAAAGCTTCGCCACCACACCATGTCCTATACGGTAGCGTGTGCGCAAACCACGGCCGTCATCACCACGCTGGTGGTTCCCCAGCTGACCTCGGCAGATGCAGCGAATCTCGGGGCCAAGACGTATCTGGTCTTTGCTGGTTGTATGGCTGCTATTATTGTGTTTTTCTACTTCCTCATGCCAGAGACCAGGGGTCGATCCTTCGCCGAGATAGATGAGATGTATGCTGCGAAGATCCCGATGTGGAAATGGAGGTCCTATGAGACTTCGTTTCAGAGGTCTCGTGCGTCTAAGAGATAACTTTGTAGATAAAATGTACAAAGGCATATGTATAATTATTCCATCCAAAACTCCAAAATTGAAACATATACATGTAATATCGTTGTCTTTAGACCATGGGTATGGTATTTGATACCAGCCCATGGGAATATATGCTTCGGAGTGCACTCCAAAGCCAAAGAACAAAAGCAGATAGAACGCGGACGCCAATATCCCGGTCTATATCAAAATTAAAAAGAAGTAATTCATACAAGAGATCAGCAAAGATCTAGAATAGTTCAAGTTGGTCATCGCTGCGGCCAATCTGGTTTAGGTGGCTCCATGATCTGCAAGGATCGTAAATGAGCTCGGTACTTTTCCAAGTAGGGATGGTTGCCGCCGCGGAAACTGGTCATCAGTAACAAAAAGTCTTCGGCGAGACTGTGTGGGGTGGAGGTGGTGCCGGGGGGAATCGTTTCGTTGTAGTTGACAGGCATGTTCAACGTGCCGCCAAAGGGAGGGCTAGTGTTGCAAAGAATATTCGTGGCGCAGATGGCGATATCATACAGCTTTTCGGTCTGGGAAATTCATTAGTTGCGTTACAGAAGGAATCTTAGAGTTACATACCAATCCAATCCCATGAGCTTCCATCGAACTGAGCCGTAATGACTGGCACAGCTGTAGTGTTGATTCGGCAATGCTCACAGCATAACCGAAAGTCAACTCTGGCCGTTCGGAATGAGCCGATAAAAGGCCGTGTGTCGAGGACAGAAGCCAAACCCGATTCTGCAACCACTTCTGCGTGATGAAAACATCCGCAGCTTGCGTTTCACGGAGGCCCATGGCCAGGATGACATTGTTGCTTTCACCACGGCCTCCTTTCGCACGCTCAAACCAGTCATAGCCGCGATATCGTTCGGCTTGATTGATTCGACCGAGATTCTGATGGATGGAGAGCGCCTTGGCCTCTGTGAGCCGTTGGCAGTAGCTGTTGCCACTATCGCATCGACGGTTCCAGCAGTCGATGACATCTTCGTCGATGGCGTCGAAGAGCTCCATCATCCGGGCGAGGCCCATCATACCCTCGGCGTCTTTTTCGTTGTGCACGATTATACCCGACACGACGCTATGCGTGGCGCTGTGGATGAAATCGTGCACAGATCGCATCGTGAAGCCGGGTTTTCCCCAGAATGTGATTGGATGACGCCGTTGCAAGGCGTAGGCTCTGCGCTTGGTCAGTATTGATTAGATGAAGAATGGCGGAGGACCTACCGTTCCGTGATGGATAACACGAGATATGTGCGCAGTCGCTGGCCCTTCTCCTCTCCCGGTAAATCATGATATGACTCTGGATCGTTCAGACCTAGGGTAGCTGCGAGATCTAGGGCCTCTCGCATTCGGAGCCATGCTGCATTATGCTGATTACTCCCAAACAAACATCCGAAGAGGAAGAAACTCGTGAGTACGGCCTCGATGGTCGGATTCTCGCCGAAATCGGAACAGCTTCGCATCTTCGTGGCTTCGTTCATCATGGCGCGTGCCTGGAGTGCGCGCGAGGACGTCGTCGGCCGTTCGTCGATTTCAATTGGCTGTGTGAGCGAAAAGGCGCACAGCGAAAGTAGCATCGCACCAAATTGGGGGTTCTTGCGATGCTCCCGGGTCAACATGGAGGTATATAGCGAGGATCGACTGAGCACGGGAATGGTTGGATGTAAACGATCAAAATATACATCAATCCATGGGATCATGTTTGCTTCGCTGATCGTTGACGGCCAGGGTGCCTCTGATTCTGTGTTGTCCGACTGCATGGAGCTCACATTTGGTGAGGGCGAGTATTGCATCGGTTGCGCCTCTTGCGGCATTCCTATGGCCGCTTCGGGCACTGGTTGGATGATGGATGGGAGGGAGGATTTGAGATAGACATTGCTGCCGGGGTATTCAAAGACGGGGATTTGCGAGTTGAGATTATCTGGCAGCCAGTACTCCACGTCATTTCGTTCATTCCAACCCACAGCCCCACTGCTATGAGAGTCCATCGACTGGGTGTCTGTTCCCCAGGTGGTCATTGAAGTCGGTGGAGCCGATGGCGCCAATCCGCCGGCCCCCTCTAGGGGCATCGTGACTGGGCCATGAGTGGGGGTCCACGGGGGTCCCGGCAACGAGCTTTGCCCGGACTCGACGGAGGAAGTCGGAGTGTATTGAAAGTTGGCCTTGGAGATCGCCTCTTCTTGTGGCGTTGGCAGCGTTTGCTGCTGTCGAATTTGCGACACGCGACTGAGCTCCGGAGTCAGTCCGATGCTCCTCTACGGATGATTTGTACACTTACTGCCCGGTTGGTCCGCGCTTCTTCTGTGGCTGAAAGAAGGTACATTCAAACCCCATCGAGGTACAGGCCTTGCATGGCTGTGATAAGCTACACTAGAGGCGCGCGTCAATGTGATTCGACAGGAGACGGGGGGCGAGATTACCTTGATTTTGCGAAACTTGCATTGATCACAGGCGCGCTTGGCGATGGCCTTTTTGGTCCGGATAGCGCCGGGCGATCCGGTACTTGAGCTTGATTCCATTGAATCGGGACTCCATGGGGAGGTCAAGTCAAGAGAGTCAAGAGAGTAGAGAGTCAAGAGAAGAGTAAAGAGGAGAGCAGAGGTTGAGCTCGGGACCCACATGGATTCCCCGCTCTCCCAATGCGTCGAACGGTGATCTCTCAGTATATAGTACTACTATATAGTATAGTATATGTAGTATAGTTAGTATAACTTAGAAGTAGTACAGTATATTATTTAACTATTGACTGATATTCTATGTGATCTACTAAGTTAAGTATATCATTTATACTATATATGCCAATGTTGTGTTATATTGTGATGTCTATACATACTTAGTATGAGGGTATTCAAAGACCTATAGTAAGTACTAATAAGTACATAAGTATTATCTCTAGTTAAGTAGATAGATACTAATATTACCTAGAGTATCTCCTATCTAAGTACCCCAATTAGTTGGGGTTGATAAGACTCGGCTACTTGTCCGATATCACTATATAACACTATATAACCCTACATAACCCTACATAACCCTACATAACCCTAGGTATATAACACTACTTATACCTGCAGACTTCACACCATGTGGACAGACATCGCAGCGCGCAAGCGACACCTGAGAGACCAACTCATTGCCCCATACCAGGACAATGTCGATCGTCCACCCCAGGTCCAAAATGTCCATGAACGCAGCCAAATCGAATCAGAACCCCAAGTGCAGAAGATCACGGATATCGACAATGTGGCCTCCCTACTCAAACAGATTGAGAAAGGGGAATGGAGTGCGGAAGATGTGACCCGGGCTTATATTAAACGGTAGGTGTCCGTTCCGAGAGACCTCGGGAATCCATGCTGACGGTCCAGATCGGTGGTGGCACAACAGCTGGTAGGGTCTGAATCACCATCGCAGCTCCCTCCCACTAACAGCGATAGACCAATTGTCTGACAGAGATCTTGTTCGAAGACGCGCTACAGCAAGCGCGACAGCTAGACCTCGAGTTTAAAGAGACCGGTGCGCTCAAAGGTCCTCTACATGGTATCCCCGTCACACTGAAAGACCAATTCAATGTCAAGGGCGTCGACACCACGCTCGGCTATGTGGGGAGATCGTTTGCACCAGCCACGGAAGACGCGGTCCTGGTGCAGATGTTGAAGAGCATGGGCGCCATCGTCATCGCCAAGACGAACATCCCCCAGAGTATTATGGTTTGTAGCGACCAACCTGATACAGACAAGTGACTGACATCCCGCAGTGGGCCGAGACTGAGAACCCCCTCTGGGGACTCACCACGAACCCTCGGAACCCGGACTTCTCACCGGGAGGGTCAACAGGGGGCGAAGGGGCCTTACTGGCCCTGCATGGCTCCCTGATGGGATTTGGAACGGATATCGGAGGGAGTGTCAGAATTCCGTCCAGTACCCTGGGATTATATGGGTTCAAGCCAAGTGTGAGTATGACCGTAACCCTATCTGTAAACACCCAGCTCACAGGATCCAGAGTGCCCGACTCCCTTACCAGGGGGTACCTGTCTCTACAGAGGGCCAGGAACATGTCCCCTCGTCCATTGGACCCATGGCCCGAGATCTTTCCTCGATCTGCTACGTGAGTCGGCTCATCGCGAACAGCCAGCCGTGGAATCATGACCCGAAATGTGTTCCTCTCGCTTGGAATGAAGATGCATTCCAAGAGATCCAAGAGAGGAAGATGGTCATTGGTCTGATCCTGGACGATGGCATGGTCAAAGTCCACCCGCCCATTGCACGTGCGCTCAAAGAGCTATCCGCTCTGCTGGAAGCGAATGGCCATGAAGTGGTGATTTGGGATACCGCACTGCATGCATCGTGCATTGAGATTATGGATTTGTTCTACTCGGTCGATGGATGCGAAGATATCAGACGAGATATCGAGGCCGGTGGGGAGCCGATGATTCCCCATGTCGAAATGCTAGTCAATCGTGGCAAAGCGATCTCGGTATACGAGTATTGGCAGTTGAACAAGCGGAAGATTGCCGCGCAGAAGCGGTACCTGGACCAGTGGAATGGGGTCCGCTCAAAGTCTGGTCAACCCGTCGATGTTTTGCTGAGTCCGACTTTGCCTCATACAACGGTGCCGCACCGGAAGATGAAATGGGTGGGATATACCAAGATTTGGAATCTGCTGGACTACCCTGCCGTGACCTTCCCAGTGGATCGAGTCCGGGCAGACGATGTGTTGCCGGAGTATGTCCCTAGAAACACCCTCGATGAGTGGAATTGGAACCTGTATGATGCAAAGCAAGTGGAGGGTTATCCGGTGAACCTGCAAGTGATCGGGAAGAAACTACACGAAGAGAAGGCTCTTGGGGCTGCTACAGTGATCGAGAACCTTTGGAAAGCCCACAGAAGCTCCAGTAGCGATTAGAATAGATATTGAGATTTTGTTTTTCGGAAAATTCGATTCTAGATTCGAGACGTAACTCATCATGTAGGACTTTTGGACCCGAGTCACTGAAAGGACACCAAACGCCGTGGTAATTATGCAAAGAATGTCAGGTTGTTTAAGCCTTGGCTTCAAAGAGCTCGGGCTTCATATTGATCCTGCATAGCTTCGCCACACAGCCGCTGAGTTGGAGGAGAGATTGCACTCCGTCCAGGATGCGCATATGGGTAAAGCCAATCTCCCGGATGAACTCGAGTTTGGAGTGCTCGGACAAGGTGGGAATGGTCTTGGTCACTCGGAACATAGTACTGATGATGTCGTGAGAGGAGTATCCCAGGGTCCTGTAGATGAAGACGGTTAGAGCTGTTGATAATGCTAAAAGGAGTTCAACCCACCATAGTTCGTTCAACCCCTCCAGAGCGGAATCCACTTTGCCTTCCCAACAGGCCTTGATCATGGCCTGGACCTTGACTGGGTGTGGGCTATCCACGACTCGGAACACATTATCTCCACTGACAAAGCCGAAGCCGGAGGCGGTACTCTGCAAGTTATTGATCGCCTGACGCATATCACCCTCGGCACTGAAGACCAGAGCAGCAATACCATCCTCCGAGTGCTGGACCTTTTCCGCCTCACAGATTTGCATCAACCGTTTGACGACTTGGGCGTCGGTCAACCGGGCATATCGAAGAATTGCACAACGGGACTGCAAAGGTTCAATGATCTTATTGGACTGGTTGCAGGCAAAGGCGAATCGGGTGGTGGAGGAATAAATTTCCATAGTACGTCGTAGAGCTTGTTGGGCACCACCGGTCATACTGCAGGATGTTAGTCATGTAGGAAGCCGTTGCCCCAGTTGACATACCTGTCCGCTTCATCGAGAATCACCAGCTTATGCCGACCTTGTGGCAAGGTCACCTTCTTCTGGGCAAAGCCCTTGATGCGATTGCGCACCACATCGATACCTCTCTCATCACTGGCGTTCAGTTCCAGCACGGCCTCCTTGTATGAATCCCCCAACATCTGGCGTGCTAGACACAGCACGGAGGTTGTCTTTCCAATACCGGGCATTCCGGAAATGATCACATGGGGCATATTGCCATCCTTTGCGATGATCTTTAAGCGTTCCACTGTCTCCGTGTTGCCCACAATGTCATCGAGGAAGATGGGGCGGTATTTCTCGACCCTGCAAGGTCAGCTTTGATCCCTCCATGGGGGTTGTTCTACTCACCAGGGGAGCTCATAGTTGGCTGGGGCACCAGCAGTGCTAGCCTTTGCGGCATTGCGAGAAGCGCTTGTAGAGGACTCTGCGGCCATTGTGAATATACTACAGACACTGACACTGACACTGAACAGAAGAGAAGAGAAGACGCGACGCGTGCGATAAGCTTGTCAAGTGGCCCGTGCGAGTCGAAGTACTTTTCTACTCTTTATACATCTTCATATATTATATTCTATATTTTAACATATTATAAAGAATATAGAATATAGAATATATGTGTATGGATAGAAGAGAAAGATACAGAATAGCATATAGAGAAAATAAGAAAATACAAGTATTGAATTGCTTGGCAATATAGTGTGCAACTCTCAACACTCTGAATCTACATTCCGCACCCTCTCTTCTACTCTCCTCCCTTCACCCAACTATTCTTACTTCCTACTATTCTTACTTGCTAAAGGTTAGCCAGTATTGCAGAACCACCTTGCTATTATATACCGACTCTGCAACCACACACCACTGCCATATCCGACACCCTCCCGGCAACAACCCTGCGTCTCACCCAGACTGAAAAAACACAAGTTACGCGCCTACCAACACAATGACAAACCCAAGCTCCGTCCGTCGCAATCTTTTCCACGGCAATCTCAGCCGTCGACCAGCCTCGGCAGGACCCCCCAATGGCGTGGTTCCCAATGGCGTGGTTCCCAATACCAGCGTCTCCAATCGCCCGACCCGACTCAAGCCTACCTCGTCCGACTCGGGGCCTCAAATACGGGCCCTCAAGGCGGAAAACAAGGATATCGTGGTCCGAGATAAGAATGGAAGTTACAAATTAGAGGTTCCCATACTCCCGCCGGCATTAGTGGGGGAGGATGGCGAGGAACTCGAGCAGGAAGAGAACGCCGACCCTCCCGCGCTGACAGGGCCGGAGAAAGAGAGTATGGTACTCAGACCTGGGGGGAAGAGAGTCATGCTGATATGGAGACAGAATTCGAGCAGGATCTATTGGATATGATCATCCGGCACCGGAATGGACACCCCGATGTCGAGCCCGAGGGTGTGTTGTGGCTAGTCTCGATGTGAGCAATTTATGCTAACCTCCCACTAGAGATCCTCCACGCCATGCACGACAGTCTACGTGAGAAAGCGGCCTCGCTAGACGAGGATAATTGGATGTTTGAGCCAGAGAGAGACTCATTTGCAAATTAAGGCATCTTGAACTCATTATGCTAGTTCGATATGTTCATATTCCGCCCTTAATCAAGCTCCATGCTAGCTGGGGGTGCCTCGACCTTCTTCGCCCGGCTCGGTTGCTTGCCCGCATTACCGCCTCCAAACAACATTCCGCTCATCATATCCATCAATGGGTTTCCTTGCCGAGGGATCTTGATGGCAAAGTACTGCTCACCAATCTGCGCCAGGGCATCATCCCAGAGGCCGACTTCTTTAATCTGTGCTGCGTAGTGAGCAGTCAGGTTACGGAAGAGATCCGCACTCCCGCGCTGGATGGTCAACAGCAACAGGCTGATAAAGTTGACCAGAGGCAGCGCAGGGAAGACACGGGCATCCGAGCTGGAACTGCTGACATCCTGCACACCCAGCTGGGGGTGGGCCGCCGAGAGCTTGGAAGTGAAAATGAGCAAGGCCTTGTTGGCGCTGCGGAGATTGCCCGTGAGCAGGTATGGGAAGACTGCGCGGGACGCATAGATGGCTGCGGTGTGGGGTTCGTCGACGGTGTACCATTCAAACTCGAGTTTCGCGAGGGTCTCGGCGGATTCGGAGGTGCCTAGAATAAGGTGTTTCTCGGCATCGTATGGCTCGTTATCTGCGCAACGTTAGCAGTCCGCTCATGGTGTACTTTATGTGTTCAACCTACCTTCAGCGTATACCGAGCCAGCGGCATGGTGCAGTTCCGGGTCTCCCCTCTCCAGAGGTCCAAACTTCCCACTCCACGCCATGATTTCTTGAATATATCTCTTTCGTGTAGGTTCGTCGGAGGGGAACTCCCACAGCAATTCTATCAGACGCTCTGTAGGTGATATGACGAGTTAGCAGGGCTCATGAAGATACCGTCTGAGTCCAAGGTTGCCACACGCCGTAAACAACGTGAGTAACATGTAAAAGGCGCAATACTCACTCTTACGAGACCGACTCTCTGCATCATCACTCCCCTTGATCTCCCATTCCGCTTTATTGTAGACCTCGTTCACCAGCATGATCGCCAAGTCACCACCACTGGCCGAAGCACCTTGTTGTGAGCCGGCCTTTAGCAGCTCCTTGGCGCCTCCAGCCAGAATCTCTGCGGCGGCATCGTAGTTGGATTGTTTGATGTATCGGACAGCAATGACACGCAGCTGCTGATGAGCTTCATAGTAGGCGCCATCTGCGATCCTAACCACCAGTTAGCAACGCCATTTCCAGCAAATCTGGGTTTCTTACTTTTCGCGCTGGCGGGCAATGACCTTGTCAATGCGGGAAGACATATTAAGCTCTCGACTGTCCGTAATTCCCAAGAAAAAGAAAGCGAGTCGACAGTTGGAGAGTCGGAGGGGGGAGAGTTGAGATTTGGTGGGGACGGAAGTTCCGTCATTCCCCCTTCCGTACATTTGCGCTTTCATTCTCATATACTCGTATACTGCTCTATACTCCGTTCAGGACTCGAGACACGTCTAACTAAATACAATCTACTCATTTGACTGGCTGAGACTGATCCTGGCATATGGCAACCTTCAATATACAGCCGGTGCAGCGCTTCGCTGGGGCCAATACCTCTATCCGGCGACCAAGAGTGAGCTCTGCAGTTGGAAAAGAGAAGCAGGAAGCTAACTGCTGACAAGGAGATTGCCTGCTTCTCATATGACGATCAACGTCGTTTCTCGCTGGGAGATTCTTCCATGGCCTACTATTACACGCCAAATTTGCCTGCAGACCTCAATAAAGGCTACGACACTTTTCAGAAGCTAAACGATGTGGCAGATGAGCATCTGGATGCTCTCCTTGACACCTTGATGGCTCACGAGAAAGAGACAGAGAAAAAGTGTGAGGTTGACATCGTGACATGGCGAGGGATGATGACCAAGGTGAGTTCGATATGCCTCTCTCATGCTGACAGAACTGACAAAACATAGATTCTAACGGCTCCTTACGACAATATGAATGGGTTTGTATCCTTCAAATCACCAACATGGCATCTCTAACTTTCTCTCGCAGTTTCGAGATGAATGCAACCTGTTTCCAGGTATGAGGACTCTATATCGACTGACGGCAATGATCTAACCAATATCTAGGGCACAATGTATGTATTCACCAATGACCAGATCTTACATCCCCTACTAACGCGCGTAAGATTCATTGAAGAAAACAATGAGTACAAAAATCAACAGAAAGAGATCCAACGCAAACGAGGATCACCGCCTGGAATGGCGCCACAAGAGCTCATGATGTATTGGGGTAAGGGAATTCCGCTAAATTCCAGACTCGCTACTGATCGAAAATGCAGGCTACAAGTTCGAAAACTTGGCCGTCCTTCGAAAAACCTGGGACGAATCCACTCGAGAAGAAATCGAAGGCCGAGAGGACGATGTGGTCAACAATGCAGCACAATATTGCTCCGTCGTGCGCACGGGTATTGGCAATGTACGCATGGTCCTTGGAGGAGAGGTTGATGCAAGTAGGTATCCCCCCATCGCGCTGCTAAGCTGGTATTGACCTCGAACAGTCTGGGATAGCAAACCATGGAAAAAAGATGCACCAATCAACTGGGTGGAGTTGAAGACCTCGGCTCAGATTCGAAATGATAGAGACATGATCAAGTATGAGCGAAAGCTGCTCAAGTTCTGGGCTCAGTCCTTTTTGCTGGGCGTGCCCAAGATTATTGTCGGCTTCCGTGATCAAGATGGAATCTGCCACAGCTTGGAAGAGCTAGACACGGCTAGTATTCCTGGAAAGGTTTTGAACGTTGGCCGACGGACCTGGGATGGTAATACTTGCATCAACTTTACCGGTGCTTTCTTGGAGTGTAGGTCAGCATTCTACAGATGAGTATCAAGTACTGACAATTCCCCAGGGCTCAAGCAGACCATCAATCGTGAGGGAACATGGCGAATTCGCAAGAAGGAGAAATCACCGCTGATTGAGGTTTTCCAAGTCGAAGAGCAAGGGCACGGCGATATCCTCTCCCCAGCCTTCAAGGCCTGGCGAGCGGAGACAGGTGCAGAGGTGAATTAATTGTGCTTTGTGCTTTGTACTTTTATATCGGATTCACGAGAATCTTTTGTCCAAATGGGGTATTTCCAATGAAAATTAACTTGACGTTCGCTCCCAACACAATGCTTTTTGTATCATGAGGCATCGACGGCCTGTGCGGCCTTCTCGGTATTTTCAGAAGCCTCTTGTTCTCGCTCCTTTTGTCGGAAATATTCATCGCGGGCTTTTCTCTTCTTCGCAGACCTGAGTCCCCTTTTATGCATATGGCTATTGAGGTGGACATTCCACTGTTCGTCGCCTGCCAACGTCTTGTTACAGACATCGCAGGTGTAGCAGATGCCAATAGCATCCTTCTTTACCAGACCCTGGGCTTCCTTGGCGCCGAACTCGTCTGCTGCCAACTGAGAAAGGGATTTGGGATCAGGAGTCGGTTCATTCTGAAGCATCAACTGGACAATATTCTCGGACGGCTCAGTGATGCATTTGCCCCAGTCCTGAACCTTTGAACTGTCGAACAGATAAAGCCGGCGGGTCTCACCAGCTTCGCTGAGTGCACGCCACAGCTTATTGCGGATCCATTTGACCTGGGAAGAGCCATACTGTCGTGTGGCAGTCCGAATCTGTTGAAGGGAAGTCCGCTTCAGATCCTCCAATTCTTTTTCACTCAGTTCCCCTTGCCGGACAGCCTCGAAATATTTAGCCAGTTCCTTGAATCCAATTGACACCCACACTCCCCGCGTGATGTCAACCTCGACGCCCTGTGCCGATTTCTCCTGTAGATAGTCCGACATCTTCTGTGCCTCAGCCATCAAGCCCTGCTCGATCATATCATCGACTCGAGAATCCAGACGCGAGTTGAGAATTTCCTTCTCCGCGTGGACCCAGAACACCAATGTGTTGGGGAATCGCAAAAGACCTTCGTCCTGACTCAGAGCCTCCCTCTTCTGCACCATCTGTTCTTTGTAAATTTCTGAGGCCGGCCGTCCAGTCTGGAAAAAGATCTCCAACGACCGACGGATCTTGCGCCCATCCTTGGGGTGCCAACGGGCAGCCATCACAGGATCCACCTCTCGCAATTTCTCCAAAAGAATTTCAGGTGCCTCGTCGAGGATCGGCCATTTCTTTGCCGTGGAGCTAAATTCAGTGAGCTGCTCGCGCTCGGCTTCATCGTCCACCCCCTCGCCCACGAGCTGGTCTCGAAACAATACCGCTTGCGTGTAATAGTGTGTACCTCCGACAAGGATGGGGACCTTTCCCCGTGACCAGATGTCGTCCACAAGTCGGAGAGCTTCGCGCTTGAACAGACCTACGCGCCATGCCTCCGCGTCTAGGTCGATACAGCTCAGGAGGTGGTGGGGGATTCCGTTCCGTTCCTCGACTGGGATCTGGTTTGTGATGATGGGAAGCCCGCGATACATTTGCATCGCGTCGCCATTGATGATTTCACCATTGAACCGAGAGGCTAATTCCACTGCAAGCTATCTATAGCTATCAGATCCTGTACTTGAAGGTGGGGTAGAGGGTCATTACCTTTGACTTGCCGGTGCCTGTGGCACCGAGAACTGCTATGATGGGATTCATTTGCTGTAAAGGTCGTAAAGCAGGCAGTATAGTGCGGATTGTCGAGAGCATATCCCGCGAAAAGAGAAAAGAAAAAGAAGAGAAGAAGTTGAAATTGACGAAATTGGTATATCGTTATCGTTATCGCAGGTTACCTCATCCCGCCACAGGATTCGCTATATTGACCTCGACTCACTTTCTTCTTTTCTTCCTTTTTACCCTTTTCACCCCTAACATTCTTCTCGTTCTTTATAAGATCCTGTCAGAGCTTGCAACGGCTCACCATGCCAGACATTGAGGTCCAAAACCTCTCATACAAGTTCCAAGATGGCTCCGACGGCCTACAGGATGTGGCCATGAGCCTCCCTGCCGGAAGTCGAACTCTTCTCATTGGTGGTAAGTCGAGATTCATGCAATGGAAGGGTTGAGGCTTATCATTACAGCGAACGGAGCCGGAAAGACCACACTCCTGCGCCTACTATCTGGCAAACGCCTGGCACCCACTGATACCATTGCGGTGGGTGGCAAAGACCCCTTCAAAGACGGTCTAGAAGGCGTCACCTACCTGGGTGTGGAATGGGTGTTGAACAGCATCGTCCGCACAGACATCGATGTGCCAACCCTCCTCGCCTCTGTAGGCGGAAATGCCTACCCAGAGCGTCGAGACGAGCTAGTCGAGATCCTGGATATTGATCTCCGCTGGCGAATGCATGCCGTATCAGATGGTGAGCGTCGCCGGGTCCAGCTGGCTATGGGTCTCCTACGGCCGTGGCAGGTTCTGCTACTGGATGAAATCACGGTGGACTTGGATCTGTTGTCTCGGAGCAATTTCCTGGCTTTCTTGAAACGCGAGACAGAGACAAGAGCTTGTACAATCGTCTACGCTACTCACATTCTTGATAACTTGGCTCAGTGGCCGACTCATCTGGCTCATATGCATTTGGGCAAGGTGAAGGCCTTGGGAACCGTTGAAACATTCCATGAACAGGTCCCTGATTGGGTTTCTGAGAATAGTCGACTGGGTGAACTGGTTCTCAAGTGGCTCAAGGAGGATATGGCAGCTAGAGGACCTCGCAACGGCCGTGGCAGTCAGAATAAGACCTACCAATCGCTTGAGGGCATTGGCGGTTATGGGCAGGAGAAGGCCGTCGGAAAATGATGTCAACTTCCTTGACTTTGTTGCTGTTTCTTTCTTTCTTTTGTTTTTTTTTTCCTGCGACGCTTTTAACATCCCATTCAACAATCATTGGGTTCAACCACAGGCATAAACGGGGTGTACGGTTTGACATCTTGATCTAGCGATCTATTCAACATTGGGACTTTTCAACCATCGTGACTCATAAGGGGGCTAAGACGATCTTGACTTTGTATATACATCATGAGAACATGCTAGAAATAGCATATATGCGTGTGGAAGTGTCTTCGCTTGCCACCGCCAGCTCAAACTGCTCCTTGCTCTCAGCCTCGGCTAACACTGGACGCCACGACAGTTGTGTGATGGTCTTGGAGGGCGAAATTGTCTTGTCGAGTGTAACGACATGCGCCACTTCAAATGTTTCAGCGGCAATTCGCTGAATAGAGACCACCCCACTATCCTCGCCCACTGCGATGATGAATGAGCCCTTGTATGTGATGGGGAGGAAGGCGATTGCTGAGACTGCCGAGGTCAGAGGCACAGTAGCCTTGCACTCAAATGTCTCTTCGGATTTCTGCCAGATCTTGACAGACTTGTCTCGTCCTGCAGTGGCAAAGACGTGATCAGTAGTAGCTGGAGCCCAGGCGGCACCCAGGATCATTCGGGAGTGGCCTTTGGGGTTTGAGGTGAGCTTCTCAAACAGAGTTGGGTCTGAGTCGCTGCGCTGGAAGATTGCCCATTGGCGATCACGGCCAACACTGAGAAGGTAGCGGTCATCGGCCGAGAATGAGAGGTCGGTGATGGTCAACGAATGCGCGGTGAGAGAGGGTTTGATCTCATGCCAATCCGAAGTATCGTACAAACGGATGACGGCATGATCGATAGAACTGGCCTTGCAAGCGGTGGCAATGAGCTTGCGGTCGTGGCTCACTGCCACTGCAGAAATCTCATATCCATGGCCGTAAAGCTTCTCATGCTCCGGCCACAATGTATGGCGGGACAATTGGTCCTCGAGCGGTGGGTGGTTAGCAGCTAAAGAGGATGAGGCGGCGGGTTTTTCGGCAGGTGCTTTCTCTCCGTCCTCCTCGACCGGTGCCTCATCTCCAAGGGCTTTGTTTGAGAGACCAAGTACCGGGATCTCAGCGGTTTCAGGAAGATCCTGGCCCGATTGTTTGAATCCAGTGAGTCTCTCGAGCAATTCGGCAATCGGTTGGGGCTCGTTGAACACGCGCAAAAGCTTCTCCTCTGCGCCAGTCACGAACTGTGCGGGTCCCAGAGTATCAACACAATTTAAATCATACCCATGAATCTGAGGGCGAGAGAACTCGTGCCATGAGCTTGTTTCATCCCGCACCCACTTGGCATGGAGTCGTGTGGTCTGGTCGGCACTAGTTGAAAGAAGGTAGCCTCCAGTGGGGTCCCATTGAACACCGTTAGATGAACGAACGTGGCCGGTGATGCCGAATTTCTGCACCCAAAGATCGGAGTCGGACTCTTGTTGCCAGACTCGCCAACTTCCTGTTCGACCAAGACTGACAACCTGCTTTCCATTGGATGACCAAAGACCGATCCAGAAGCCACCGGCACTACCAGTCGCGGTGGTGGAACCCTTTTGAACACTGATTTCTCCCATTCTCTCTGTGGACATCCAAACGCCTGAGGCTTGATCTTGTTCCCAGATCGTAATGGTATTGTCTGCAGAGGCTGAAAGGAGCTGCTGTCGCTCAGAGTTGGGGTTCCAAGCAGTAGTATAAATCCAGTCTTCGTGTCCAAAGAGAAGGGCTTCAAAGGTAATTGAAAACTTGGATCCCTTGGCCTCGAATTCATGAGCCTTGTTGGAAAGCGTGGGCTCCATTCCTCCCAGCAAAGGATCTGTGTCATCAATGGGGGCAGGGGCGTTAGCTTCGCCCCGATGCAAGCGCCAAAGACGGATATATTTATCTTGACTGGCAGACGCCAAAAGGACATCGCCTTCTTTGCTCTGCTTATCCAGAGTAAACGACAGAGACTTAATCCAGGCTTCGTGTCCTGCAAGTACAGCCCGGCGCTTGAAATCCGGCTTGCTGGAGGTTTCCGATACGTAGATGTGCACCTTGGTCATCGTGCCTGCAACAGCCAACACCAAAGACTTATCCGCCTCGCCTCCAAGGCCCTGCAAGGATAGAGTAAGTGGGAAGAACCGCGGTGTCATATTAATGGTGTCGAGTAGCTCGCCCTGGATTCCCTCTTGGGTGCTGATTCTCCAGATTCGGACGGTGCCATCAGCTGCGCCAGATGCGATGATGTCGGTTCCATTGGTGACCGCAATTGCATTCACAGAGCCTGTATGACCCTCGAGAGTTGCGACAAGGTCATAGTTATGTTTTTCGGAGCTCTTGCATTTCCAAAGGCGTAGTGTGCGGTCGACAGAGCCGGTGATGATGAATTTGGACCCTGATGAGGGGCATGTGTAGAACCGAACGACGCTCACTTTGTCGGTGTGGCCGACCAGCAAAGAGTAAATTCCGCGATCCGATTTGTCCTGATGATCATGAGCTGTGATATTCCCATCCTGTCCTCCTGTCCTCCTGTCCTTAGAACTTACCAGAGGGTCCCAGAGGGCGACATTGTTGTCTGCACCGAAGGCGAGCACACCGGTCTGCACATCCCAATCCGCTGCCCCGGGATGGCGATTTCCGCCTACACTGATGTAGTCTGTTGTAACGGCCACCATTGGAGTATCTCAGAGTATCTCAGCTCTGTTCTTGGAGAAACAACTTGAGCGCAAAGAAATTGCGGCCAAGACTGGGGCTTATCGATAAGCTTGTCTCCGCCCAACCCCTCCAACTTCTTCTTTTCGACACTTTTGCTTCTTGGTATTCACTTGTTCTGTTCACTATGGTCGAGTCTTCCACTGGGGGATATCCCATCCCTATCACCGTTGAATTCACGTAGGCCTTCCTTCGACCCCACCCCGGTACCTGCTGACCATTGATAGTGGTGGCCTGGAGCTGCTCTTTGGCAACGAGCGCAAGCACAAGGTGGTTCTACCTGCTCAGCTAGAGGATGGAAGCCCGCCGAACATTTCATACTTGCTAGGATATCTGGTCGACAATCTCATGCAGGACCAGCGGAAAGATATGTTTATCATGGAAGATAGCGTGTAGGTGGACATTGGGTTCATGTATTAAACAAAACTAATGGGATGACAGACGACCGGGTGTACTGGTCCTGATAAACGATGCCGATTGGGAATTAGAAGGCGAAGACGCATATGAACTGCAAGCAGGGGATACCATTGTCTTTGTGTCCACTCTGCACGGTGGTTAAGATAATCGGAAGAAGACTCAATCTATTATGGTTGCGTTTCTGCAATCAGGGTTGAACAGGATGATGACTGAAAAATTCCCTGGAAGATTTCGAGGTCTACAGCCCTGCTCGGGACGGATGGTACACTGCCAACCGAGAGAGCATCGTCGGAATGTCGCCTAAACCACATCTTCGACGTGCTGCTGTGAGATTCTTTCAGGCTCACGTGGTGTTCTGATCCCACTCGGTGTCCGGTAGCCACTCTGCGGGGTGTTTTGACCCTCGGGGCTACCAAGCCCTTGAATTGGTGACACCAATCCACTGGGGGGAACTGGGATCTTGAGATCCTCGGGAGAGTCGGGAATGATCTCTTCTGGAAGGCCAGGGATCTTGATATGCTGGGCCACATTCTGATAGCTTTCGGGGATAATCTGTAGCAGTGTCAATGATTCATATTGCACATGACGAATCAATGGAATCTTTCCGATGTGGACGCACCTCAATAATTTCATCGCGAGGGAACTCAAGGAACGGAATGTCGGCCGCATTGCAGGCCATGAGATAGCCATACAAGACTCTCAAGACACTTTCGTGTGCGATGATTAGTAAATCGGTTTGCTCCCTCTCGAGTTCGAGAATGATCGGCTCCAGACGAACAGCCAGGTCGTGGTAAGACTTTCAAAATCAGCTTTCAAAAAATCGCAAATGTCCATGAATCGATGCTTACCTCGGCACGGGGATAGCGATGGTGGTAGGGATCAAGCTCGTGTTTGGAAACTTCATCCCCGAACTCTGCACGAATACGCTTCTCGGACATCTGTTCGCAGACACCAGGGTGCAATTGACTCAACTGGGATCTTTGCCGGACTTTGAAGCCTTCTTCATAGAGGTACTTGGCGGTTTCAATGGTCCTGCGTCGAGTAGATGTCCAAACCTTGAGAGGCCGAGACTCAAATCCAGTCTCTCCACGTTCGATCATCGTTTGCTTTTCTTCTTCTCGGTGAGCTAATAAACGGGCCGTCATTTTCTTTGCGTAGTCCTCCCCTTGTTCGGACAGGGAAGCATCGGCTTTGTAGGAATCAGCATCCAGCGAGACACCGGCTCGTACGAAATAAGTCCTTCGTGATTTGATGTGAAGGTTAAGCAGGTAGAAGACAATGCGATTGGAGAGATAACCAAAGCTTCGGTTATTGACGATCAGTCTTTCGCCGGCGTTGATCATCTGCGCCTGGTCAGCATTTCAATCGTGACAGAAATCAACCTCTCGTACCTTGATGTAGTTCAGATCCTTTTCCTCCATGGATTGGAATTGGGGGATGCGAGAAGAGATGCGGTTCAAATAATGCTTCACAGCATCTTCCGATTTCCACGAGACATACTGGTCAAACTTGTTAGAGATCCCAATATACACCAAGGTGGCCTACTCACGTCAGGGGAGGAGATCTTGACTCTGCGGACATTCTCTTCGATAATCCGCTCATCATCACATCGAGACTCGATGAACAGGGTCTGGTCAGATGGTCAGGTTTGGTTTCGGTGCAGAGCTTCCATGTCACGCATACCTCAATGTCATGCTTTGCAAACTCCTTGGCAAGAGAGCGTCGACCCGAAGCTAGAGGATTGACGGCATCGTAAATTGCAATCTGACCATTTTCATGGTTCAAAAAGTGGTAGATGTCTTCGCGGCATTTCCGTACAATCTTTTGGCGCAATAAGACGGATTTGGCGGTTGCTATTGCCGATGTATTAGTGCGAGGCACAGGGAACCCAGTGATGCCACACTCACCGTTGACATAGAAATAATCATCTGGCATATCCTCGCCAAATGGAATGGTGGCACGACGATAGTCTCCCAGGTGGAATATTCTGGTTTTGACACCGAGCCTACTAATGTGAGCACGTTTGCAAGGTTCCAGTTGGTGGGATGTTACTCACCAGCGCAGATATCTTGCCAAAGCAACCGATATGTGTCTGTCAGAAGTAAGCAATCTGTACAATTTGATCAGCCGCATACGGGGCAAGCTTACGTTTTGCCTCTGGCGGGCAAGCCGACGGTGATGATCACAATTCGGCCTGAATGGAACAATCGACCAGATTCAGTGCTGTAAAGCTGGGCTGGGGCGAGATCCGCCTTTTCCGGCAAGTCATGGATTGCGTCTACAAAGATAGACGACTTGCGACGGAACTGTGGTGAATTGGCCACGATCTCGGCGGTGCTGTATGATGTCAGTTTGATATGAACAAAGTGTTAGGTTGGCGAATCTTCAAAGCAAGGTGCTGCAGTTTTCGATAGGTCTTGTCTCATGACTGCAGTCAATGCCCCGTGCCAGTGAAGAAGCCAGCTTCGATGCATATTCCATAGACAACCTTGGAGGGGTATGCCCAGGTGGCCATCTGCGGGGAGGCTTACAGTAAGGTGTCCATGATGACGCAAGGCTACCGAGTGGTCGCTCTGGATAGTCTTGTAGCTCTGTAGATCTCAGAAGCCAGTCAAACGGTTCTTTGACTTCCGAACAGGAAGAATAGAGAGAGAGAGGTGAACAAGCGGTATAGGGAGGGCAATATCAGGTGGATCCCAAGTTCGCTGCCTTGTTTGCTAGGCAGAAATTATTCTGCCTCAGGCATCGATAGTCAGGTACTTCAATCTCCGGAGATCCAGTGATGGAAAGATCACAGTACGCCAATATTTCCACCTTCATTTCGGTTTATCTCTGGATAGGCATATGTGCTATATTTTCTAGAATCCTCTTCTTCATAGAGAAATAAATATAAATCAAAGACTGATCTATAGATCTGTACTTTTCAAGTGAGTACCGATTATATAATCCCCCGGCGAGCGACAACAACCAAAGACGCCGAGAGCAGGTGACTAGCATTTTTCACAGCTCGGAAAGCCTTGAATTGCTTCCCCTACGCTCCGAACTCCCTCATCGCATCCAGCCCTTTTTCCTTTTCAACCCCCATCATCATCTGAGACGTTGGTTCGTCGCAGATATCTGGGCTGGTCTCAAATCTTTCCAATCTCATCCATAATCTTTTTGAGGCACGCGTGACGACACCTAATTGAATTGTCGACGACTATCATATTTCACCCAAAATGTCCGACTACTTATCATCTCTTTCCTTTGTCACCGACAACCCCGCCGCTGCGGCTCTCAGCGATGCATACAACTCGTTCTCCGACCGAAGGGCGATGTTGGGCCTGCCCAACCCCGGCACTGTCGATAACCTCGCCCGGGAAGTGCAGAAAGACGTTCTGTTGACCAACTTCATGTTCTCCGGCCTCCGCGCAGACCTGACCAAGGTCTTTGGCATGTCCCCTCTGTTCCGTGTCTCCCACGCCTTCTCCATGGGTTCGACCGGTAACCTGCCCCCATACGCGTTCTCCGCCATGTACGGAAGCCCCAAGGTAAGCCAATCGTCCATCGGGTCCCCTTGCTCAATTCAATGCGATTGACGTCTCTAACCTCTGCTCCATAGGTTTTCATGCAAGGTAACTACGGAAGCGACGGCGCACTCGCCGCTGTCGGCAACTACCGCTGGAACCAGGCCCTCGTCACCAAGACCAATGCTCAGATCATGGCTGGTGGCTCGCAGGGCTTGATCCAGATCGATAACGATTACACCGGTTCCGATTTCTCTGCCTCGCTCAAGGCCTTCAACCCGTCTTGCCTGGAGGGTGGTCTGACCGGTATCTTCGTCGGCAGCTACCTGCAGTCCGTCACTCCCGCTCTGGCTCTCGGATTCGAGGCCATCTGGCAGCGCCAGGGTATCACTTCCCGCCCCGAGACTGCCCTCTCTTACTCCGCCAAGTACAAGGGTGATGACTGGATTGGTACTGCTCAGCTGCAGGCCCAGGGTACCTTCAACGCCACCTACTGGCGCAAGCTGTCCGAGCGCGTGGAGGCCGGTGTGGACATGAACCTCCAGCTCTCTCCTTCCCCCGCTGCTCTCATGATGGGTGGCCCTGCCCGTGATGGCACCACCGCCATCGGTGCCAAGTACGACTTCCGTGCTTCTTCCTTCCGCGCCCAGGTGGACAGCACCGGTAAGGTCAGCTGTCTCCTGGAGAAGCGCATTGCCATGCCCATCTCGCTGTCCTTCGCCGGTGAGATTGACCAGGCTAAGCAGACCGCCAAGCTTGGTCTCGCCGTCTCCCTGGAGCTTGCTGGAGAAGACCTGATGGAGCAGCAGGAGAAGGCTGACCCTGCCGCCATGATCCCTCCCCCCTTCTAAACTCCCCCTGATAATACCTTCTTCCTCCTTGTTTTAGTAGTTCTCTCCTCCCCATTGTGTGGAACACCGTTATGTTCCCCGGGTCCTCTCTCCCGTCCTGGGAGAGAACTTGGGACGGTTGTGTTGGCGCTCTGGAGATCCTCTTTGTATAGATTCACCGTTTCTTTGATTTTCTCCCCGGTCCTCCGTACTGCATCTCTGGCTGTTTGGGATCTGCTGTGTGTCTTAATATCCCATTTCCGGTTGATTTGGCCATGTTTGTTTTTGGGTCTATGGAGATTGTGAGATGCATGGCTGAGCCTGCAGGGAGCTCTATGTTTTATTTTTTTTTCTACATAGACGGGCCAATGTAAAACATGTTTTTTGAAATTCGTATAACCAAAATTTTTTCTTATTACTCGTACTTTGACCCCATTTTCATTTGGCGCTATTTAGCCAGGTTTTTCTCCCAAGTATCCACTTCCCCGGGTCTCTTAGGAGGTTGGGGTTGATATACCTAGTACTATGTAGTAGTGTATTATTACCCTCTCCATACCCAACTGGACTGCGCCATTTTCCCTTTTACACTTGGCTTGTCTGACCTGACATCATCGTGCCCAAGCCTTCCCTTTTGCCGCCAATCTTTGCTTCGCTTACTCTCTGTTCCCCTGCTAGACGCGGATCTGTGTCGATGAGCTCAACAAGATGATTCGCATATCCCGACGTTCCGATTCCGACTTCTCCACGTGTCTGACAGTCGGAATGCCGTTTTGCTTTTACGGTGCCGACGACATTCCGAGTTCCAATGTCAGCCGGGTACACACTCGTCCCACGTCCCAATGGAAGTGGGAATCGTATGTTGTAGCCATTGGGAAATCTCCTTTCTGGCGTCAGACCCCTGGTCATCTTGTAGTCTCTTGTCTTCCCGAGCTTATGTCGCATGACAGATTGTGGCGATTCCGAAGCCACAGTCACCTGGTGTGCACCAGGTGACGTCGATAGCTCTGATCTTAGCTCGTTACCCGATCAAGTCTACGGAGTAGACTAAGACGAAGTATTCAAGACTTTGCTCGTACCGGTAATCTCAATACCGATTCAGCACGGTCCCTCTTGCAGTCGCAGTCTAGCTCGGTAGCTCCTCAACGTCGACCTTTTGAGCCAGGTGCATCCCTACGGTGCAGGGGCCAAGTTCAAAAGGAACGGCCGGGCCGCATGGGCGAGAACAGCGAGAGAGTACCTGAGCCAGGAACCAACATTCCTCCCGGGCCCTCTGGTGGAGGAGTGCGGGTTCCTTTTCCCGCTGACTGCCATTGCCCGTTCGCTCGTTCATTGGGCTTTGGGGTCGTATTGAATGCCCGCCCTTCTGCGTTGGTATGGACGGCTGGAATCCCAATGATTGACAGCTCGGCTGAGATAGCTTCCACTCACATGCCAAGGGAACCCTTGCAACCCGATCTTCTCGAAGACGGGAATGTCCCTTTCGAGCCGTCGGTCTGTTCATTGCCGTGTAGTTGTCGGGAGCCAATGCATACGGAGGAGGGAGTACGCAGTACCTACTTAATGACTTGGGAACTCTGTACACTGCAGTATGAATATACTCATATACTCATATACTAATATACTCACATACTAATATACTAATATACTAATATACTAATATACTAATATACTAATATACTAATATACTAATAACTAATAACTAATAACTAATAACTATATCATAGCTAAGCTAGAGCAGAATGCAATATTACCAGGTAATGGCCCTTACCATACCGTGGCCCAAGCTTCTTTTTCGAGTCTCGTGACCGGTGCACCAATGACCGTGGTTCCAGCCACGGTCACCCGACCTCCCCTATTTTCGGAACTCTGCTCCTCTTTGTATTTTATTACGGACTATACATTATATGTCCTATATTCATATATATTTATAAGGATATATGGGTGTTGAAGACGGTAATACGATGATATCATCTGAACTCTACCCGACGGTGAATACAGGTATTTTACTCCAGCGAGTGTCCAACTGAAGGGAAAGATCCTGATAATTCCCTTACAATTAGCAGACTATATATAAATAATATTTCCTCTTATTTTATATTCCTATATAACTATATTCCTATATTCCTATATACGCTGCTCATACTGTACTGTAAAAGACAAAGAGGGGAAAACAGACGTCACCCCAATTTTACCTAACCTTCCCAGTCTAACCCGTCTTATTCCTCACCACAGTCGACTTTATTGGTTGACCTTTCTCCTACACTCATTTGCCCACTCTGCTCATTCTTCCCTTTCTTCCTCTTTTTTTTTTTTTTACATTCTTGGCCCCGAGCCTTTTTCTTCTTTCCCATCGGTCCTTCCGCCCCTCCCTACTCCACCCCGGTTTTACGCCCAAAACGGTCCCCCTTCATCCTCCCATCCTACAACTACTTCGTGATGTCACAGAGTCGACCTGGGCTGTTTCCGAGTTTGCGCATGGGTGGTGAGTGATTACGAATAATGTAATATTAATCTTTACTAACCCCTCCATAAGAGGTCATCCGCGAGAAGGTCCAGGATGGACTGACCGGCGAGGCCAAGGAGATCTCCTACACCCAGTGTAAGATCGTCGGCAATGGCTCCTTCGGTGTGGTCTTTCAAACCAAGATGTCTCCCAGCGGGGAAGACGCGGCCATCAAGAGAGTCCTCCAGGACAAGCGATTCAAGGTACGGGATCTGATGTGGAAGAAGGAGGGGGGAAGAGAACGAAAAACTAATCGACAATAGAACCGTGAACTGCAGATCATGCGGATTGTGCGACACCCGAATATCGTCGAGTTGAAGGCGTTCTACTACTCCAACGGCGACAGAGTATGTCTCTTCCCTTTTCATCTCGTTGGTCCCGACTGACCCGTGTTCGATCGATAGAAAGACGAAGTGTACCTCAATCTGGTGCTCGAGTATGTTCCAGAGACAGTGTATCGTGCCTCCCGTTACTTCAACAAACTCAAGACAACGATGCCGATCCTGGAGGTGAAGCTGTACATCTATCAACTTTTCCGGTCGCTGGCCTACATCCACTCTCAGGGCATCTGCCACCGTGACATCAAGCCCCAAAACTTGTTGCTCGATCCCTCCACCGGCATTTTGAAACTCTGCGACTTCGGTTCCGCCAAGATTCTCATCGAAAACGAGCCTAATGTTTCGTACATCTGCTCTCGTTACTACCGGGCTCCCGAGTTGATCTTTGGTGCCACCAATTACACAACTAAGATTGGTAAATCACCCTTTCATTTGATTTGTTTCATATTCACTAATTTGGTTAGATGTCTGGTCGACTGGTTGCGTGATGGCTGAATTGATGCTCGGACAACCCCTCTTCCCAGGCGAGTCGGGCATTGACCAACTGGTGGAAATCATCAAGGTTTTGGGCACCCCAACTCGGGAACAGATCCGCACGATGAACCCCAATTATATGGAACACAAGTTCCCTCAGATCAAGCCTCATCCCTTCAACAAGGTATGTCTGGCTTCCTTTTTGTTTCTACTTTCTGATACTGACCAATCCCAAGGTTTTCCGTAAGGCACCTCCGGAGGCTATTGACCTCATCTCTGCCCTCCTGGAATACACTCCGACACAACGATTGTCTGCCGTGGAAGCCATGTGTCACCCCTTCTTCGACGAGCTCCGTGATCCCAACACCCGGCTACCGGATTCCCGTCACCACAACAACCCCTCCAAGGATCTCCCCGCGCTTTTCGACTTCTCACGACATGGTAATTGAGAACCCCCATGGACCCCATGGAATATCTTCCTTTCCCGCCTACCCCTACTAATGCCGCATTCTTAGAACTCTCGATTTCCCCCGACAAGAACGCCCACTTGATTCCCCCTCACGCTCGCCCCGCCCTCGAAGCTCGCGGTCTCGGCCTCGATACCTTCAAACCCCTTTCCAAGGAGGAAATGATTGCACACCTCGACTGAACTTCGCTCTTAAATGCGCCGATGAATACATCTGTGTCGCCCGCACTGCGAGCTGCAAGTTTGACCATGTCTTGTCCGAATTGAGATCCTCTCATACCCTGACATGGAGCCCGGGGGGGAGGGGAAAGTGTCCCCCTTTTTAATTAGTTGGGAAAGCGGAATCTTGGTCACGGCTGGTTTTTTCACGGTGGTCATGGCCTGGAGTTTTACTATGAGATGTCTGAGACAACTCTTGGGAGGAAAAAGTGATACCCTTTCTGTGCATGTCTGCCTTTGGGGGTTTCTGGAGACTGCATAGGTTTTCGAGAAGAAAAAAACCCCCTCCGCAGCAAAGCCGATCTCCCTCGGGGAGAATCTCCCACAAATGCATCAGAGATCTTGATGATTTCTTTGGATACACACTCTTCTGCTCTTTTTTTCTTTTTTTTTTTTTTTTTTGGTGCTCTCTTTTTTCCTTCTCAAGTGAGGATACACCCCGGGTAACTCTGGGTCCTCTCTTTCTCGACTTGCAGCGCTAGAAACCCCTCCCCTTGATTTTTTGATCTGTTTCGTCCGCAATATCCTTGTATCAGATTCATCGGGCTCGGCTGGATCCCTGCCGGCCAGCTATATGTCATTTCAGTTCTTAGGATGGGTGTTTCAGTAGTATGCGTAGAGATTTCTGTCACTGTAAGAGTAAAATCGACTTGAAGTCCAAAGTCCCTTAACTTTTAAGTATGGACTTTGACCCAAAGTGGCCTCGGACCGGAAAATCCACTTCCCCGCCTAGTAACATTTACCTGGAGCTCCCTCTCAAGCCCTTCCTCGAGCTCCCTCCCCATTACATTCTTTTCATCTTATTTGGTACCATGGCCGATTACGACCGTCGAAACCAGAGTCGCGGTGACCGTGGTGATCGCGGTGACCGTGGTGGGCGCAAGCGCCGCTACAGAGGTGAACGCGCCAGAGCTTCCCTACAGACCATTGCTAACCGTGTGGACCAGACGATGATGATTTCGATCGCCGCCCCCAGAGACGCAGATATGAGGAACCATTGTTTGCGGTCGTCCGTCGCCAGCTGTTGACCATTGCGGAGTCGGTAGGTCTCTCCCCTGCGCAGTGTTAGAGATGTCCGCTGACCTGAGGAATTGGAATAGGCGGCTCGGAGAGTGGAGGATGATATTCAAGGCATTGCGAAGTCTGTGACCGACAACTACGATGACGAGGAAATCCGCCGCGACTTTGTCAACATCTCCCTTGATCTGTACGTCTGAACGTGATACATAGCCCGGAACCCCAGCTAATGAGAGCTTCACAGGGTTCACGAACAACCCATGAAAATCCCCTTCATCGCCGGTACCGTTCTCGTTGCGCATAGTCTGAAGCCCGAGCTTGGATCCGAAATCATCACCAAGGCCGCCGGGGCTTTGCAGAAATACATTGACACTGGCGCATGGCGAGAAGTGAAGCTCCTGATTCGTTTCCTGGGCATCTTGCAGCCTCTCTTTGAAGGGGATGGCATTTTCCCACTCTTGGAGGAGCTCTTTGCCCGTGCGGTGGACCTCCAAACGGCCTCGTCTGAGGATGTAAGTGGATTCTGCGATTCCTGACTTTTGGCCCTGTTATCTCACACAATTTGCAGCTTCTGGGTCTTGAGCTCGTGAAGATTATCCAGTTCACCCTTCCATATGTGATGCTGTCTCCTGCCTCTGGGTTCGAAGCGCAGGCCAACGGTCTCCTGGAAAAGACTGACATCATTGCGACTACCCCCCACGCCCTGGTTGATTTGGTCAACACCTTCTGTCCGGAGGAAACACAGTCGGCCGCTGGTCAGAGTGTCATCAGCTTGATGCAGAGCCAGCTCCAAAAGGAAGCTAGCAATGGATGGGAGCTCAAGTGCCTCCCTCGCCCTTGGAAGGATCTACGGGACCCCGAGACCGACGAGTTCAAGTCATTCGATTCAGTGACCAAGGTGGCTTTCCCTGAGGTCACAGTGCCCAACCCCGTGCCAAACGGTCCTCGTCCCCTCTTCCCTGAGGTTTACCTCTCGGTCTACGCTGACCAGGAAGTCGACACTGTTCCTGCCACCGACGACATTTCCTCGTCTCTCATTCGAGACGCATTGGTCGATACGATCAATCTGCTGGATTTCAACCGCGTTGCTACAGCCAAGTTCTTGATTGACATTGACTGTTATTTCACCCCCTACACATTCGTCAAGCGCGCTACACCTTTCGACCGTATGCGTGATCTTGTGGGTGAAGTCCAGCCCTGGAAGCCGGAGGATGTCGCCGTGGACGCCGTATTCTCGCAGCTCTTCCAGTTGCCCACGGCCGAGCACAAGCTGGTCTATTACCACTCCGTGCTCACCGAGTGTTGCAAGATTGCCCCAGCTGCGATTGCACCCAGTCTTGGTCGTGCGATCCGCTTTTTGTATAACAACATAGACACCATGGATTTGGAGCTCAGCCAACGATTCTTGGATTGGTTCGCTCATCATCTCAGCAATTTCGGCTTCACTTGGAAATGGAGCGAGTGGTATGTTGTCTCGCGTGTATTCTGTTTGGCTCTCGTCTGACTATTTTATAGGACCGAGGACTTGGATCTTCCTGCTATTCATCCGAAGATTGCGTTCATCAACGGAGCTTTGGATAAAGAGATTCGGTTGAGTTTTGCACAGCGTATTAAGGGCACTCTCCCTGAGCCTTACCCCAAGTTGATCACTTCGGGCAAAGAAAAGGACACCCCCGAGTTCAAATACGCATCTGACAGTGAGTTCTCTTTTTTGTTTAAACTGATCGGACAATTCGCTAACTTTTATCTCCAGTGGCACCATATGCTAAAGAAGGACAAGAGCTGATGCAACTCATCCGGAAGAAGGCCACCGATGAAGAAATCGAGCCAGTGATCTCTGCCATTGAGGAACAAGCCAAGAGCCAAGGCGTCGAAGACCCCAAGATTCCTTCCACAGATGCATTTGTCACCTCTATCTGCTTCGTTGGATCCAAGTCTCTCTCTCACGTTCTCTCCTGCATTGACCGCAGCAAGGACCGTCTCCTGGCCATTGGGGCCGAGTCCAAACATGCCCGCACCCAGATCATTACGTCGGTGATGGATTACTGGGTCGACCAGCCTGGCATCGCCATTAACATCATCGACAAGCTGCTCAACTACACCATTCTCAGCCCCCTCTCCGTTCTCGAATGGGCTCTCGTCGAATCAGTTGCCGCTGGCACTATCCTCTCCAAGCCTCATGTCTTCGAGATGATCTCCGCCACCGTTGGCAAGGTCACTAACCGCATGCGCCAGATCGTCGCGGCCCGCACCCAACCGGGTCTTTACGAGCCCCAGCTGACAGCCATTGACGAGACTCTGTCCCGCGAGCGCGAGGACATGCAAACCCTCTTCAAGTACATTGAGGACTCCATTGTCTCCATCGCCGCTGGAAGTAACGACGAACAAATGGAGCGTGGTGACGGAACAGGCGATCTGCCCGAAGATGCCATCATTCGCCAATGGGGCCGTCGCTGGCTCCGCGTCTTCCGCAGAAAGGTTGCCGTCGAGGAGGCCTTCATCTCCGATGCATTGACCAATGCCACTCCCCTTGGAACAGAGGCCCCTGCTGGAGCTACTGATGGGGATCTGGACATTGCGGATGCAGATGCGGACGTGCAATAAGGACATTTAGGGCTATGCACACGCATGTAATCATTTGGTTTCCATGATTTATGGTCGGAGTCTTTCTTTCTTTTTTTTCTTTGATGTACACTTATCTGAAGCCAATTACTCTGAAAAGCCTTTCCCACATATCCAATTTTCATAGACTAGTTGCCGATCTACCGTATAGTATATGGAGGGTACGGAGTAATGGTCGACTGCTCACAATGCAAGGGATATATTGACTTATTAACAACAATATAACAGATATCGAAACATCCGAAATGTCCTTGGCTATACATATCAACTTGACTCATCGCAATCTCACATTCCAGAAGAAAAGAAGCAAAAAAGAAGCAAAACAAAAAGCAAAGGGGGATATCAAAATATAAAAACACAAAATAACATACAAACCCTTAGTGACCGTGAGACCGTCGAACATAATAAGCCTCTTCACCATCACTAGAACCATAAACCGAACCAGAATAATCATAACTTGTCCGACGCATCTTCACACTCTCGTCAGACTCAACGGAAACTCGTTCCATAGAGTCCCGCCTCGAGGTGGAGATGCGACGGTCTTTCCCCCGCCCTTTAATCCCCTTGTTACTGTTCTTGTATAAATCGGCAAAATATTCCCATAGAGCACGGTCTGCAGAGCTGGCAGGGCCATTTTCCCCGAGCTGTGAAAATCGCTGCGTGAGATTGTGTAAAGTGGAGGCATGGAACTTGTTTTGATGAGACTGGAATATGTTAGTATGTAGGGGACAGGAAACAGAGAGTCTTCCTACCTTCAAGTTCCCTAACTGGGTAAATGTCTTGCCGCAATCATCGAGAAGGCAACTGAACTTTCGTCCCTCGTCATGAGTTAACATGTGCGCACGAACGTTGCCTCGCTGGGCGAATTTCTTATGACAACGTTCGCATTCAAAGGGCTTTTCGCCAGTGTGTCGTCGTTTATGGGTCTGGCTTGGGTTAGTTGTGTTGCAGGGTAAAATATGGGTCGCCTGACGCGGCTATGCTTACCTTGAGGTTGCCTTGCTGCGAGAATCGTTGCCCGCATGACGGTACATCGCATATCTGCAGAGGTCAGCGTGCTGATCTTGCCAATCAGAAACAGTCACTCACAAATGGTTTTTCACCGGAATGGGCCCGTCGGTGGATGTCCAGGTGTGTTTTCTGAGCAAAGGTTTTGCCACAGTCATCTCGCTCACAGACATACTTGCGCTTCTTGCCTGAGCGGGATAGGGGGCTCTCGTTGGTGATGAAGTATCGGGGAGGCGTGGCTGGGTAAGGTACTGCGTAGTGTGCTGTTGGGGCCAGGTGTTGCTGAAGCGGTGGTAAGGGTTGCTGAGATGGAAGAGTCTGTTGAGATGGCAGAGACGGCTGGGATGGGAGGGATGGTTGAGATGGAAGGGTCTGCTGTGGTAGAGACTGCTGTGGTAGAGACTGCTGGGGGTGCGAGTGCGAGTGCGATGGAGTTGGCGATGAGGCGTGTTTGGCTTGAATCGCCTTCATCAAGACGTCCACGTTGGTCGAGAAGACAATATCGGCAGGAGTCTCTTTCCTCTCGGGTCCATCTGGTGAAGCACGACTCCCACGGGGCTGTCCCGGGCTCTCAGGAGTCTTTGCCTGGCTGATGGCATTCTTGGCCGGGCGAATCTCCGGCAGGGTCTGCAATGGAGGCTCTGTCAGGCGCAGTGGATGCGGTTGAAGATGATTGGGAACGAAGTATTGATATGGATTCGAGTGCGCATGCCCAGGGCTTACAGAATGGGCAAAGCTGTACGGGTGACTCGGGGGCTGGTAGGGCAACGAGTATGGCGCGGAATAGAAGGGAAAGCTCTGGTTCAAGGTCGAGTCCAACCGCCTGTGTGCATAAGCGGGCTGACCGGAGAACTCGTAGGACACCGGGTCTGCGGTCTCCATGATGTATACCGAAGTATAGAGATTTGGGTTCTGGCTGTTCAAGAAGAAGCAATAGGGATAGACAAACAGACCGACCAAAGCGCAATCTATAGATCTGGGTATATATACTGAAGAAATAGCAAATATATGCAGGTCATGCCATGAAGAGGAATATAAATGATTGACAACTAGCGGTGATCATCCGGCATCGACCGTGGCGCCCGATCTAGATATAAGAGGGGCGTCAGCTAGTGTTGATCTGTATGACGTTTGATATTGAGGTTCCCAAAGGGAATAAAAAAGGATCCGAATATCAGAATATCCGAATATAAAAGGGAAAAAAGAAAGAAAAGGGGGGGAAACCGTCGGGGACAAGTTCGAGGCCATCAGCGTATGTCGTATGGAGTAGAGACAAGTACCATTTGACGATCCCCGGGGATATCCCTGAATGCTCCACTGTGAGAAATGAGAAGATCAAAATAAAAAAAATAGATCCAAAAGAGTAAAAAGAGTAAAAAGAGTCCAAAAAAGATCCAAAATCAAATCACGAACTGGAGTTCATACAGGTTGCATTGCATCCTGCATGGGCCCTTTGGACGCATCAAGTTCTGTACCACGAGGAATGTCTTTCTCACGGAACTAGTGGTAATGTATTCCTGTCGAGATTGTCACACAAATCCTCTTGCCGCGACTGGCGAGGTGGGCTTTCGCTTTCGTTCTTCTTGTCCCCATCCTCTGAGAGCTTCTTGAAGAGCTGAAGATAAACTGACATCTGTCAAACCCTCAAGAAAAAGGAAAGAAACCTTCAAAAAAAAAAGAAAGGAGTGTCTCTCCTCGAGGACGGGCCGGCCCTTCCAAGTCGCGGAATTTCGAAGTGGACCGTGATCGACCTGCAGTCGACATGTAGATTATTCAGTCGATCTCGGAGTCAGCATCTGATTGCTCAATGGACTGGGTAATTTACCAGTATGATGCGCCATCCCGATAGTCGCCAATAGTGTCCGATCTCAGCCCATCGAATATCCCAGTTAGCCGCCCAAGGCCTTGGGAATTGTCTGGCCTCGTGACCCTAGAACCTGCTCCACCATCGAACTCGGCCAAATGAGCTTGGCTTGTCATGGGAAATGGGCTAAACGGGTGAAATGAGGGCACTCTGGTCGCCCCCTGATTCGTCTGTTCCCCTAGGCCAATTGGCCCCCCCTAGAGGCACGGGCTTTGCTTTTCTGGTTCTGATTTTGAGCTGGATCGTCGGAGCCCACTAGGCTTTCCCTAGGGCGATCATCTCCAGAAAGAGGCTTAGCTTCAGTGGGAAAGATCCGAGAAGTGACAGCCGTGAGGCGCTGACACGAGTGGCAACCCTGCACGTCTTGCGTCGAGTATGAGAATGGTTCCTGCAGGGATGCGAATACAATGCGACTAGTCAAGGTGTTTCCTGATTCAGGCTTTTCTGACTGAGGCCCATTGGCTGTGTCATTCTGCGAGCCTTCAGCCGTAAGCAGAGAACTCGAGAATTCCGTACAAAGTACGGAGTACTCTGTAGTTACCCTCCAAGGCTGTAAGGAGTACTCGTACTCTGTGCAGAGTACCGAGGGACTCAGTCGTGATGATACAGACGGAGTGTTCCAGGGAGGTTACGGAGGGAAGAGGACTCCGTACCACAACATCTACTTTATACGTACTTACTCCATCTTTTGCTTTTTTAATTCAAACGCACATCATAGTGTAGAATATTGAATTTGATAGATAGAACATAATCCCAGACATGAAAAAAAAAAGAAAGGGGGAAAAAAAAAGAAACACATTGCGCCAATTCGGTATCACACTTAACGTCCCTGGTATTGCGAATATCTATACTCCAGTCAGCTTAGAACAGACAGACATCAAGATCATGACTTACCTCCAGATACGGGCACGCATATCTCCACTGCCAGTAGCAAACAGGTTGCCAGTGGGGCTGGGTGCAACCGAGATGACTGTAAATAATATGAGTAAGGCGTCCAAGGACAAAGACAAAAGGCAACTCACCAGAGTTCTTGTGGCCCTGAAGCATCATCTGGGCATTGCCAGTCACCGGGTCCCAGAACTGGACACCGCGGTCCTTGGAACCACTCATCACCCAAGCTCCGTCGGGGGTCAGACACACACTGAGAACAAAGTCCTACAAACGTTAGGTGGGGGAGAGAAAAAGAGGGATTTGGCAGACAAACCTTGTGACCTTCGAAAGTACGGATGCATTTGCCGCCCTTGACGGCGCTGTGAGGGTGCATACCCCGGGGCACAGTAAGTTCCCAAAGCTTGATCGTCTTGTCCAGACTGCCACTGACTAGGTCGCGACCGTTCGGGGCAAAGGCAACCGAGTACACACTGTCCTTGTGGCCATCGGGGTTCTCCAGGCGCTCCACCAGGTAACCAGTGGTAGTGTCCCACACGCGGACGCTCTTGTCCAGGGATCCGGCAGCCACGTAGCGGCCATCGGGGGACATGGCCACGGTGGTGACACCATCTTCAATGCTCAAAGTGTAGACAAGCTTACCATCGAGAATATCCCACAGGCGCACAGTCTTGTCACCACTGCCAGAAGCAATGAAACGGCCGTTACCAGCAAAGTCCAGAGAGTAAATATCCTGCTCGTGACCACTAAAGATGTGCTTAATAGTGCGCGCGTTGATATCCCAAACCTATGGCATCATGTCAGCGGGGCTTGTCGTTTTTCTGTTTTTTGTTTTTTTTTTGGTCTGATAGGTTGCTTGTAGTTCAGCTCCAAAAACTTACACGAATCTGCTTATCCTCGGCACCGGTCGCAAGGTACTTGCCGTCGGGACTGAAGCAAACACTGCGAATGTACAGATCACCGTCCTTATCAACATTTTCGTCCTGAAGGGTGGCCACGTTCTGACCGGTGTTCACATCAAAGATCTGAGCCGAGCGGTTGCAGCCGGTCGCCAAGTACTTGCCATCACGGCTGAATCGCACACAACACACGACACTGTCATGGTTCAAGTGATGCACCAGGTCCACATCGAGGACTCGCTGCACCTCGGGGTTGAACACGGCGTACCAGTCGTTACCCTCGCGCTTTTGCGACGGAGGCAAGTCATCGGGGTTCCAGTTGGCCAGCATGTTTCCCGGGCGCTCGGCGGTGCGACCTCCCAGGGGCGGGTTGGGGGGAGTAGGACGAGGAATCTGTGGGGACGCACGAGGATCCGGGTAGGCGAGCTGTGTTTGCTGGGGGGTCGCCGGGCCTGGGGGGATCCGACCACGACCCTTGCCGGGGCCGGGGGATGCGGTCGGGGGAGGAGGGGGTCCATAGCCTAAAAGAACGAAGGAATCGGCCCGTTAGCCTACTCGAACTCGACTGTCATAGCCATCACGACATACCGTTCACAGCAGCGCCGCCCTGGTATCCAAATGAGCTCTGCGGGGGTTGCGGCGCACCGGATTGGGCGACCGAGGCAGGCTGCTGAAGGGCATGCTGGGGAGGCTGCTGATCCTGGGGGAGGGGAGGGGCAAGACCGGGGCCACTACCTGGTGGATTGGTCATAATACCTCCAAACAGATTACTGGGGCCGTGGCCCAGTGCTGGCGGGGCTGCCTGAGCACTTGCGGAATGGCCGGCGGCGGCAGCAGCCGCGACCGCAGGGCCGCCGATGTGGGATGGGATGGTCTGGACGCCGCGCGATTCCAGCTCGTGTCGCAGCATGCGGATTTCGGCCTCGTAACTGCACACGGGATGCGACGGTCAGAAAGAGGGACTAGGGTCAATATCGGACGGGGTAGAAAAGGGACGAACTCTTGCTTGATTTTGATCTGAGCTTGTTCCAGCTGATAGACCTTTTGACGGATCATCTCCATCTCTTGGAGCTGTCCAGTCACTGCATGATCTGTCAGTTAGATAACATTTCAGCGAATGTCGGAACCCATGAAGCTGCAACCAATAAAGATGAAGGAATTGGATAGGGTAAGGGAAAGGGAGGGAAAGCCTCCCTGGCGCATAGAGCGACAGGAGAGGAAGGTGTCACAATGGGGGGGGGGGAAGGATTAAGGCTGCGATGACATACACTGATGCTCAAATTCACCGGTGTTGCGCGACTGGCTCTCAAATTCTTGGCGCAGTTGATCGAGCAACTCCGTCAGACGGGAGTTAGGAGCGGGCACCATCCCGCGATGAGTGTTGTACATAGCGCTGGAGGGTTGGGACAAATCGAGGTTAGGGAGCTGAGCTGGTAAGTCGCGGGAGCTCAATGATCCGGATCGATCACTGAGGCTTCAATGGCTTACACCACGCAGCTAGCCACAGCGATGGGATAGATAAAGTGGAAGAGACTAAAGGTCGCGAGTCAGAGGGGTGAAGAGGCTGGCAGATGACAGTTTAAAGCGGAGCGGGAAGGTTTGAGAACGGCGGCAGTGGTTGACGCGAGAAGCGAGAGGCGGTTAGCGCCAAGAACCTTGAATTCTCTCTCGTGTCCTCCGTTCTGTCTGCCTTTTTCTCTCTTTTTTTCTTCTTCTTTTCAGGGATTTGGAGGGGGAAAAGAGCATGTTATCTACTTGTCGACCTCTCTTCAATTCTACAAAGAATCAACTCAAAGTCCCGTTTGCATGTTGTACAATGATATTTTACAAGACGGTAATCAACCTGAAGGTACTCAGGGAATACTTGGATCTACAGCCGGAAGTGCGGGCAGTGGAGGTACCTCTGAGTACGCAAGTGGAACTGCTCCGCCCGTGCAGTACCACCTCGGTACCGTCTGAGGCTGGTCTATTTCTGCCTGAACTCTCAGGCATATATATAGTAGCCTAAAATATAAGGCATTAATGTATTCAGGCACCCAGGCAGCCAGGCAGCACTGCGTCTGTGGCAAAGGGGCAGATTCTTTACTTTTTAATTGCTTTTGCCAATTGAGTCCAGACTATATTCTGTATTCTGTATTCTGTATACTTAGGAAAATGGACTTCACTTCATACTTGAAATATCTAAATATAATATCTCAATATGTCATCTAAATATCCAATCCCCAGTAGAAAGAATAATAACGCATCAGCCCATGTGTATACAACCCCTGGGCTTATTAACCGGCTGTGGTGGTTCCGCGCTGGTGTGACCGGATTGTTTTTTTATGGTTCCTCCTTTTCTCATCTTCTTCCTCTTCCCTTTCCCCCAACACACAACGTCGCAATGGATATCATTCTAGAATTATGGGATACCTTCATTGGAGACCGTCTATACTCCACGGTGCTCCCGACCTCCCTCTCCGCGTCGGTCTCCCTACCGGCCTTCGCCAATGCCGCCAACAGTACAATGGCCCTCTTTGGGTCTTCAGAGCCCTTTGTCTATGAGCAGGCGACTCAGCTACTGTACCTGGAACCCTCCAAGTATGCATACTTGAGTGCTTGGCCACGGAACAATATCTATCGCCAATTCACCAGTTTCTTCCTGATCACTTGGTATGCGCCACGCTCCTGGGTGGGCTCCCTCACAACTAACCGGATCTAGGTTCTTTGGCCTGCTGGTCTACTTTGTCGTCGCATCGCTCTCCTACGTTTTTATCTGGGATAAGACAACCTACCAGCACCCCAAGTTCCTGCGCAACCAGATCAAAATGGAAATCCGACAGGCAATGGAAGCCATGCCCCCAATGGCTCTGCTCACAGCACCTTTCTTCGTGCTCGAGGTCCGCGGATTTGCCAAACTCTACGACACCACCGCCGAGGAACCCTTCCCCTTCTACAGCCTCCTGCAATTCCCCTTCTTCATCTGCTTCACCGATTTCTTCATCTACTGGATTCACCGCGGTCTGCACCACCCCCGCGTCTACAAGACCTTGCACAAGCCGCATCACAAGTGGATCATGCCCAGCCCCTACGCCTCCCACGCCTTCCACCCGCTCGACGGCTGGTCCCAGAGTGTCCCATACCACGTCTTCCCCTTCATCTTCCCGTTGCAAAAGGTGGCCTACGTCTTCTTGTTCGGATTCATCAACCTCTGGACCGTCTTCATCCATGACGGAGAGTACGTGGCGAACAGCCCCGTCGTGAACGGTGCCGCCTGCCACACCATGCACCACTTGTACTTCAACTACAACTATGGGCAGTTCACGACTCTCTGGGACCGTCTGGGTGGTAGCTACCGCAAGCCCAACGAGGAACTCTTCCGTCGTGAGACTAAGATGGGTGACAAAGAGTGGAAGCGCCAGGCCAAGGAGATGGAGTCCATTCTCAAGGATGTTGAGGGCGAGGATGATCGCAGCTACTCCGCTGACAAGAAGAAGGACCTTTGAACATGGTTTCCCTTCATATTCACGAATTCGAAGTCTGCTGCGAATGTTTATGGTTCTCAACTGCATCTTGACGATACATGGCGAACACCGCCTTTTGACCGGGGGTTTGGTCTTTTTTCCCCGGAACCATCCCTTTCCACTAATACAAGTGTATGAGCTTGTCTCGTGCATGATTTACTTGTTTTAATACTCAAAACCGGCCTCCATTGGGAGTCTCATTCTGTACATAATTCTCTTTTTTTTTTCTTTTCTCGTGGCGGACAGATTGCACTTGATTAGATCTTCATGTCAATGCCTTTCTATGTATTATATGGCATCTTTTGTTGGCAGAGACCAATGTGATTATCGATGTTCGAGTTCATCGATCATGCAGATTCCCAATAATGAAATATCAAAATATCCCAACCCTCATAGTCGCTGAATGATCACACAGCGGGATCCATCCGTTTCATGAAATCCATACTCGGCCAGATCTCGTTTGTGACGAGGCCAGATCTCTGCACTGAAGTCATTGTTACCGGCCAGTCGTTCGTGAAGAGTAACCACACGCTGAGCCTGGGCCATATCCCCACACTCGAGTACCGTGATCTGTGTCTTCAGCTCGAGTGCCAAGCTGAGAATCCGGTGGTAGAAGATATCCTCCGGTCTGCCGTCTTCCGAGACTGATGGGGGTACAAGGGCGAGTTCGGGCTCAAAGAGTCGCACACTGCGTGCCGTGGTGCCGTTGCGAAACTCTGCTCGGGAGATATATGGTGGGTTGGAGATTAGTAGATCGTATTGCAAATGTTCCGATGGCTGGGAAGGGCGGCCGAGGGTCTGGAGTAGTGACCTAATAGACACTAGGGTGTCACTGCCATTCCCAAGGACGTCGGCGCGATGAAATTGGATATCTGTTGCGGCCTGGAGCACCAATTGGTCCAGCTTTATATTATGCTGGAGGTTCTTCTGGGCTAACCCCAATGCCACGGGACTGATGTCCACCCCTGTGATGGACAGGTCTTGGAAATGAGGTGCGAGTAGTGCGTGTAGAAGCAGTGAGATGCAGCCTGTCCCTGTGCAAAGGTCCAGAATGCGCAACTTAGTCTCTGGCTTGCGCTTAATCCTTTGGACTAACTCCGCTGATTTGTATGTATACGATTCAGTTTCTGGTCTTGTCGGTGTTAATAGAGAACTCCCGGCTGAGAACAGGGGACGAACCTTGGAATCAGGACTCCTTGGTGGCAGAGAATTTCCAAGTCGCCGAACGGTTGATTTCCCAAGAGGTATTGAAGAGGAACACCTTTCGACCGGAGTCGACACATGGATCTCAGTCGACTCCATTTGGTTGGCAGCGACTGTTTCTCTTGAACTGCCTCGCGGAGCCAACGAAGCTCATTGCGGGCAGAATCAATGGTGCGGCACTCCTTGAGCAGTAAAGGTAGTAAGCTATTCTCTCGATGTGCTCTCAATATCACGGAATAGGGGATTCTGGGCATGATGGGGGGAGAAATGGAAGGTCAAGTCCCAACGCCAAGAGATATCCGTTCAGGCCCCTTCCCGATTGCGCCTACTCCGTACACTATACTGATGTCTTGAATGCTTGTTTTATTTCTTTATTTCATCAAACGTCAAAATAGATAGGAGAATAATCTCTAGGTATATAAGTATAGCTATGCACAGACTCCCCCAAAACCGAAATAAAAATATATGCAAATTCCCATATTAACAAAAAAAAAAAATATATGAGCAGAGGAAAGCAAAGGAAAATCTCCCATCTCACAGAGCCCAAAGAGCACCGGCGCCAGCAAGGCCGAGAGCCAAGTGTCGAGGCATGGCGGTCGCTTTGGGAATGGCCATGTTACCGGTCGCAGAGATGGAGGTGTATACCCCGGTCCCTCCAATGCCACCGATCCGAGCCGCAGTTCCTCCAACGGGAGCTGTCGTGACAGGATTCGAGACTGCGGTGGCACCGGGCACCGAATCGGTACCGGTGCCGATCTCCGAGACATCGTTCTCCGTGGTGTTGAAGTTGGTGTTGGCCAAGGAGATCTCGTTGTTGGCGAGATCGTAGACCACGTATGCGCTGCGGAGGAAAGTATCGCCCAGCACGGAGGTGCTACTACCAGCGGGCACGATACCAAAGACACAGGCCTTCTTTCCGTTGCGGAAGTACAAATCCCCGACATCAATGATCAATTCATTGAGGCCGACGTCAATGGTCGGTGAGGAGAATGTGTAGCTGATGTTCACGTCCTTGGAGGCCAAGCTGCATTCCACATAGCCGATGCCACTTTGAGATTCATAGGTAACGCCGAGGTCGTTGTAGATATCATTGACGATGGCATCCGGGAGGTATGTGAGGGAGCTGCCCGAGTCCAGAAGCACCCCGGCGGGGATGGCGCTCGACGAGTAGGAGTGCGTCCCCGAAGAGTTACTGAGGGCGATCCCAGTGAGGGCGATAATGAACTCTGCATACTGGTTGCCGACCTTTTGGATGGGTACGGTTTGCAGGGTGCCATGGTACTTCTTAGTGTTGACTCCGCCGAACAAGATAGATCCGGTATTCGCATCCAAATCGTTGAGCCACAGGCTGTAGGCGTTGGATTGAATCAGACCCTTGTTGACCATAGCCTTGGGCAGATTGGCATAGGCCGAGTCGCCATTGGCGCCCACCTGGACTTCATTCGACGTGTATCCTATGCCGAGCACTCCCTCTGAATCATTGCATTAGCTTTCTTCCCGATACCATATTTTGATGTCGATCACTCACCTGCAGATGCCGAGGTAAAGCCAATGCCAAATTGGAAATTCTTAATTGTTGTCCCGCCGATCGTCAGAGTGTCGGTGACATAGTCCCCTGCGGCGCCGGTCCCATCGGCATAGGTGATATTGAAGTCGGAGTTCACGAAAGAGTAGGACGAAGAGGCCGTCGCATCATATGTGCCCGACACGCTGCAGCCATTCTCTTTATTTTCACAAAAGGTGGAATTGGGGGTGTTCGTCCATAAGTCACTGCTTCCGGTGTCGATCACTAGCCGGAAGCTTTGCTCGGGGGTTCCCAACGTGATATTGCAGAAGTACAAGGTTTCCTTTAGGAGGTCAATATGCGCCTTTTTATCCCTGTCGCCTTTCAGGGTTCTTACCTCATTATCCAATGTTTGACTGATCGTCGAGCGCTTTCTTCGTGCTTGATCTCTGGCGACTGGATCGGCAATCTCGTTGCGCTGGATGTCCATCTGCACTACCGCCGGATTCTCCCTCTGGTGCAAGGTGATACCCCAGACCGGCACTGCGGCCAATAGGATCCATACATTTCTCATGGTGCCGATCCGGGTTCGGCTCGGGATATGCTGGGATCGGCGAGAATGCGTTCGAGTTAAGAATAAAAGCTAAGGAAGCTAAGGAATGCAGAGAGAGAGAGAGAGAGAGAGAGAGAGAGGAAAGACAAGAGCAGAAAAAGAGCAGAAATCCGAAAATCGAGAGAGTGGAGAGAGAGCATGTCATATCCGCCTGGACCCGATTACGCTGTACTCGTACTATACGCATACGTATGCAACGTACGTAGGTGACGCTCCCCACTATGGCTTGCCAAGCACAAGCTAAACAATCTTATATGCTTAGTCTTGTTCAGACATTGTATATACTATTTATTAAGTAGTAATACTAATAATTAGAATACTAATAATTAGAAATAGTACTGAGCATTAGCTATTTAACAGCTTACTTATAACGACCATATCCTATGTATAGTACTTAGTATACTGCGAGTATAGTTACATTACGCATACTCAGAGGCAGCCAGATTTCTGTATTTCTTTCACTGTACTGTACTCGACATAACTAAGTATAGGTACATACTTGAATAGCATAGTAATGTAGTAATATAGTGGTATGGTACATAGTATAGTACATAGGTATAAATCTGCATAATCTACAATCCCATCGCCTCCCGGATCTGCCGCATCGTAACTTGACTATTGGCTCGTGCCGCCTCAGCCCCCTCCTCGGCCACACTGTCCAGGTAGCTTGGGTCTGTCAGGAGCCCCAGATACCGCTCCCGGATCTCGTGCAGATGAGAGACAATCCGCTCAGCCACATGCTCCTTCAGGGCCCGAAGACTGGCGCCCTGGTATTTGCGCACGATCTCTTCGCAGGCCAGACCATCCAAGTGGCTGAGAATTTCAACCAGATTAGATACACCCGGGCGACGGACGGGGTCATAACTGACGCCTGCTTCGGAATCAGTCAGGGCCACCTTGACCTTCTTGCGGATGTCGGCCGGAGAGTCAGTCAGGAGAATGCGGGACTTCTCGTCCGCATGTGATTTGGACATCTTGGAGGTCGGTTCTTTCAAAGACATCACTCGTTTGGCCGGGGCTAGAAAAAAAGATCAGCGGGGAAGATGAGGGGAGAGGGACCCATTCTTACAGATCAAGGCCTCGGGAATAGGGAAGATGGGTCCGTAAAGGTGGTTGAAGCTGTTCGCGGTGTATCGGGAGAACTCCAGATGTTGCCTCTGGTCCTCTCCGACGGGGACATGTGTGGCGCTGGGGCTTGTTAGTTCAGGCCAGCAAGAGGATTCGAGGCACAAACCGATGAATCAGAATGTCAGCGGCTTGAAGTACTGGATAGGAGAAGAGACCGAGACGCAACTGGGCTCGTGCAGTTGAGTCATCCAGCGTGGCATCGTCTGGCAGCTGGAGTTTGCTCTGGTTGGGGGGTTAACATCAAGTCAGGCCATGGCACCAGATGGCTCACCTTCCACTGGGTCATACGGGAGAGGTATCCCATGGATGCTACAGTACTGAGAATCCACATCAACTCGGTATGTGCCGGCACCTGGGGCTGGTCAATAAAGTGCCCGTTCGTCATGGTCGAGTCAACATACAGCGGATTGATAGAAGATAGTCGAGCGTTTGGGGTTCAATCCCACGGCAAGTAATGTTGCAAATGCCTCTCTTCTCCATTTTCTCAATTGGGCAGCCTCTTGGGGAACTGTCAAAGCATGGAGATCCACAATCGAAAAAAAGAGCTTGGTTCCCTCTTGGGCCTCTTGTTGCAGTTTGACCCAGGGAAGCAGAGCTCCGAGGTAATTTCCTAGATGTGGAACACCGGTAGGTTGGATCCCAGAGAAAATGATGGGCTCCTGGGCTGGTGGTTGATTTGAGCTACTCCATCTCCTTGGGGAATGGGAGAGCCCGTTCAGTCGGCGATGCAGGCCTTTGCCGCCCAATGACCTTGGCACGGCATGGCACTGACGGGCTATATTGGATTTCATCTCCAACAGAGCTTGACGGGTGAGGTGAGAAGAATTGGTCTCAGTATTTACTTCGTGTTGCATGTTGGATTCCCCATCACGTGTCGGCGAGACATGCGTCACGTGGTATCGGTCTCTTCTATTTGACCGTTCTACTGTCCTTCTATTACGATTATTACTATTATTCTATACTTGTCTACAATAATCCTCGGAGTATGAGTCTAGAATATAGTTTCTGGCGGGAGTCAACAAATGACAGGTGTACAATTATGTGCGTCTATACCTTCAAGATATAAGGCCCAGGGAACCGTTGGAGAACTTGAGAACATGCAAAGTCCCGTCTGGGCTGGAATGGTAGTAAAACAGTAAAATACATAAGGCCTAGGGCTTTTGGATGGAATATAGGCAGCGCGTGCAACAAAGACACCAAAGACACCGTCCAGATGTTCACGGGTATATAAATCCAACAGGTTACGATGGCCGCTCGGCGGTGGGCTTTGCGCACTCTATGCCTTCTGTGCGGGCTTCCTGTCACCACTGCCCGCAAGGTTCTCAAAGTCAGCAGCCAGAAGCTCGTTGACCTTGGGAAGAGCCTCGTCCAGGGATTTGCCAACGTCTGCAGGAACAATAAGATTAGTATCACGGTGGAAACAATGCAATGGAAGAGGGGCGCAAGCATACCAAGGCTATCGTATTCCCAGACATTGGCCTTCATACCAACTCCGTAAAATGCATGCTTGCGGAGGAAGGCCAGCCAAATTTGCACGGATCGGGGGTTTCCATCCTTGATCTGAATGAGTCGGCGAAGAGTGATACGTTCGAAGTTCTCCTGGCTCTTCTTGTGCACGAAGTTGCTCCGGGGGACGGTCCAGCGTTCGGTGATGCGAGGGAGAGGCACAGGCCCAGACACGGGGAGGTTGAGGTAGTAAGCGGCGCGGATGGCGAAGTCCGCGAAGAATTCCACATTGCGGACACTGTAGGATCGCAATTGGAGGTTGCAGACGGGCAAGCCGTGTTCCGCCTTCCTCCGCAAGGGCCGGAGGTATATCGCTTGCACACTTCGGGGAAGACGGCTCTCTTCGCCAAATACCCCTAACCGTTCAGACCTGGAATTGTGAGTGGTGGTCTTGAAATCTAGCATTGGAGTGCCTCGGGTGTGCTTACCATTCTTTCACATCTGGTACGGAGGGTTGTTCAGCTTCAATTGGTCTAGATGTTCTCGATCAGCCACATGCTCAGAGATCCCAGGGTTCAACGGGTGTCTTACGCCACGGCAGCCGGGGTCGGGGCGGCGGGAGTCGGGCTTGCAGATGGAGTGGGAGTAGCCTGGGCCGAGGCTGGTGTAGGGGTCGTTGTAGGTTCTTTGCTAGGTGTGTTCTGTTCCGGAGTCGGCTGGCTTGGGGTTGATAGAGCGCGAAATGGCACCGGCACCTGTCCGGGTTTAGCGCGAGTCAAACCAATCCATTGGATCGTATACCTTGAGATGCTTGCTCGCCCCGAATAGGGAGCGCGATGTGTATGAAAACATGGTGTGATATTGTGAGGGATGTGGTTGTTTGGCGAATGGGTTTTTTTCGGGGAGAAGAGGCCAGGGCGGTGAGAGCCTTTACTCTTCTACTTGGGTGAACGGAGTATTTAAGTATTTAAGTATTTCTGGTTTTGAAAATAAATCTACGTGGCTTTCAATTCTAATCAAGTAGGTCCTGACTAATTCGCGGCATTTCATCAAGTGTGTTGCATACAGGAGGTTGGTGTTACGGAAAGACGAAGGCAGAAGAAGAAGGGATGTCATCTGACCTCAATAGAAAAAAAAGATAACCACAGGAGCTCTTCAATCTGAGTACCACCGTCTGTGGCCAAACACCCCGAACGCCCCTTAATGTTGTCCCACTTTTCAAGCACACGGTCAATCTCTCCTCCAGCACCAGATGCATAAAATACCTCGCACAGCCTCCAGTGGAGGTCAAGCAAAGTCCGATTGACCGAAGCAACTTCAGAGTGCTGATTCATGGTGACCTTCTGACCTTCCTCACAGAAGCGAGGTAATGTTGGGCCTCTGGACTCGTATACCACGATCTCGTATAGGAAATCATCATCGGGCTTCAGATAAAACTTATATTAGCTAGGTAGATCAGGTGTTAGGTATTGTCACTCACGATTGGTTTGAAGGCCAGTAGGAACTTTCCAAATAAGGAGTGGAGAGAGGCCGCGAGCAAAAATCCATTTGAAGGCTCATCGACCGTGGAGCCCTTGATGATATCCCTCGCCGCGGGAAAGCAAGTGTAAAGGGCAGACCAGCACACGCCAGTATCGCTATTGGCCATGGGCGCTAACTGCTTTTAGCTAGTTAGTCTCATACTCCATATAAGATGACAATGTAGAATTACCTTTCTCTCAAATTTTCCGAACGAAAACGGTATAACATGTACCACTTCCAGATCGATTGGCACCTCCTCTTTGGGTTTTCCCTTTTCCTCCCATTTGCTCGAGGCGAGGTAGCCAGAAACAACGCAACGGGAATCGTCCCGCTTGAAGCAGGCATCGACAAACCAACTAGAACGACTAGTAACGGGTGTGCTTGCTCGGTCGCTTATATTCTGTGCGTCCTCTTGGCGACGGGAGACTGGCGAAGAAGCGGGAGATGACTTAGCACCCGACGCCTTGACTAAATCGAGATATAGATTAGCCAAGTCCGTATTGGAAATTTTCTTGAATCAACCTTGCAAACTTACTCGGTAAAAGGAGCGCAGTATGCACGTGGCGGTACACCCCGTACAAACCTTCATCTGTTGCCGACTCGTCTGAAAGGATGTCCCGAGCGATTTTCTCTCGCCCAGCTTGGGGGAGCCATAGCAGCAGTGCATGGAGTGTCGGGACACAAAGCCGATCGGTACGATCGGGTGATGTAATGTATTTCTCTATGCGTGCTTTTGCCTGGGCGTGGAGTGTCTCCCAATCCGTTTCATCTGTGGGGTGAACACTTGCCGGCGCACTAACATCAGAGAGTGAATTGATGAATGTGGGGGCCGGGGTGAGATGTGGGGCCGGGGTCGAGCTACTCGTAGCCTCGGCTTCGGGTCCTGGAGAGATGGCTTTGCGTTTTTGAGCACGCGTAGTGACCATTTTGAGATGTAGGGGTTAATGAGATGGTGAATCTGAGATGAGCAAAAACTGAAAGGGTGGAATATGAGATGGGAAGAAACTGAAAGGGAAAATTTGCAGAGCTCAAGCTTGAGCATCAGTCGCCGGAAAGTATTTTGGAGCCTGAGAAAACAGGCCATGAACCACTGATCACGCTCAGACAGTGAGGCAGTGAGGCGGTAAGGCGGTAAGGCAACAAAATACAAGGCAACAAGGCAACAAGGCAACAATAAAGATTCAGGTGTCAAGGAGTCAACGCTAGTCCTAAAGTGGCCGCATTAGCGAGACCCCCAAGTCGAAGTCTTGGCATTCGAGACACACACAATTTGATTGACGTGAAAGACACGAGTATAGCGATTTCGATCTTTTCAACCTCCAACACCCTCATCACAATGGCCACAAACATCTCCAACGATCTGGTCTGGCAGATCACCCGTAAGTTCGATCCCTCCAATTTTCGCATCGGGACTTTGGCTCCTTGATTTGGGAAGCCGAATTCAAGCTCATGGCGATTTTTCGGAACAGGCAACCAGAACTCTTTCCTGGTCAACCGCAACACCGGTGGTGGCTCCCAGTTCTCCCGCGACCCTCTTAACGTTCTCAACAAGTCTTCTTACAAGGTATGGCCTGATTGACCCCGCGCTGGAAAGGAAGAGTGGTTTTAACGGTCCATTGCGAAACTATAGTATGCCGGCTTTGCCAACACCAAGGTATGTCATTTGCCCCTCCCCCTGTTGAGATAGGCTGGTCGCTCACCACTCCCAGGCTATCGGTGTCCAGGCCACTGAGAACGGCGTCGCTGTGACCACCAAGAACCCCAACACTGTCCAGCAGCCCGCTAAGACCTTCGTCACTGTCAACTACGGTCCCAGCACCTCCACCCGCAAGTAAGGCGCCTTCCCAACCCACCCGCTTCTCGGTTTCCTCTCGCTGACTGTTCAATTTTCAGGATCTACAAGGGTGTTGCCGACAAGACCGCCAAGCACGGTTACCGTGCTGATATCCGCGAGGAGGCCGTTGCCCGCGTCAGCGCTGTCCGCCGCTCCCAGCTCCCCAAGAAGGATGCTCCCGCCCAGAAGCTCCGTGGCGCCAAGGCCCGCAAGGCTGCCGAGGCCTCCGAGTAAATTAGTTTCTGAAAATTGGAACTGAAACTGTGGACCATGAAGGATTTGGATTGGAGGGGAGGCTTGATAGGCGTTTTCCATGCCATGACATGGGAATTGTCCATGTAAATCTAGCAATCTTGCTCCGGGGCAACAAAATATGATACAAACAGTCCCGTCCGACTATCCGAAGCAAGACACTTTTTCCCCTGCAGAGCCGGAAAAGGAATTTCCCTGTAGTGTTCCGGGCCCTGTATGTCATACTGCATACTCTGTCCTCCATCTGTACTCCGTAGTCGGTAGGTGATGAGTACCCATTTATATCAGACTGTAATGCACAACCGACCAGTCGGCCCGAGCCTCAACCCCATGAGGACGTCCGGTTTTCGCCCGCCTTTTTCCGATCTCAGCCCGAGGGAATAGATTGGAACCTTGGGAAGAGGGACGAGAATTGCCGGAGGATGCCTACTGAAGTCCCGCGGGAACCTCCGTGGAGAGCTATAGGTATACATAGGTGGTAAAGTACCTAAGTACATCATAGTACATCATATGCCGGGGGAGTTAGTATGGAGTACGGAGTACCTGGTACCTGCCGGTGAACGCTTCAGGTACTCAACGGTTTACCATTCAACGATCTTTGTATTTTATATTTATTGTATATATTGCATATGTAAATAATATAGGAACATAAAGAATACAGATAATAAAAATAATAGCATAGATCATAAATACAAAATACTACTACAAAATACTACAAAATACTCAAATACCGAGAAAAGGGACAGCTCTTATACTTCACATGTCATAGGCCGACGTACTCCGGGGTTGCCCCTCTGCCCCTCTCTTATAATCCCCCCCCCCCGTCCCCTCTTTCTTCTCCTCACCATTCTTTCTTCCACATATCTGTCATCATGGTTAAAGCTGGTAGGACTCATCAGCTTCCCATGTATCGTGCCTTACTGATTCTCCTGTAGTTGTTCTCGGAGCCTCTGGTGGCATTGGCCAGGTCAGTCGGCATCAATCGCAGATCGAACACGACTAACCCCAAGCACAGCCTCTTTCCCTCCTGCTGAAGGCTTCTCCCCTCATTGACGAGCTTGCCCTCTACGATGTCGTCAACACCCCCGGTGTGGCTGCGGATCTCTCTCACATCTCCTCGGTGGCTGTATGTATTCGGAAACCCGTTTCCAGTGCCCCGTGCTGACCAAATAGAAAATCACCGGCTACCTGCCCAAGGAGGATGGTCTGGAGAAGGCTCTGACCGGTGCTGACATCGTTGTCATTCCTGCCGGTATCCCCCGTAAGTAATGCGCGTTGAAAACCCCGCCGATGTACCTGACTGAGTATGGTCCCATCTAGGCAAGCCCGGTATGACCCGTGACGACCTGTTCAAGATCAACGCCGGAATTGTCAAGACCCTGGTCGAGGGAATTGCCAAGTTCTCTCCCAAGGCTTTCACCCTTGTCATCTCCAACCCCGTGAACTCCACTGTGCCCATCGCCGCCGAGGTCCTCAAGGCCGCCGGTGTCTTCGACCCCAAGCGCCTGTTCGGTGTCACCACCCTGGACGTTGTCCGCGCCGAGACCTTCACCCAGGAGTACTCTGGCAAGAAGAACGCCTCCGAGGCTACTATCCCCGTCATTGGTGGCCACTCTGGCGAGACTATCGTCCCCTTGTTCAGCAAGGTTTCCCCCAGCTTCCAGATCCCCGCCGAGCGCTATGAGGATCTCGTGAAGCGTAGGTGCCTCCCCATCCTTGTGACAATCAATATATTAACAGCCCACAGGTGTCCAGTTCGGTGGTGATGAGGTCGTCAAGGCCAAGGATGGCGCTGGTTCCGCCACCCTGTCCATGGCCTTCGCCGGTTTCCGGTATGTGTTCTCAAACCTCAAAACCAAATCATCAGGTGACTAATCCATTCTAGATTCGCCGAGGCCGTTCTCAAGGCTTCTCAGGGTGCCAAGGGCATTGTTGAGCCTACTTTCGTCTACCTTCCCGGTGTTCCCGGCGGTGACGCGATTGCTAAGGAGACCGGTGTTGAATTCTTCTCCACCCCCGTTGAACTCGGAGTGAGTCTTCAACTCCAAGGTGCATGCTAGGACGATTTAACTGACATGCGTGATACAGCCCAACGGTGCCGAGAAGGCCATCAACATCCTCGACGGTGTCACCACCCGTGAGAAAGAGCTCCTCGCCGCTTGCATCACTGGATTGGAGGGCAACATTAAGAAGGGTGTTGAGTTCGCTCAGAACCCCCCAAAGTAAGGAATCCCCCTCGTCCATCACTGCTTAATATTCGGACATGCCTTCGGTTCCGGTTGTCTTGTATCAATTGCCACCCTTCCTCCCCTTTGGCTCCGATAACACTGGAAATTAGCAGAGCCTTGCTAATCAATGTTGTCCCGGAAAGATAGGCCCCAGCTGTGAGATCATGAGATTATGAACAACGAGCAGACACAATAGCGTACGGTCTTCGATCCGTCGAGTAGGTTTGAGTTATGTAGCAGCAAACCCTCAATGGACAGAAATACATAATTACCCGTCTCCATTTCTAGCATCATGTCTCATGTAGTTGGATGAATCGGGCCTGTCGCGGCTTGCGGGGAATTTCACCAAGGCGGAGATACTCCAGCCATCTCGAGATTGGGCCGGGGACCAGCCCAGGCCCAACCATGATGCACTTCAAGGCCGAGGCTGGAGGGTTTTGATTTGAAACGTTGCACCTGGGAGATCTGACGTCTCGGCCTGGACGGTGGTGTGAATGCCCAGGTTTGCCAACGCACCCCGAATGATACCGCAGGGGAACCAAAGGTACTGAATGGACTAGTTAGCCTGACCCGATCGTGGTTGCGCACATATCCTTACCGCCTGTGCCATGGAGATCGCATCACTCCGCACTGCCATGCTCATCCTCCCGAATGGCCGGAACGCGCTATCTGTCAAAACGTAGACTCCCTAGACAGAGCGTTATATTAGTGTTATGATCGATGCTAGAGTAATCCCAGAAGCGTCGCGCCCTAGGATTGCAGTCGTGTTGACGTACCCGATGGTTCGTTTTCAAATTGTCAATCTGTTTCTTGAATAGAACGGTCCATAGGTCCTTGCAGAGGAACTTAATCACGTCGAGGTTATCGGTAAAGCGAGGTCGGTCTCGAGCGAAACTGCATACGAGCATATGAGCATATTGCGAGGCGGTGCAAGGAGCAATCAAGGGAATCCAGCTTACCGCTCCGCAAGACCTTGTCCCACACGATAGCCTAGGTTCTCTAGACGAAAGAATGTCGTTTCTCTGACCTCCTCATCCTCTAAGTCCTTGCCCTCGGTCGCGAGTTCTTTGGCCATGCGCTCAGCCATGGGTACCAGCTCTATGAGCAGGAAATCGAAGCACGAGGAGCTAACGAAGCGGGCATTGGGATCTGCAGAATTTAACGGAGAGGTTGAATCAAACGACATGATGGACAAATGAGTGCTGGAGCTCAAAGTGAAGTTGCGCCAAGCAGCGGTGGTAAAGGAGGGAAGGTTGACGGGTGAAGTTGGGTCTGAGCTCGGCCCGAATCCACTTATCTATAAGTGCCTACTAGTACATACCTAGGTAGTAGTACTATGTATGTTTTTACCACATTTCGTTCTAGTCTACGTCCGTTCTATTCTTGGTAGCTGAATCAAGTCATGAAATTCTTTCCTAGATACAAGCGGATATCCCAGATCCCAGATCCTGATCACGCCAGAAACTCCGAAAAGATGCATAAGAGCCTGTGGCTCAATAACGATGTATATCTCTTTAAGATGATGGGGGGTAAGACCCGTTCAAAGGGCTACTGGCAGGCGGAACGTGATAGTCTGTCCAAGGGAAAGATCGGGAGGGTAAGCTGGGTGCGAGTCGTTTGGCCGGTGGCGCGGGAGAATCATCCTCTTCGTCGCCGCTTTCTGTAAGATCAATGACTTGAGACAGAGGTCGCTTCTTGCTCGACTGACGAATCACAGAGGAAGGGGTGGAAGTATCTCGGGACTTGGACTGGGCGGGTGTCCGCTCTAAGGCGATATTAGGGAGACCAAGCTCTTGATTCGCTGGCTCTTGTTTCACGACGGGGAGCCCGGGCTCAGTAATCTCGATTAGATCGTCATCGTCATCCTCTGATGTTGGAGTCATCCTGCCCGGCTTCGTTGCATCTGAGTCCGTAGGGGTTGACCACACACCGTTTGGTTCAACTGTGACCTGATCGATCTGGGAGGATGTCGTTTGCAGGATATCATCGACATATCTATTGAATGAGTCAGACAGGGTGCACAGTATGTATACTTGGGGATGAACGAACTGGTCAACTTGCAAAGACTCAAAACTGGTCGATTTGGAACACACGGGACATGTCCACGTAGGAGCCTGTTTTTGCAATTCGAGGAATGACGATGCATCGAAGCACTGATTATGGGTGCAGATGATAGAGCGGCAAGGCACTTGAATCCGGAGAGTAGAGAGGGGACATTTAAGAGACATGACACTCGACGTTGCAATGATGTCTGTGTCACTTGCTCGGTTTTGCACTAGCAGCTACACGTTAGACAGTGATCGTGAAGGGGTGAAGGGGGGTTTTGTTTTTACTTTCGCGTATTACTTGCTCTTTTGATATGAGCTTTCTTGTCTTCAGTTCCGATACAAGATTCTCGATGGGATGCTGTTGAACCAGATTGGCGAGGGCAAAGAATTTCTGCACATTAAGTCAGTCATGAGGCCCAGGCGAGGATAGATCCGCCAGGAGCGCAGAGTTGTTCGAAGACCTACCTTTTGCGTCAAGGCATAAGTCATGACTATATTATTGGGATAATGCGCCTTTTTGCGGATGTAATTGGTGACATCTGCAGGCTGCGTCGTGCCGGGTCTGTTTTTCAGCCCCCTCAGATTGGCCTTGACTTCATCAAGATTCACCTTGAGCTCGACTTGATGCGGGAAGGCTATATCTGATTTGGTGAATTGTGTGAGGCCCGAGTCACCCGCACAGTATACCATCACTCGCATGTTTGGATCTGTCTGCAGTTTATAGGCTGCTGACTGGGACAGCATCACCTTCAACTCCACACTGTCTCTGGTGTTTTCACGGACTGGAGAATATTAGACACTCAAGCTCTAGGCATAATTTTGGAACAACATACTCTTGCATTCCACAACTGGAGTCAGAGACTCTACCACAGCAAAGAATGGGCTGTCCTTGAAAACCAGAGGGCCTGGGGACTTTGGAGCCGGGGTTTTCATAACGGGCGCATTCGGACCAGGGGTGTATGGATATGGTGACAATGAGATCCCAGGGGCTGTAGATCGAGCCTGTGCTGGGGACTGGACAGGTGGTGCTTGGTAGTGCTGTCCCGCAGGTGCCGAGTATGGCGCAGAATTGGGGAAAGCAGTAGAGCGGATTTGGGTTGCCAGGACATCAAAACTGACAGTGTCTGATTCTGCCAGGCTCTGCAATCCTGTTTGCAAGAGTTAGCACTCCCAGCACCTGTTTGACTGAACGCGAAGCAAATGACAAGAGTATGGGGAATAGAGGAATAACTGGACTGCCAATCAGAGGGGTCCACGCACGATGTATGATGCGAAACTGCAGAGCAGCCTTCACTCCTGACACCTGAAGCCCCTCATGCCTCAGTAGAAGCTTCAGTTGTGGGTTTGTGAAGGTCTTGATGTACGATGTCAGTGTCTGGACATCTGTTTGGTTCGACATGATTTCAGATGGAAAGAGTGATCAAGGACTTGGTCCACTCCTCGAAAGGCAACAGTCCAATTCAACCAGGCCAGTGGTAGATCTGCATCGATACATTAGCCCTGAGGTGAGAGACCTGTAGGCGCGAGGAAGTCAATCGGAGAGGAAGTCGTGCCTCCGGATGACATAATATCCCTATCGCGGGAAAAAAAGTGTTATCGCAATGTCCTCACTATTTTCCTACCTTTTTTTTTTTTTTCTTTCCCTCTTCTCTCCCACTCAATCAGTCACCTTTCCCTCCAAGTCTCCCTTCTTTCTTTCACAATGGCCAAGAGTATCCGTGCCAGCGTTTCCAAGCGCAACCGCGCCACTTTGCGCAAGAATTTCTTCGGTCCAATCGTCGATGCCAGAACCGAGAGACTCCACGCCAAGCTCCAGGAACTGGCCGATAAGCCCCGCCCTGAAGCCCCAGAGAAGTCCAAGAGGGAGCAAGCCGAAGTTGAGGCTGGTAGGTGCATTGCCCACCATTCGCGGATTTAGGCTTACGAACTACAGACCAAGCAGCCAAGGCCCAACTCGGGGGTGACGAAGGTATGTTTTACCGCCATTCTACCTGCAACCGAAATCTAACCCATTCACAGCCATGGATGTCGACCCCAAGGCCCCTAAGAGCCTCAAGAAGGCCGCTCGTGTGCAAAAGCGAAACCAGAAGCCTCGCAACTCGATTGTTTTCAAGAAGCGCCAATCTTCCGGCAAGAGAGGATCCAAGAAATAAGGGATTTCTCGGATTGAATCAAAAAGGCGTTTGGGGAGTTAGCTGTGGCACTATCGAATTACATGATGTAAACATGACAAGTAACAGGTATATATTCAAACATGAAGCGTGAAGTACAAGGTTGATTTCAGTAAATAATAGTGGCGTGGGGAGTATGTAGTATCATTGTTATCCTATCATTGTCACCCAAGGCCACATACCTTTCTTTCACAACATCCTCTTCACTCCTCTTCGCATCCTATTTCCACAATGGCAGGCCTCCCTCGGATTTTCCAAGGCACTGAAATTGCCCTGCCTGGCTCTGCGACTCTCGGCTTTAGCGCCAGTATATGGGTGATTGACGCGAGGCTTTTCGAGGAAACCGTTGACAGGGGACATGCGCCTTGTCCTGGTTCTCAAATCCCGTCTTCCTGGGTAACTAGCCTGGAGGAAACTGGAGATGTTTGCAGGCCACCATTGGGAGTTCAGGGATAGAAGTCGACATGCAAACACTCAATACCGCAGTATTGGCGGCCTTTGTTCCATACTAGTGAGATATGGTATTGCCATTATCATGGTATACAGTACGGAGTAGAGGAAGTAGTGAGGATGGGAAGTACAATCGTTATCGCCAAGATCCATAGGGCGGTGTGGATAGGCGCGTCGATAACCAGGTTTCTGCCGGGCCATTCGACGCGGACTTGTTGCATCATTTGACTGCTGGATCTTTCCTATCACAATGGGGTTCTATGCCACTGTGATCGCCAATCTGCTGATCCCAGTGGGCATCCTGGTCTTTTCCTCGGGCTTCTTCCCATATAAGCCACTGATCCCGGGACTGGCAACCTTGGAGACGGACGATGCAGCTCCTGCGATCTTCGACAAGGTCATTTTTATGGTGGTGGATGCACTACGAAGGTAGGGCCTCGAAACTACCGCAAGATCTACTATCATAGCTCACGAGGCCAAAGCGATTTTGTATATTCGAATGAATCAGGGTTCCAGTTTACGCAAAGGTAAGTGCAGCTTCCAGATGGCCATAGTTACATGGACACAATTGACTCGAAAGTAGTCTGATTCGTTCCGGTGCAGCATTGCCGTTCACGGCATATGCAGGTTCTCCAACCGTCACAATGCCTCGATTGAAAGCGATCACCACCGGGTCCGTCCCATCTTTCTTAGACGTGATTCTGAACATTGCGGAATCAGACACTTCGTCCACATTGGCATACCAAGACACATGGCTGGCCCAGTTAAAAGCAACCGGGGGACGACTTGTCATGTATGGGGACGATACTTGGCTGAAGCTATTCCCAGGGATGTTTGATCGCGCCGATGGAACTACCAGCTTTTTCGTGTCGGTACGTACTTGACTGCATACACAGTAACATCAGAACTGACTTCTCTTGCAGGACTTTACGGAAGTAGATCAGAATGTGACTCGACACGTCTCAGATGAGCTTGCCCAGGACGATTGGTCTGCTTTTATTATGCATTACCTGGGGCTCGATCACATTGGACACAAAGCTGGTCCCAAAAGGTACTGCAATATTCCCCTCGACTCTTCTGATCTGGCTCTGACCGTCTAGTCCCTTCATGGTACCCAAGCAGCATGAGATGGATGATGTGGTGAATGAAATCTACACTGCCTTGCAACGGGAACAACACCTCCAGTCCACACTTTTCGTCCTATGTGGAGACCATGGCATGAATGAAGCCGGGAATCACGGCGGGTCTTCCACTGGCGAGACATCGCCTGCATTGCTTTTCATGTCGCCCAAATTTGAAACACTCGGCGGCCGAGAAAGCCCCGTGGAGCCATCGGGGGACATGGCATACTATAAAACAGTTGAGCAAGCTGACATTGCCCCTACGCTAGCAGGACTCCTAGGTGTTCCAATTCCCCTGAACAGTCTAGGTGTATTCATCCCGGATTTCTTAGGAATGTGGAATCAGAGTATGTATTGGTCGCTGAAAGGACACTCTGGGCTCGGACTGACGTTGGCGATAGGTTCTCATCAAATTCGCATCCAATATCAAAATGCGAAACAGTTGCTGAATACACTAACGACCACATTCCCGGGCTCTTCATTCGATCCTGCAAGTATAGCACCCTGTGAATCTGGGGCTGCATCTGGAATTGAAGATGCCCAATGTGCATGGGCTCGGGTCCAACACATTCTCGCCGATGGTCCTGAAACGTATCCCCATCCAGCAGCCGGTCCAGCCTTGGCGCAGTTCTCGAAGACTGCGCAGGATGTGATGAGCCGCACTGCGAGTAATTACGATGTATCCAGACTGGGCTTGGGGCTCTTGATCACCGCACTGGCAGCCTTGTTTGTCCTTCCAACCACCGTCAGGGAGTGCACCCGGCGAGGCCCACCGGGGCTCTTCTTGACGATGATGGTCATAGCCTATGGGATCATGATGTTCGCAAGCAGCTATGTGGAAGAAGAGCAACAGTTTTGGTATTGGATTTGTTCCGGATGGGTCTTCTACCTGTACATCAAATCACAATCTGCCAGACCAGGGCGCACCCGCTCAGACTTCATGTCGTGGTCAGGACCATGCTCCATCCTGCTTCTCGCCATCTGCCAACGACTATTGCGACGATGGAACCAGACAGGACAGAAATTCGCCGCAGAGCCTGATATTGCTCATACCTTCTTTGGGCGTCACCTGGAAATCTTCTGGGCCCTCCTTGCTCTCACATATCTAGACGCCGGTCATGGAATTGTCCGCAAGACGCGCCTCCCAGGGCTCTACAAACTAGGCGCGCTCGTCCCCGCTGTCTTGGCGTTCACTTTCAAGGTGCATTTTGTTGCATCAGAATCCCCCGAACTTTTGGACGGGACGTTCATCTCCCATATTGCCAAGGAATGGCCTTACACTATGTCCCTGGTCCTTCATGCTAGACTCGTGTTTTATGGACTTGCCATCGTTACTGTGCCAACACTGTTGGGCAGCAAATTCTGTAGCTCTGTTCAAGGTAGGCTTTCTTTATTGAAATACCATCTCCTGCCCTGGAGTGCATGGCTGATCACAGATACAGCACCGCACGAAAGCATCCATGCAGCCTTACATGTCTTCCTCATGACACAGTCTCGTGCCACGAATATCCCACTCTTCCTTCTCTTCCGAGTCACTGCCCGGATTCTCTCTTCCATGGACTTGACCGGGATTGAAGTTACCATAACCACGATGATCTTCCAATACATGTCCTTTTTCGCCTTTGGTGGCTCAAACGCCATCTCCTCCGTGGATCTGGCCAGTGCCTATAATGGCGTCGGGAGCTACAACGTTGGGTTGGTCGGTGTTTTGACCTTTGTGAGTAACTGGGCGGGCCCTATCTGGTGGGCCTCGCAGAGCCACCGCTTGCGGCCTCGGGGTATCCACGACGCCTCCGCCTTGTTGACTTTCCATGTTGCCATGTCCACGGTCTCTGTCATGGCCGCCTGCACTGCGCTCCGAACTCATCTGTTCATCTGGACGGTCTTTTCACCGAAATATCTCTACAGTATGGCGTGGGCAATTCCCAACCATGTTGCTGTCAACTTACTGGCCGAGGTCGTGTTCTCTCAAGGTCAAGCTTCATAATCCAATTTCAGCTCCATATAGAAATGCACCATTGCAATTGAAAACGCAACTCACACGCAGGCTGTAGAAAGGGGTATCAAATAATTAAAATAATCCACTAAACAAATCATCAATGGCGTTTTGCTTCTTCTTCTTCTTAGTCTTCTTGGCACTCTTCTCAGCACTGCGAGCCTTGTCCGCAGGCTTTTCTTGAACCTCAGGCTTGTCCTCGGCCTTGTCGGGCTGAGAAAGTTGAACTGGATGAGTCGAACTAGTCGGCGCTGGTTCCACCCGCCGAATGCGTTCTCCCAGATCTTCTTTCGGGGGCATGGAATTGGATTTCTTGGCCTTGCTTGCTGTAGAGTGCTTCTTCATCTCCTGGCTGATTCCAGTGATTTTCGACAAGCGTGCCAAGGCGGCCATCAACACCACGCCGAGCGTCGAAAACTGGTTATCCGCCACGACTGTAGAAAAGGCCCTAGAGCAACACTTAGTACCGCCCCTACGCTTGAGGTTCAAGACATACACGTAGCACCGTGGAATCAGATGGGCTGCCAGGTATTGCTTCTGGGCTTCAGCGCTGGCCACCGAGAGTGGCTGGGCCAGATCCAAGGTGGCCCGCTTCAACATGGACAACCACTTCCACCATTTTGTTCGGTGATGTTGGTTCTTATTGCGATGGAAAATGAGGTGGAGTATGGAATGCACTGCCTGAGCCTCGTCCATTGTTGAAGAAAGAGTGGAAGAGTGAGAAGAGTGAAGTATAAAGAAATAAGTTGTTAGCGAAAGTTGATCTTATCTTATCGGTACTTCTCCACCTGCACCTCTCCGCCTTCCTTACCTAGGTACCTACTCTCTCACTCTCACTCTCACACACCTTCTACTCTGTTCTCAGTACTATAGACTTCATTACTGGAATCAGTCACGTCCCCAATTTTTTTGTATTTTCCTATTTTCCTATTCAATGTTCACAAGCTCTGAGGGGGGCCAGGTCTCGCCTTAATACAAGGAAGTCCTCGCCACAGCATTCCAGAATACCAGTGATCCCACCCTTTTTTTGGTCTTTCCGTTTTTGTTTCGACTTGTTTTTTTTGGGTCCCTGTTGGGTTTTCTGTTTTCCAATCCATTTGATGATGATGATCACAGTCTGTTTGTGGGACAGTGGGGTCCTCGACAAACAAGTTTAGACAGGGATTCGTCGCCTAGCGGCGTCCTTTGCCTCCAGAGGGGAAGCGTCGAGAATCCCGGCGGACAGGCGAAGGCTCATCCCCAGAAGTCTCGAAGCGACGGCGCTGGCGAGTTACCAGAGGAGGCGAGGTCTGGCCCGTCTGCAGAGCCCCCACAGTCCGGCCACGTTGGCGACCATCCGGAGGAGACGCACCATTACCCGTCCGGGATCCAGTGGCGGTACGGGATCCGCATCCTTCTCGGGACACACGGGGGGAAATCGCAGTAGGATTGCCGCTGCGGCGTGTGCGGGGAGAACCGCTAAGGGGAGCCCGGTTCCGAGGGGACGGTCCAGGCATTCCTCGGTTGCGAGTGTTGAAAAGCCCTGTGATGGGGTTAGTTTCCCATTTCCCACAAGACGGGGTGGAAAGACATACCCTGCTGGCTAGCCAGCGAACGACGAAGCCTATCCATGTCATTCGGACCAGGGAACGGGTACTTTTGCCCAACCTGGGCGCCGCTGATATGAAACAGCTACATGGGGTCAGTACTGAAAACGATCATGGAGGACAGTCCCTAAACTCACGCTGGGGCGCTCTTCAGCAGGGCGCAACATAACAGCACTGTTACGGAACTTGGCAATCAACTCATCAAGTCCCTGAGTGGCTTTGAAAGATGGTCAGCCATGATATCTCCCACGGAAGACAAGAACCACATACTGGCATAAGAAAGTTGAGCCCTCTTTTCCGAAGTGCTATCGGGCCTGTGAAATGCTGTCAGCGAATGTGTGCAATAGTTGTTCGGCCAAAGTATCTCACCATTCCCTCCCGCTGATCCAGTTCCACAGCTGCAACCAGTCAGTACGTTGTGACCCAGCTCACAAAGGCGAGCACTCACTATCAGAATATCTTGAGGCTGCAAAGAAGGTTAGCCTGTGAACCGAAAAGGACTGGTGAATTACTTACGTCACCGAAATTCACAAACGCATATCCAACGCTGTAAGAAAAAAAAAAGGTGAGCAGAGAAAAGGTTAGGCGCAAAGAACAGACAGCCTTACTTGCAGTGATGGACGAAGTCTGGGATTTGTTAGCTTAAACATCCAATGGGGGACACATGGCTGACATACCCATGCGCAGATAAATGAAGTCGAATTTCCCAAAGCAAGTCTGGTCAAGGAATTCTTTCAAGGACTCCTAAAATTGGGAATCAGCAATGTCGAACGGAGCGGAGAGAAAGAAGGCCATACCCCAGTGTACTTGTTTGGGACATTTCGAATCATAATAGTGCTGCGTGTGTCCTCTCCCGACTTAATTCGGGCAATGTCAATTCTATGACGGTTATCGACAGTCAAAAGCTCCGGGGAGCTTAGGGCCATGTCCATAGTGTCATGGGGGGAACTCTTGAAAGGAGTCACTGGACTAGTAGGTGGATGAGACCTCCGAGCCCGAATCTTCACCAGATTCTGTGGAGGAATGTGGATCTTGAACCGGTAATCCTGGAAACACATCAGCATTGAAAAGAGTCCATGGGGAAACAAATACTTACGCCCAGCTCCATGCCGTTCAGAGACACCAGGGCATACACAGCATGATGGATATTGAGGAACTCAACCCGGAATTCATGCGTGGTAGCGTGGTCCACAGTCAAGCGGTTGCAATAGCGAATACCCCCAAAGGCTTCTGCGACCCTGGTGACCAGGTTATCGATGCCAGACTCAAAGTGGCCCCTCGGCGACGGAGCGTCAATGTTGACGATGATGGCAACCTGTCCATTCTCCTGCACCGTGTCACTGATGATCGGTCCCATGAGACCAGCGTCCACGATCTCCCCAATAGTCGCATAGTGTACCTCGCAGTGCGGCCAGGCACGGCCAATCCGGCGAAAGGCATTTATGGCCTCAAGAAGATCGGCGAAAATAATGGAAACCCGGCCAGTGGATCCCAGTTGGGAGGTATTAACCCCTTCAACGGAATCATACTTAGATCGCTATGTTGAGTTAGCTTTCGTTCAATGTTCAATTATGCGACAATACTCACGGGAAACAAAGCCATCACATTGGCATGGGGGGTGTTTCGGGGAATGTTCTCCACGATGAGCCCCCGGCGGGCCACAATTCCAGGGTTATGGCTTGGCGTAGTAGGCACGAAAGTGGTGCCGACATCGAGGACCGGAGCCAATGGACCGACCATAGTGCTCTCATCCCACCACGGTGGGGCCAATGGAAGGGCATTCATGCTGTTATCGTGAAATTGGGCCGATGGCATGGCATTCATGCTGTCATCGGGGAGCGGAACCAATGCCGAAAGGTTCAAGTTGAGACGTTCTTGCGGAGCTGTAGGGTTGCCCACGTTTTCGGCCTTTACGACACCGAACGGATCGTAGGGGGCAGTGAAACCACCCTGCGACGGCGAGCGACGAGCTGGTGGAAGCCGTTGGCTCACACTCAGATACTGGTCCGGCACCAAAGGCTGGGGCGATTGAGGCAGTTTTTCATCCGCACGCGTGGTAACGGTCTGCGAACCCCAGGGCGACCGGTATGAGGGATCAGGGAGACCACTCAGACCCAACTGGCCCTGCGAATTCTGGCGCCAGGGAGGTACGGCCCGTTCCTCCCGGGGGAGAACAGGGGACAGACCCACAGAGGCCGCCGCAGTGTCGAAGCTGTTGCGCTCCGTGCCTGGCAGATCGAGTTGATCCGTCCAATTCGAAAATGGATTCCTAGAGCACCGTGTTACCACTGTTTGCGGTCTGAATGGGGATCATCACTTACCGCTGAACTCCGGCCATCTTCGATCCCCTAAGGGCGACGACACGACGAGGTTCAGAATCAGGAGAGGTGAGAACCCGACGATGACCAGTCTTATCGGGCTCCTGTGGGGTGAAGGCAAGTAACTGCTTGGAAGGCGACCCTCGGTCGGGAGAGTCACCCATCTATGCGAGGTCAACCGGTGAACTTCCCAAAGGTTTCCATGCGATCGAGGTCAACCGGCAAACTGTTTCGAAACGCGGCACTCGCAGAAGGGCTCTCCCCTTCTACTTGGAAACAATATACATACCTTGGCGAAACCGGGGTCAATTGATGAGATTCAATAATGGATCGACGCAGCGGGAGATGGCGGACTTGAATATGTTAAGTATTCAAAAAAGGAATGAGAATTGCGAGTGGTGGGAAGGAAAGAAAGAAAGGAAAGGACTCGAGGTGGGAACTCCGACTTTATAGGTGTTGAGCGTCGGCCTTGTTGCTGGGGCCGGCGACTCATCGGCGTTGATCGCAACACGTCAAACGTCCACTTTGGGAATGAGCATTAAGTGAGCGCTTCACATTTCACTCTGGAAAGTGACTCATTGTTCTCAACTACGTGTCTCACTCCGTCGATATTCTTTGCACATATAGTTCCTCCCATAACTACCTAGGTACCTACTGATTTAACAAGTAGATAGAACAATAATAGGAGCAGTAAGCAGCACCATATTGGAGGTATAGCAAAATCAATTCTATTCTGTCATTATAGTAGAATCACGCACGATAGATGATATTCTTTATTTCTCCTAAATCAACCTGTCTAGCTCCGTCGATAGTCTTTGCACATATTTTTATTCCTATAACTATCTACTGACTGAAGTATCTTAACAAGCAGACAGGATGAGTAGTACCATATCGGAGGTAGCAACATCGCAGAATCACATACGATAGATGATATTCTCTATCTTTCCCTAGGGCTAAATCAGCCTGTCTAACTCCGTCGATAAGACTTTCAGTGCACATTATTTAGTTCCCCTGCTATTTATTGTGAAGATCTTTGTCCAACCCTGGAGGCATTGTTGGACTGTGAAGCGGTACTTTTCCTCTGCATGAGATATTATGGCCTCACGCTCTTCCTGAAGTCCTCTTCCCAAGATGTGTAAGAGGTTTCAATAAATAATGTACATAACCAGAACTCCCATTGCTATGACTAGGACATTGTAAGTTCTACTTAAGTACAACTTAGGGCTACTGGTGCCAAGACAAACTCACCGCCTTGGGCCTGTCGTCTCAACTGACGTACTTAGTACATACATCTCCCGGCAACACCAGGCTATGAAGCCGAAGTCAGCCTCAACATGGCTCCACTAAATGAGCCTGTCTTGAATCAAGTATGGCTATCTACGTCGATAAGATTTTATGACTGACAACCTAGATCATCATCTCCCCTTCCGACACAGACTACCTGGACCAGCTCATCCCATCCATACGAGACTACAGTGTCGGAAATCGAACCCCACAACTCCTACAGTCCCTGTCACGCTTTGCAGGGGACAAAGAATCCGAAATTGAAGGCATTTGCAATACCAACCACCAAGAATTTGTCTCTTCGGTCAACTCATTACTGCGCATCCGGGAAGGAACAGTGAGTCTCACAGCGGAGATTCTGGACCTCAACCAATCCATTCAAACCAGCACAGAGCGTCTGGCCGAACAGAAGAAGGCGTTGGTGGAATCGCGGGGCCACCGGCAAAACATAGATGAGACATCGCGTGCAATTCAGGACTGCCTCGAGGTTTTGCGGTTGGCCAATCAAGTCCACGATCTCCTGGCAAAGAAGAATCACTATGCAGCTCTGCGCGCGCTCGAGGAGCTCCAAAATGTCCATCTCAAGGGCGTGACGCAATACAAGATCGCTGTGATGATCCAACGCTCCGTCCCCGCCACACAGCGAGCCATTGCCGAGGCGGTCATGTCCGATCTCAACACCTGGCTGTACCGAATCCGAGAAATGTCGCAATATCTCGGCGAGATTGCGCTCTTCCACACAGACCAGCGAAAGACACGACAGAAGCAACGGGCCGGCAATATGCCTTATCTGGAGCATTTCAATCTAAATTCTGCAATCGAATTAGTATCCGACGAAGATGAGGAGTACGATCTGCTTCACAATGAGGACCTTCAGGTCGATTTCACCCCGCTGTTTGAGTGTTTGCATATTCATCAATCGTTGGGCCATATGGATAAGTTCCGAATCGAATATGCAACTACACGTCGGAGGCAAAAAGAGCTGTTGCTCCCATCCGCAATCACCCTGATCGACGAAGATGGATCTAGCCTTCACAATCTTCTGGAAGAAATGGCTGGTTTTGCTATAGTCGAGCGGGCCACAATGAAACGAGCTCCTGATCTTAGATCATCTGTTGATGTTAGTTACCGGGACTACGAACTCCCGCAAATTCCCCCCTAACCCTCTTGACCACACAAGAGTCTCGGTAGAGTGACCCAGCTGACTTTGATAGATCGATGAACTCTGGGACTCAATGTGTCAAGGGGCTGTCGTACTGATTGCCAAGGCACTTCACGAAGTCGACAATGCGGAGAGCATCCTTAATATCAAGAATCTGATTGCGCTCTTCATGCAGACCATGAATGTTGGTGATTTCATTTCCCATTCTGCAGACCTCAAATCGCTAAACCTTCATTTCACAGACATGGAGCTTCCCAGTCCGGGTTTTCGACGACTTCTTATTAAAACTCTTTGAGAAATATGCGGAGCTTCTCAAGAAACGGTTCAGTGATGATTTCCAAGAGGTGAGACAAGACAACCCTTTACGGTCTGTCTCTAGTTGCTAACACCAGTAGATTGTATCAACGGATGATTACATGCCAATGCCTATCCAGACCCAAGAGGAGCATGACAAGGTACTCAACGTGAGCTGGTATAACCCGGAGAAACCTCGCGAGGAGCAAGTGTAAGTTTCCTCGACAACCTACACCCTCGTCTGCTGAGCCTAACCAAAGGTCAACCAGTTTCCCATGCATTCTACCATTCTCTCGGATGTATCCGCTGTGTTGCATCGACATTCGGAACTTCTTGAACCAGTTCTATTTCTTCGCAAACGACGGTTTTGCAAACACAAATGTCATCGATGAAACATTGAAGACTGTAGGTTCACCTTGAAGAGGGTCCAGCGATTTGGACAGATTCGCTGACTATGTAGGATTTGGACGATCTTCTCTCACAAAAGGTCTGTGACACGCTGGTCGAACGTCTTTCATCACAATATCTGGGACAAATCGTTCAGATTCTCATCAACTTGGAGCATTTCGAGCTGGCTTGTCGCGAGCTGGAGCTTCTTTTGGCAGCTGCTCGATCCCAAAACTCGACTGGTACTTCAATCGCTCTGAAGGCCACCGAGAAATTCCGAAGCAACAAGAAAGCTGCCGAAAAGCGTATCTTCGAGGTTGTCAACTCCAAGATTGACGATCTTATTGAAACAGCAGAATACGAATGGATGTCTCCCACGCCTCCTACAGAGCCCAGCAATTACATGCAAACCTTGACTCGCTTCTTATCGAACATCATGAACTCGACACTGTTGGGTCTGCCCACAGAAATCAAAGAGCTTATTTATTTCGACGCCCTCAGCCATGCTGCTAACATGATTCTGGTGCGTTTCCATCCTCAATTCCGATTCTCTTTCCATTGGCTTGTAGCCCGTACTCACCTTTCCCTCAGGCACAACCGCTGTCACCCGATGTGAAGAAAATCAATCCCAACGGAGTATCTGCTTTGGCGAAGGATGTTGAGTATCTTGCAGAGTTTGTGGACAGCTTAAATGTCCCCATCCTCCGCGAGAATCTTGACGAGTTGCAGCAAACGGTGCAGTTGATGCAGGCCGATAGCGCAGATGAATTCTACGACATTTCCACCCGAAACAAGAAATATGGACGTGTGGATGCCATGCAGGGGCCAATTTTACTTGAAAAGTACGTATTTCATCTATTCTTGTCCCAATGTTGCATACTGACCAATTTGTTTCAGACTTACACGCAATGTCCAGGCTCCTACGAAGACTGACAAGTTTGCACAACTCTCTTCACGATTCAAGAAGACGGGATGAAGCTAAGAATACGCTATGTCACGAACTGCCTGTTGAATTTAGCACCAGGAGCCATGAGTTCAGATCTACTGCCAAGTTAATACCATACCCAGAACTTTGTTGTATCTTTATCTCTCTCTTTTAAAACCAAAAACAAAATAAGCGTAAATTCTAAGGGAGTCACACCTGAGCATGTCCTCAAATCTCCCGAGATCAATGGTATCAGCGATTGTCGTTGGTATGAGAACATCAAAAAGTATGAAAAGGGATGATATAGAATATGAAACAATAAAGACCAGAATTCGCCTAGAAACGCGCGTAGAATATTAAAATAGAAACATGTATTCATAGCATGCTCACTTCATAGTCGGTTAGCACATCGACTAGATATCAGATTGGAGATCATACCTGCTGGGGAGGAAGATGCGGGTAGGCATACATCCCCTCAAACATCTGCGACTGAGGCTGCCCGTAAGCTGCAGTCGGGTCTGGTTGAACGGTACCGGGGTACATGGCGGGCTGTGGGCGATACTCTTGATCTTGGGGCATTCCATGTTGCCCAAGAGCGCCATAGTCTGCAGGGCCCATGTGCTGATGGGGCTGGACGCCATGGGGAGCTGTTTGCATCGGGGCTGTGGGGGGACCGGGAGCTGTGGCCCCAGCTTGGCTAGACCGTTTGGCGTGTGAAATGGTCTCTTCGCGGGGAACGATGTCAATCAAGAAATCGAACATATCGGATTTGGAGAGCGCTGCGGCAATGTCTGATCGCTGAAGCGTGCGGCGCTTATTATCCTCGGCGTGAATCCACGCGCGCATAGTCAGCTCCGTGATGAAGATATCACACCCCTTTGCGAAAAGGATAGGTGCCTCGGCGGAGATCATCTTGACTTCGGGGTCTGCCTTCATCACCTTCTTGATGCGAGCCAATGGAAGCTGGTGGATCTTGTAGTCGTGGTTGTCGGATTCCAGGTGGGTGATGACATGTTGCCAGTAGGTGGTGAGGATATCCCGCGCGGTCCCTTGGAGGCCTTGGTTCACCTGGTGGGTGTCAGTTGAGGTGGGATGGGCCAGGATCGCGAACTTACATTGGCCCAGGTACCGGTGTATAGCTCAGCGACTGGCGCATAACCTTGCGCCGATAGCTGTCCCACGTCAGTTCAGGTCCGTCATTCTGCGCGATCGTTTTCTCGTTCTCTCGTATTCTCATGATCCCCGAATTTTCGCGTGAGGGGGAGCTTCAAGACGTACCGCTGCGCTGGCACCTACAGAGATGAATCATGTCAGTCTCGCTCTAGAACGCGTCGGAAGCTCCAGGCTATCGGGAGTTGAACCCCATGACGGCTCTGGCGCATCCATGGTGAGGCTTAAGTTACCATAATGTCCTCCATTGCGGATATCGTAGACCGGCGTCGGCTGCGGCTGTCTACTCTGCTGTCCAACACTTTGAGGTGCGGGCTCCATATTGGAATGACGCGACTGGAATTAAATCTGATGTTGAGGGATCTAATGCGAACAAAATGGCAATCAAGATGGTCGAGGTAGGTCCCGAGGTCGCGTTGGGTAGGTGTTCAGCTATCTGACGTTCCCGCCCTTACGTATTGAGCAGTTTCTTTACGGTAATTTTGCATTGTCTGTGTACGGGGGGCTATTATGATGGTATTATATACGTTTGGCATATGAAGCTCCTCAATTATACCTCGTACTTGAATAGTTCGGAATTATTCACAGAGTCAGGATATACTAGAGGGAACTTACTTCATCTACTCCATTTACTCCAGAGTAGAAGTATATTCAAGTACCCCGTACCTCGGTATCCTATTGGTAACACGATACCATTGGTTGGTGATCACCTGACTCACCACTAAGCAGAATTTTCTGTTTGTCAAAGATGCAAACAGAGCTGAGCTAAAGAAAAAATATATATATTTCTTCTCTATAAATTTCCTTTCTCTTTTGATCTCTTCCCTCCTAACTCCATGGCTGACTCAACATGTATCGGGGTCAGTCCTCAGGATCTGACGGATGATCAGATTCAACAACTGCTCCTTGAAGCAGAGAACAGACTACGGGGCCCTCAGGCAGTCGCCCCAGTCGATGACCTCGCATCCATCAGAATTCCCAAGCTGTCAACTGGCTCCTCACTAAAGGCCTATGTGCGCCAGGGAGATGATGCGGTAACTAGCAATGCTGCCAAGCTGGCCGATCCCATGCAGAAGAAGTTGGCCAACTCTCCTTACGCCGCTGGGAAGAATGAAGTCAAAGTGAGTCCATCCCTACAATCTTTCTTTCCCTCCCATCTTGCTATGAGGAAAATATTCCCAACGCAAAGCGCTTGATACGGCGTCAGCAGTCCGTTTTGGGCTGTGCTGTACCAGTGAGAGCCTTTTTATTCATAGTTACTCTGAGCATCTTATCACAATTTTACATTCTTCATGTGCAATGTTTGGTTCAAACGCTGACATCTGATACCTATTAGGAAAAGCCAAATGCTGGGCCTGAGTGGTTCAACCTCCCCAAGACAGAAATGACTGCCGAGTTGAAGAGAGATCTTCAGCTCATCCGCATGCGTTCCGTGCTTGACCCTCACCGACACTACAAGAAGGATAACGGGAAGGCCAACCCACCTGAGTACTCTCAGGTTGGAACTATCATTCAAGGTCCCACCGAGTTCTTCAGCAACCGCATCACCAAGAAGGATCGCAAGAAGAACTTCGTCGAAGAGACCCTGGCCCTAGAGCGTGGAACCAAGCGTTTCGAGAGAAAATACAAGGACATCCAGGCTGCCAAAACCAGCGGTAAAATGTCTTTCTACAAGGATTTGCAAAACAAAAGACGCCGAAACAACAAGTGATTATTCGGAGAAAATCGCCCCGGGTATTCTTTCAGACGAGTCGACGACAGATGAAGGTTTGTACGGGGTGTACCGCCACGTGCATACTGCGCTCTTTTTACCGAGTAAGCTTGCAAGGTTGATTCAAGTAAATTTCCAATACGGACTTGGCTAATCTATATCTCGATTTAGTCAAGGCGTCGGGTGCTAATCATCTCCCGCTTCTTCGCCAGTCTCCCGTCGCCAAGAGGACGCACAGAATATAAGCGACCGAGCAAGCACACCCGTTACTAGTCGTTCTAGTTGGTTTGTCGATGCCTTGTTCCCGAACACGGCTCATGCGTGGGAGAAAATATCCAGCAGGGTCTGGGCAACCAAATTCTGGTACCGTCAGTTTCACGACTTGCAACCAATGTGTAAAATCCTCTTACCTGCATGTCAAGGGCTGCCGCCCGGCCAGCCTCGAGAACCTCTTCGTGTCCTGCCATTCCTTCCTCGAGGACGGCGTTCAACTCGCCCGCTGACTTCCCTTGGAATGACTCCTCGTCTCCACGGGGCACAGGAGCCAGCACAGCCTTGTTCGTGACCAAACTGAAGGCCAGCACCCGGAGGCCACAGTGCCTGGCAGTGACAATCTCCGGTACTGTGGACATTCCCACCACGTCGGCTCCCATCATTCGAAGCATCCGGCTCTCCGCTCTTGTCTCGTAACTGCCTCATGTTAGCCATTCGAGTCCCATGCTTTGGGTCAATTTCCTGTCACTCACGTGGGGCCTCCAACATAGACATACACCCCTTCATGCAACTTTCGGTTGCTTGACGCAGACGGCATTTTCTTCCATGTTTGGTGCACATGTCTCCGGAGCTCCAGGTCATACGCATCAGACAAGGGTGGGAATCGCACTCCAAAGTCATCCTCATTGGGCCCTCTTAGCGGATGGGTCCCTGCCAATCCTGCCAGAAAGAGATGCTGTAGATAGTTAGCCAAAAATTCTCACTGTTTTCAGAGGGTGTCTTGCATCATTCAGCAGAACCAAATCTCCCACTTCATAATCAGAATTGAGGCCTCCGGCCGCATTGGTCACTGCCCACTCTTAGTTTCCTTCTTGTATCTCTTCGATCGTAGAACGTACAAACCACTGTATCCACGCCTAGTTGCTTGAATACCCGGATAGGGAATGCCACTTGATCAATCGAGTGCCCCTCGTAGTAGCTCCTTCGAGTTAGTAGGAGCAACCCACTAAGTAGAATTTTCCACTCACTGAGCACGACCAACCATCAACACGGCAGGAATCTTGTGGCCGAGGAGTCCAAACACCAACTTTCCAGCGTGTCCAGCGACTGTCCACTGTCAGCAACACCGCTTCCCACCTCTGAGGGGATATCACCAACCCGTTGATCGAGGGAAGTGGGGGATAGCCGCATAGTCATACTCCGTGCGTGACTCGGGATGGATGGTATCTGCGAGGCCTCCCAGTCCTGAGCCACATACAATGGCGACCTGGGGCTTCTGCAGGCCTTTCGGCAAGCTGGGGCGGAGGTAGGAAACCGCCTCGGTGGCTCGCACGAACGCAGACTGGTCTGTCATGATTGAGAACTATGTAGATAGGCCAAAGGAAGCAGAACCGTTGGAGTAGATGTTGAAACACTCCACTCGCGGGGAGCTACATAGAAAAGTAATTGAGAACACAGCCGTGCTAGCTGTAATGTAACATGAATGAAATACGGTGAAGGAAACAGATCTGCAAAAGCTTTTAATTAATAATCTACCTAGGTAGACAAGGTCAGGTTATCTGATTACCCTTGTGAAATAAGCTGAATAAGCAATGACCATGTCCACCACGGGTAATCCCTGATCAGCTAGCAACTGAACACAAACCCGAAGAAAAACCCGTATTGTAGCTAGCGCCGTCACAACGGGGACCCCATACAACCCACAGTACACCGAAGCCCAACTCATACTCACCATGACCTACTTTCTCACGTATTTCCTCCTATTCACGGTGATCGTGGGTGGAACAGGTCAGTTTTCCTTCCAGAAACAGTTCTCTACTGTGCTAGACCTCTGACAAGTTATCAGCACTTTACCTCACAAGGTCGCGATGGATGCACTTGATCCAAGTACCTGATTACCTATACCATCGCCTTCCGTCAAGCTTTACGGCAGATCTAGAGGATGGCATGAGCTCATCCCAATTCGATATCACCGCCAATGTTGCCGATGGTGATACCAGGGCTGGACTTGATCAGAACGCCAAGAGGGAGATTCGCAAGATCATGAAGGGTCGCCGGGTCGATTTCGATGAAGCACGTCGAATGTACACAGAGCAACGATTTGCAAAGAATAATATTGGACCTGACGGCCGGCCGAGAGACCCGAAATTTGTCTCATTCTCATAACTCATTAATCCCACCAGTCCTTTTGTTTAGCGTCTTGTTTCACTCATGATTATCGGACGCATCCTTCTCGCTGAATCCATCACTACCATGCAGACGCTTGGATATTACAGGCTATCGTGATAAAGTTTACAATCTCCCTATCGAGGAATTGAAGATATTTTGGACTCGATTGGTCGTTCAAGTTGATATTTGTGCAAAGAGTATTAATCCATTGGTTATCATCATCTTTTGCGTACTTAGATATCTAGCCTAGCTTACATGACAGTGTGCTTCCATTATTGAGCCAGCACTGGAACACAGTCCGTAGTCTATGACCCCCCCCCCCCCCAAAGGCAGTTCCAAGGTAGCGAGACGAGTGAATGAGACGGGGCCAATTTTGGTGGTAAGGGGAACGGTCCATAGATGATGGACCAAGCACTATGGCCATGAATTCGTCAAATCGTACGAAAGGGATCATGCCCGTTCGGTAAGAAGATAGCTCTGGATGAGAATTCCTCAATCCCTCACGAGAGAGAATCACCGATTACCGCCATAGGCTGGCTGTTGGAAGCCCGGTGGGATTTGGGGCGCACTTCCAGGAGGACCATAGGCAGGCTGCGCGAAGCCAGGCGGTGCGAACGATTGCGGGCCGCCATACCCAGCTTGAGATGGCGGGGGACGTGCTGGCAGTCCAGGGGGTGGGGTGTTGAGCGAAGGTGCAGGAGGGGGAATAGGTCGATGAGGGGGGAGGTTTTGGTAAGGCATGGGCGTGCTGAAATCTGGTGCCTGCGGGGGCGCCATTCTCATGGGTCGAGAATCACCGTTGGCCATGGCAGGCGTTCCTGGCATGCCCACCCCTGGGCCCGGTCGAGGCACTTGAGGTTGCAACGGTTGGGTTGGCGGCTGAACATTGTGCTTGCGGGCTTGTGATGCCAGCATTCGCTCTGCTTCGTCACCATGTCTTTCACCTTTTCCGTCCTTCTTGTATGCATACTGCACAGAAACCTGTTTGTTCATCAAGTACTGTCCATTCATGTTGGAGATGGCAGAATCCGAAGACTCAAAGTCCGCAAAGGAAACAAAGCCATAACCCTTGGAGAGATTGTTGTCGTCGCGCGCGATCTGAAATGAACATGTTAACACTCAACTCGTCGTTTCCGGTCCAGAGACATCTTACCTTGGGTAAATTGAGAAGATTACCGAATCGACTGAATGTGTCATAAAGGACCTGCTCGGTGACCATCGGGTCCAAATTACCAACGAAAAGCTCTGCGCCAATCTCCACGGTCTTCTGCTTATCAGCCGACGCCTTGTTCACGCGAATTGGTTTTCCGTAAAGGCGAATTCCGTTCATGATCTTGGAGGCATATTCGGCATCTTCTTCGCTGATGAACTCCACGAATCCATATCCCTGGTGCAGCTGTGTCACTCGGTCTTTGGGCAAGTGAACATTGACAATGCGCCCAGCTTGCAGCATCAACTCCCACACCAGACTATCCGAAGCTCGCTCATCGATATTTCCAACGTAGACAGTGGCCTCCTTATCTTGCTCCCTGGTTGCTGTTAGCATCACATCCCCATCTTCTAGTGGTAGAGGGTTGTATACCAATGCCGTGCGCCTGACATGGCGCCGGTGGGTTGATCGGACTAGAGAAACTGAGCTTTGCGAGAGAAAAGGAGTAATGAAAATCCAGGTATCTGGAAGAGCGACGATTAGAAGAGAACTGTTGAAGACGGTGTGAAGGTGAGAGGAGGTGTAGTGAAGAAGCTCCGGGAGGATCAGTGACTTACCGAAAACTTTTGTCCGCTGCCAACCTCATCTGTCCATCACCCTCTCATTCTCCAACTTTTCGATCTTTTGAATCTTCATTCTTACTCCTTTCGACTTGAAATTCTTGAATTCTTGAATCCTTGGATTCTCTTATATCTTAATCTTCCCAACTTCTATCTTTCAAAATGGTTCAATTCTCCGAAGAGACCAAGGTTCGCATCCCAACAACCTCTCCTGATCCCAGTCGCTAACTTCCATCTTCTTGTCTAGGAGCGTGTCTCCAAGGTTATTGACGTCTCCCGTGTTGCCATTCACTAGTAAAAGCTCCCCGACTACACCCCGACTACACGTCTACATTCACGTTCCGAGCTGACCACCACCTAGCGGATACCTGCCTCTGATTGTCTACCTGGGTATGCGATGCATTTCTCTGAAGCGACTCATCGTACTAATGCAATTGATTTCACAGGCTACACCTACAGCGACCCCAAGCCTACTCTTTTCCGGTATTTCAACCTCTCCAGCGTGTACCACATTCGTCTAACTCGATGTCAGATTGTTCTCCCCCCTCGCCTAAATGGCTTGACTATTCAACTTGATACAATGTGATAAGGAATGATGGATTTGGGCATGTATGGAATTCATCGTTGGATTTGGAGTTCCCAAATCTGAGCCCGAGAGGCTCATGTTTCTCTCTGTATTTTTAAGGTCTTTGCTATTTTGGAATATCTCTCTCGAAGTGTTTGAAATGTTACATCTTGTACGCATCTAAAGAATCAATGCGTCTCTAAATCTCTTGACTCGCGACTTTGCGACTTTGCGACCATTGCGGTTCCGGGACCCTCGGCTTCTACCTCCGCTCCGCTCTTTTCCTCTCTCCCCCAAAGACTCTCTCGTTCCCTTCTGTTTTTTTTTCCCCCTTCCTTTTGGTACCTCCCCTCTCAACACATATTGTCGCGGAGTTCATGACTGGTCATGGCTTCTCGTCATCCTTTGTGGAGACCCTAGCGGGATTCACAGCAGGAGTCGCGTCGACTCTTACCCTGCATCCGCTTGACATGATCAAGACAAGGCTACAAGGCGGGTCTCCCTCACTTCAGGTTGAAGCTATCAGCTAACCCGGACCCAGTCGATCGATCCTCCTCCTCTCGGTTTGGTAGCTCTATTCACATCATACGCGACATCTTTCAGCGGGAAGGGGGCCTAGCCGCCTTCTATCGAGGACTCACTCCCAATGTGATTGGGAATTCTACCAGCTGGGGTCTGTACTTCTTGTGTTATAGCAGCTTGAAGGGAACCGTTCGAGAATACCGCGATCGGAGGGGGGAAGTTCTTCTGTCATCGGATTATTTTCTGACATCCGGCGGTGCAGGTATGCATCACAATTCCTCGGGACGGTCTCCGCCCACTGACCAAAACAAATGGTATCCAGGTGCCCTCACTTCTGTGCTCACTAACCCGATTTGGGTGATCAAAACCCGCATGCTGTCGACGGGCTCTCAGGCCCCTGGCGCATACTCTTCCTTTGCCTCCGGGGCCAGGCAAATATACCGCGTGGAAGGTATTCCCGGCTTTTACCGAGGCCTGGTACCCGCTCTGTTTGGGGTCAGTCATGGGGCCCTTCAATTCATGGCGTATGAGCAGCTGAAGCTCTTCAGGTCTCGGGCGAAGGAGGCTGAGATGCTGGAGCAAGGCGATACGGTCGGCCGGGGGCTGGGCAATGTCGACTTTTTTGCCATTTCCAGTCTATCCAAAGTGTTTGCGGGGAGTGTAACTTACCCCTACCAAGTGATCAGGTCCCGGTTGCAAACCTACGAGGCCCGTGTGATCTATCGCGGAGCCTTTGATGTCTTCTCTCAGATATGGGCCCGAGAGGGCCTGGCGGGCTTTTACAAAGGCCTCGGGCCAAACCTGTTTCGTGTGCTCCCCAGCACTTGGGTGACCTTCTTGGTATACGAGAATACCAAGGGCTACCTGTCGGGGCTCACATCATCTCCCGAACGCAGACAGAAATAATATATGAGGTCTTGACACTGCGGGGTGTATACATTATGTCCGAAATGCTCCGAAATGCTTCCAAATGCTCCCAAATCGCCATTGAGTGCATGTGTGTATACAATAACATAAAACAGCCACTACAAAATCTGACCAGCTCTTTACATAAGAGATCGAACCTTGTGCCCTGAGGCACATACTTACCACGTCGTCCTCTCCTCTCTCCTCTCTTCTACATCCAACTATATGATATCGGGAAAGATCCATAGGTGTATCACCAGAACGCTTCTCATTTAAAAACCGTCACACCCGGTCAACGTTTCAGGTGATAAATATAGAGCCTTGGAAGTCTGACTATGGTCAGACTAACGGAAAACAAGGGAATTGTTATCCTTCTACACTCTGGGACATCAATCTTATTTGGAGCGAAGACTCTGAGCTCCAGACCCCAGACACTGACATCGGATTTCTCACTGGCCGTGTGGACAACTTTTTTTTGGGAAGTCGAGGATGTTTGAAACCACCAGCTGTTCGACCCGTGTGGCTTGATTTCCCAAGACCTTTCACATAGGCCTTGGAAACACCTTCTCTCTTTCTCTGCGTCCAATCTTCACAATGACCGATATCGCTCGAGTTTTCAACCACACTGGGATTGCCCTTCCAGGCTCTGGGTCCCCCAGTTTTAGTGCCAACACATGGGTGATTGACGCGAAGCTTTCCGAGAAAACCGTCGATGGGGTACATACACCTTTCCCTGGTTCTGAGCCGTCTGTCTAGGAAGCTAAATACCTCTGCCACAATCAGTAGCATCCCTACTCTCATGGGATTCTCTCTCTATGGAATATATTCGGACTGGGTATACAGGCTTCCAACGGCATTGATCTCAAAATGGTGAAACAAATACCCGTGCATGAGACTGTCCAAGATTCTCTTCCTTTACTGCGGAAAGGCGATTCCCCCACAGCATCGAGTGCACCAAACCTCTTGATTTATGTGGGAGAATTGAACGACTGGCCAAACTTTGGTTTGGACGTGAGAATAGCAACCGACAATCAACACTGGAGTAATGCAGTCATCTAATGCCCCCTCAAACGCTACGACATCTAGAGAAATATGGTCGTTGTTGGGGATGAAAATGGATTGTACGGCAGACTCCAACAGGCAATCAGCCAAATCCTCGGAAGGTTGTTTGAGGGCAGAATAGTGAGATACAAATTGCTGATTCCGCATGCCTCCCAAATATGAACTTCCATATTTTCGATGTCATGATGAAAACATTGGGAAACGATTCGCGAAGATCGTGAACCAAAGTACCTTTTCGCTCCCATGCAATCAAACAAGCCCGAGATTGCAACAACCGTTTTACGGAGTCTTCCCACCTTCGGATCCTACTGGCCCAAATCCTGAGAGACATGAAGGACTTGGGATGTATATATGGCTTTCTGTCAACATACAACGAAACAATATTCCTACAACGCCATAATGGCACAAGGTGGGTTGTCGATTGTTCGCCGGTGATCTTAGCATCCGATGATTACAATGCAGCATTCTCGGCCAATATGTCCCCGACGGTGACCATAAGAGAGTACGTCCTTCACATTGCTTCTCTTACACTTCCACATGGGCCATTCCACATCCAATTATCTTCCGAACAATGGGTTTGTGACAATAATCTAGGTGAGCTGTGAAAAAGGTCCCATCGATAAAGATGGAGATATCTTCAGGCAGACTCTTTATAGAACTAAACCCTTCTCCTCTGCCACAAATTTCATACATTATCTTGAATTTTGGCTTCATTTAGCTTTTAATCAGTGAACATATATCACATGCTGCACGCCTCGATATATATTTTAAATAGCACCCTCTAATATAGATTTAATATTAAGTTTATATAATATGAAAAGAGATTAAATATTGATATAACTTAATATATAACAATGATATTTATATTTATATTCAATTTTTAAAGATTGTTAAATCAGCATTATATTATTATTTTTTTAAGAAAATATAATCATTTTACTTTAAACAAATTAATTATTTATAATAAGATTATAGTTTTTAAATTATAAAGGAGGAATTTTGACTTTTTTTTATTTATATCATAAAACAATTAAAATATTTCTATAAAGGGTTAGCAGCTTGAGGATGCAGCCCAGGGTGCCTACAAAATAGGGCAGCCCGGTATATATATAAGGCGGAGTTTAGGATAATCCCACATGCGCGAGATTATAGTGATCTTTTGGCCTAGTTGGGGAGATGCGCTCCAAACCGCACTCCTTGCAAATATTATACTATTAGAGATATATTATTAAATTATTATATTGAAAATATTATTTTATATAAAAAGAATTTACAATGAAAAGTTTTATAAATTTTTATAACTTTTAAATTAAACTTTAATTTAATTTTTATTCTCAAAATTAAAAATAAATCATTTTCTTTTTCAAATTTATTAAATCTTAATTCATTCATAAACATATTAATTATTTTAATAAATTTTTATAACTTTATAATTAAAACTCAATTTTCATTTTATAAAATCTTTAAATATGATTATCTACAATATTATCAGAATTATTTATATTATTCTTCATCATTTTCAATAGAAGTTTAGATTATTCAAATTAATTTAATTGTTTTAAATATTAATATTTAATCACAATTCAATTTTTATTTTATTTATAAAAAAAATTTCATAATCTCTTTTCTTTCTATATATTTTTAAATACTATATTCTTAGATTTCTTTATTTTTTAAAAATAAAAAATAAACTATCTTTTTATTTATCTAATTTATTGCGGAGCGTAGCGGAGCAATTATTTTACAGTTCCCCCTGATCACGTGACTTGGATATGTAGCGGAGCAATTATTTTACAGTTCCCTCTGATCACGTGACTTGGATATGTATTGGGTTTACAATGACCAGAAAAATAGCTTTTGAAAAGTAGCTCTGTAACTTGCGGCAGAATGATATTGTTGCCCACTAGTCCCGATTCGGCCACAGATATCCACGTTCTGACCAATCCTATACCCCAAAACACTCAAGGGGAAAAAAAGGAAGGTGCACCAAGCGCTGTGCGAGGCAACTGCTATCTGGGGTCCAAATGTCCTCATGGTCCCTAGTATTGTGGCCTTACTAGGCCTATTTCAACCACAATCCACATTCCAACTAATCATATACCCTAAAACATTTAAAAAAAAGAAAAAGAAGGAGTAATAAACATTATACTCTTATTTAGGGATCTACCATCTAATGAGCAAAGACCCTATAATCCCTAGTAATTATTTATTAAAAATAATTATTAGAAAATTTTATTTAAATTTTAAAATTTTTAGATTATAGTAATCTAGCTTTTTTATTATTTATAAATTAAAACTTTAATCTAGAAATATAAAGAATTAATTAAGATCTAAATATTAATAATAAATTTTTTATTAAGTAATATTCTTATTAATTTATTTTTTATAATAATAGATATTTAATTATTTAAAATAAAACTATTTTTTTTTTTTAATTTAAATTATTTTCTACATAATATAAACATTTTCAAAATAATAAATTCAAAGTTAACTTTATAAACTAAAATCATAAAACTAATAATAATAATAATAATAATAGAAAAATTTATTGAAATAATCTTAATTAATATAATTGAAATTGTTATATCAAACATAAATTTTTGTTGAAACGTGTTTTTATTTAATTACAAATTAATATAAATAAAATATATGAAAAGATTTTTTAGATTATTTAAAAAAGATTCAACAGAATGATTATAGCAATAATGACATTAAATTATAGCAATAATAACATTACATATTATTGTAATAATTAAATTATCTTTAATATTTATTATCTATTTATTTTATTGTGTAATAATTGAATAAAATTTTAATATTTCCAAAATTAAATTATAATCAAATAATCAAATATTAATATTAATATCTAAATTATTAAATAAATTTAAATAATCCAAACTTCTAATAGATATAACAAAGAATAATATCGATACTATAAAAAAACTACATAAATAATTTTAATAATATCATAAAGAAAAATATTAAGATTTTATAAAAATAAAAATTAAGCTCTAATTACAGAATAATAAAAATTTACTAAAATAATTGATATCACTATAAATGATTTTATATTACCAATTCCAATAACTTATATACAAAACACAATAGCAATACTACTATATTATATTAATAAATTATAAAAATTATAAAAAGAAATAATTTAATTTAAACCTTAAAAATAAAAATAAAAATTAAGCTTCAACTCAAAAGTTATAAAAAATTAGAAAACATTTTATTATCTCCAATATTTATAAAAATAAAAATATTAATTATGGTCAAATATCAAATTACTAAAATTAGCATTTAAAATTACTAAATGAATTTATAAAAACATAAACCACAATCAAATACTCTAAAAAATACTATAAACATTATAACAAAATTATATAAATAATTTATATTATAACATAAAGAATAATATTAAGAATTTTTATAAAAGTGAAAATTAAGTTCCAATTCAAAAATTATGAAAATTTACAAAACTTCTAATTATAAATTCCTACTATATAATATAATACTTCTAATACAATAATATAATTATATAACTATAATGCTATAATATTATTTCAATAAAACAATTTTAATACATTCCTAAATAGAAATTATTTCATTAATAAATTTTCATAAAATTTTCAAAATACTAAAATTTTATAAAGATTCCAAAAATCCAAAATTTCCGAAAATGGTTTCCGGAAACGGAAAAATGTCCGGAAACGAAGGAAAATATTCAATACTACATAATTAATATTTATGAATGCAGAAAAATATCCGGAAACGGAAGTATACATTCAATACTACATTAATACTACTTCTGAATGCAGAAGAATATACAAAAACGGAAATAATTCTGAAAACAGAACATTCATAAAAACAGAATCAAATATTTTACATAAATATAGGGAGCTTTGCCAACCAATTTCAATTCATCATCTCAATCA